TTCACATTTCAATAAACCTGTCATCAAAATCCAAAATCAACCCTAATATCAACAAAAATAAAATATTAAACAATTTAACACAAGAACACATTACACACACCCCCTTTACAAAACACGCTCAACATAGTAGATGAACATAAAAGCAAAACAATATATAAAAAAATGGAAATTACCGTCTTCCCCTCAATTCCAAATTGAAAGAGCCGAATATTCTGCGAGCGAAGAAACTCAAGATTTTCTTCTGGATAAGGTTCAGGGCACAAGTATCTACACAAATTTACAACCCCCATTAATGATTTTCACGCTAACCATACAAAATAAAATCATAATTCGTAAAAAAAAAACCACATTTTGACGGCATAAAAGAATCTTTAAACCCAAAAAAAAATAAAAATGGATAAGTGGTTGTCGTCGAAAATTTTGGGAATGAAAACAGGAAAAAAAAGAAAAGGAAAACTAACATGACAGAGCGAAGGTTTAGGGTTTGGAGGAATGGGAAATTGGAAGGTTTAGGCAAGCTGGATCGGAAAATGCAGTCCTCAACCATGGAGAAGTTTGGGGGTGGAACCAAAACGACATCGTTTCCGTCTTCGTTTTCCACCTCCACTATCATTCCCATTGAACTCGTCAATTGCTTTCAACTTGAATGTTTGAGAAATCAAATCGAAGAAGAATGAACGAAGTGATTATATATATATATATTGAGAAAATGAAACAGAAAAAAGATTTTAGAATCTGTTTCTTCAAATCCCCCCTTTTAAGGAGTTATGAATATGAGGAAGGTGAATTCAAACGCGATTGATACGGCGCCGTTTTCAAGAATTACGATTTCCCTCCCTAATTCTCAAACAGCGTACAACTAGATTTTGTCGTTGTTGCCGCTGTTGCCGAGAAATTACAACCAAAAATCCTCTTTTTTTATTATCTTTTAAAACTACTCTTCTATTTATTCGTAAGTCGTTGGATTTTAGATATTTTATCAACTTACATCGATAACTTGTTTTAATTTTTAACTTAAACTATAATTTTTTTGTGATGTATTCATTATTTATATACAAACTTTGACGTATTATTATTATTTTATTGAAAATCATATTAGTTAATGTTATCAATAACAAAAATATTTTTTATTCTATAATTTTTAATAAAAAATTTATATATAAATTTGTGTGTTCTTAGATATACACTTAAAAAGTTGTCAAATAGTAAAAATATACACTTGATAATGTGTTGTTATATTGTTGGCCGATACTGTAACACTTTTTGGTATAGAAAGTGTATGCAAAATTTAATAATTTTTAGTATTTTTATATAATAGTAATATTAATAAATGAAAAAATCATAAATTATTCATTATTGATACTTTAAAATTTAAATTTAGTATGATTAAAAAATGAAAATAAGTACGTTAAGCTGTTGATTAAGAGTGTTTTTTTAAGTCTATTTTCTTTTGTTGATTTTTTAAAAGTCTATTTAGTTAAAAGGCTAAATATTAAGTCATTTGTAATTTTTTTTACTCATTTGGTCAGCCTATTTAAATAAATATAGATAATGATAATAATAATACATTTTTATATTATATAATTATTTTATTTAAAACTTTAAGTCTACTTATTTATAAATTTACATTCTTTAACTTTTTTAGAGTTCCACCAAAAAAAACTTATTTAGAATAATTTTACTTTTTAAAAAAATTACAGTATATTCATTGTAAAATATGGAGTGAGTTTTTTATATTGTAATATAACTAGAGCTTGAGTAGTGACATTTATAAATTATGTAGTTGATCTTGTTGTGTTTGGAAATAAATCATGTTATAAAAAATACATTTTGTCGATATACAAAATATATTTTTGGAATAAACCTTAAAAAGTAATTTTTGTTAAATAAATAGATTAAATCTAATTCTTAAATTTAAAAATAAAATTTACCTTTTTGGTCAACTCAACTTATTTTCATCATTTGGATACAAATTATCCACCACAAATCACAAATTGACAAAGACTACCTATTTGTTTTGCATTGAATAATGCTTCATGATCATGGCCATTGATTATGGATAACACTTACAATTACATAAAGAAACTTTACTTTATGATGCATTGAATCTTAGTTAGCTGTTTCTTTCCTCCAAGTCATTAAATTCATAGAGTTTTTTTTAATGCATTTAGTTGCTGGATACTCACAAGGTTAATTAAGGGCTTTGATTCTAGCATGGTGTGGAAATTGTAGGTGACTTTTAGAAACAAATTGTTAATTTATAGTAAAGTTTCTTTTTGTGTATAGTGTTTTTTCTTTTTTGTGCTAATTTGTAAGAAAAAATAATAATACTCATCTCTTGTAGTTGTGTTTGTTGGGCAAGAAAGTTTAAAGATTTGTGTTTAATTTTTTAAAAAGTACTCATTAAGTTGTGTTTAACATTAAGTATGCATGTTTGATCATTTATAGTGTATTTATTATGTATTATTATAATGCTCTTATAATTAGTATATTTGTAAAAGTGCTAAACCTTTTTTCATTTATAAATATTTTTAAAAAATGCAAAAATTATTTCTTATCTTAAGTTAAAATTGAAATAATTTATAAAAAATAGTTGATTTTACCGTGACTCGGTAAGATATAGGGAAGGAGTTTTAACCTTTGCTGCCAAACAAATAAATATAATAATAAGAATCTCAACAAAATTATAATTATAATTAATTACAAACATATATTAATATTTTTTTATATTTTTGTTTCTCTAATTATTAAAAGCTTTTTCTCTAATTTTTGAGAGAGTTATATTATTATAACTTAAATATAAGAGGATTCTTATTATATTAGTGAAAAGATAATATTGAATTTTATTTTAAAAATTTACTTTATGGATGAATCAAGATAAATGATTAAGCACATCTCTTCTTTGTTTATCTTCTATTATTTTGTTATATTTATATTATCCTTATTTCATTTGCATTCAATTTTTAAGTTATATATTTGTATTATTGGTTTAAAGAATCAGTTCATCTAACTCAAAACATTGTCGTAATTGTGAACTAAAAAAGGAATCATATCATTTTTTAAATAATTTTTCTGATAATATTTTCAAATTAAATTCTAAAAATTATTCTCTGCTTATATTATTGATTATTAAACAATAAGAGTATATTTACAAAGATTATGATTGATTCACGAGCCACGATCAGTGGAGTTTGTTAATCAGTTTCTTTCAATATTTTATCTAAAAGAAAATTGGACTTGTCTTCTTAAATTGGTGACTTTGGTCTTCCACTTATGCTCTTCAATCCTTTTCGTTGAAAATCTTGGAACCTTCTCTTCCCATGGAATTTTGTTTGAGCAATTATTTTCATAAATTTTAACTTTTTTAAATATTTGTTGGGTCTAAATTAAAGGTTTTTTTTTTATATGAACTAAATTTATTTAAGTTAGATTGAACTATTATAAATGATATTTTTTAATATTTAAACATAAAATCAAATTAAAAATGTTTAATCACTAAACACATACATCAACTAGTCTAATTAAAAGAAATTTATGTTAGTTAATCTGAATTTAATTTGTATATATACATAAGTTACTATGTCAAATTTTAGATATGTATCTTTTTCTCACAAACTTATAATATAATATTATGATGATTAGACTTGATTAAAATATCATTAAACATTCAAATTGGCTACAATTTTAACAACTTCCATAAAAGCTGATGATATTTTTTTATTAAAAATATAACATTGTTTTTTGAATGATTTTGAAAATAAAGGAAGAATATTGTGGGCAGTGATGACCTAATTGCCCATGCATAAAGCTTTACAGTCAAAAGAATTAATTTGGAGGGTCAAGATAGTGTGGCAATGATACTGATTTCATTAAAATTGTCTTATTGTTCAAATGAAAGCAGCCAAGAGAAAAGATGGAATTCATAAAGAAGCAAACACACAGAAACAAAATATAAAGTATTTTAAAATGATTCAAAAGATTAAAAATAGAAGTTTTTTTTTTTTTATATTTATAGTGGGAAAAGTATGGAGTATGGAGCAAGTATTAGAATTTGACCAAAAAAAGGACAAAGTATTAGAATTATATGACATATATCATCACATCAACGCTTTTGACTGCCAGCATCCCCTTGACTTCAGCAGCCCCTAGATAATGGCCATTTTACATTATTTTACCCACCAAAACGGGCTTTTTGTTTTTTGGCATAAAGAGTTTATATGTAATTTTTAAAAATAAACTATATTTTAAAATTATTTTTTAGTTTTTTAAATAAATTTTATTATTAAATTTATGACATAAATTGTTATTTGAGAAAAGTATTAAATAAGTACTTAACTAAATTTTATACTCAAGCATATGTTTTTTTAAAATGTTATTCAGAATCTTAAAATATTTTTTTTATTAAAAATTTAAAAAATATACATTAACTGTATTTGTTAACTTTTAATCTTTCATCAACGTATCTAAAGTTATTATTTTCCTTTTAAATATTACATGTATTTAAAATAAAAATATATTCTTTGTCATCAAATAGTATGATTAAATGTTTAAATATAAAAAAATATCAGGAAAAGACTGATAAATTATCATTAAAAATACTTCACTTCAAAAGAAACACGTATATATTTTTTAGTTAAGTTAATTTTTTTAAAATATAATTTAATTTTTTATAAATTTAAAATTATTTCTTATACCGTATTTAAGATTGTAATTGATTTTTTGTTTTCTCTTTTAAAAAAGGGCCTGAATTTCCAATCTCACAAGTCATAAAGGATAATAGCATTAGAGGACATGAAGGTCGGGAAAGAGGAATAAGGCCAAAGCCCAACATATAGATGCGCTGAAGCATCAGATGGGCCTGCATAAATGGGCTTAGCCCGACCCAAGAGAGTTCAGAAAGAGACCAAAATATCAAATGAATATGGGAAGGTTGTATTTTGGATAAGGGATAAGGTTTTGATATGCATATCAGCCAATGAGATAAGAGGGGCTTCAACAGCCACAACCTTGATCTTCCATTGAACCATGGAACTACTTAGCCACTGGGGTCTCTCATTTCAGCCACTCTGTTTTCTGAAATTAACAAAATCTCAAGACCATGGCAGCTGCTTCTCCTATGGCCAGCCAACTCAAGTCAACCTTCACTAGGCCTCTGGTCACTCCCAAGGGTCTCTCTAACTCTTCACCACTCCAACTCTTGCCTTCTAGAAGACAATTTAGGTTCTCTGTTAAGGCCATCCAATCAGAGAAGGTATTCTCCTTCCTCCAATATATGTTACATCTTCATTACTCTCTTTGCCAAGTTATTTCTATTATGTCCAATTTTATATTCTAACCAATGTACTATGAATATGAATGCCCATTTTTTCTCTTTGCCTAGTAATGTTAATGTAGATTTTGGCAATATATTATTAGTCTTTCACAATATAATTTTGATTATGAATATGTTGTCACATATGCAACTTACATAAATCAAAGTTTTTTTTTTTTTAATGTATATATGTATACATAGTATAAGATAGTGAAACAAATCATGTATCAATATTCAGTTAGAGGCCATTAATGAATTATTTGTTATTGCACTATGGCACTTCACTTGCACTGGCAGCCAACCTTTCAAGTGATTCAGCCAATCAACGGTGACCCATTCATTGGAAGCCTTGAAACTCCAATTACATCAAGCCCATTGGTTGCATGGTTCCTATCCAACCTTCCTGCATATAGAACCGCAGTGAACCCACTGCTAAGAGGGGTTGAGGTGGGTTTGGCCCATGGGTACCTGCTTGTGGGCCCATTTGTGAAAGCCGGGCCTCTTAGGAACACAGAATACCACGGTGCTGCGGGCTCTCTAGCAGCTGGTGGGCTTATAGCGATCCTTAGCATTTGCCTCACAATCTATGGGATTGCATCATTCAACGAAGGAGATCCATCCACTGCTCCATCCCTCACCTTAACGGGCCGCAAGAAGGAGCCCGATCAGCTCCAAACTGCTGATGGTTGGGCCAAGTTCACCGGTGGGTTCTTCTTTGGAGGCATTTCGGGTGTTATTTGGGCTTACTTCCTCCTTTATGTCTTGGACCTTCCATACTACGTTAAGTGAACTAGTTAACTTTCTTGCTTTGTATTACTATTCATTCTCAATGAATGAACAACCAATGGATGCTTGTTTATGCAATAGAGATGGATGTACATGCTGTATTTTATGACTCTTACCATGTTACAATGTTAATTTCTCTCCCCTGTTCCATCTTTAAGTAGATAATTTGTTAACTACATTTCATGAATTAGCATGCATGGATAACGAAAGTGTGCCTTGTGTCCAAACAATATTCATTCAACTTCTTCAAGTAGCATAGCATATTATATTAGTTTATTTGAGACTAATTATTATAATTTTTTCTTTTAAAACTTTGCGAGAGAACTTTAAATAAATTAATTTTAAAAAATAAACTCAATTTCGTATTTATATATAGCCTGCTGTGTTAGCATTTACTAATTACTACCATCTAAATGGGGTTTACTTGTGAGAAAAAAAAGCATTTTTAGTTTCATAGAGATTTGAGCAACAGATTTTCAAATGCTTGATCAAACAAAGTATTGTAGCGTATTAGATTGGTTATATTTAAACGTGAATCTATTTATTTGCTTTAAGTTTTATATTTTATGTTGAAACGTAACTTATAATTATCATGATTATAAATAATTTTTAAACACAAACCTAACAGGCAGAGCAAATTAGAATGAATTTAATGGTTGATCTACATCACTTTTCTTACGCTAACTTTTCTTTAAACTCTTTGAATAAGGGTGTTATTTACTCTCTTTTTCCCTTTTGGCAAGCGATTTAACATTATATATATATATATAAAGTATAAAACATGATGTGAAGAGAGACTGAGAGAAGTATATGTGCTAGGATGATTACAAACTGAGAGATACCCATCTCGGTTTAATTATACATTTACATAGAAATTTAATCATACTAACAATATTGTAAATGCAACTCACCACCATAATATATATTTATATGTCCTCAACAATATATCAAATCGTGCTTGCACATTTCTAGTTTCACATACATCATAGTATAAGATAAAACGTTGAATTAATTAGGAGAAGGCTTCACAGGAGATGATGTTTCATGTTTTGGTTCCAAAGTAGAGGCCTCGTGTTGTTGCAAAGATTGAGAGGATAGAGAGATCAACTCAGGAGGTATGAGAGCATCCCATCCTCTAATGGGGTCAGCAGAAGTTGCAATGCCATCCCAACCAATGTGTGTCACATGTTGAACATCTGTTGGACACCCTATTTCCATGTCTATTTCCACTTCTTCAAACTCATCTTTCTCCACTATAAACATTTATCACAATAAAATGAAACTTAAATCATCATATTGAATAGATCACATGTTGTGTTACTATGCCTTAATCATAACATAACCTAAATGACTAATCTATAAAATGAAAGAGTTTAATGATTTATATTGAATTTTTATTTTATTCATGTTAGACTCAAGACATACACACTTACCAAACAATTGAGAAAAATTCTTGATACCCTTGAACAGCCTATTGAAGGCAATGGATAGGTTAGGCTTTGAAGTAACGTCAATGAGCCTTAACGAGTTCTTCATGTTTTCATCGGACAAAATCTCTGAATCTTCGACGCTTTTAGATCTTTCTACACTTGTATCATATCATATAGTTATTAATACAAATTAAACGAAAGTTAGCAATATTAGCATTTGTGCGAACATATTTATACTTAAGTACGTTAAAAAAAAATTCATTACTTCAAACGTGGTGGATTAGAAACTCTCGAGAGTTAGATTAAATTTATAAAATTGTGCACAATTCATTAAATAATAAATAATTTTTGTTGTATCATTTCATTTTAACGAATTATATATTATTTAAAGTATAAATAAAATTTTACTATTAACTTATATATATATATATATATATATATATATTGAATTATTTGAACTTTATTAATTATAATTATCACAATAATATCACATCCAATGATTGAAATAATAAAATTTATCAAATATATAAATTTGTTAGGATTTATACATGGTAAATATCAATAAATCAAAGTCTATACACAAACCCAAATAAATAGATAAAGAAGATGATGCCAACTGGGAAAAGGTTTATACGTTTTCTTATACTTATATTTGTTTGGACAAAAAAAAGAGAGAACTTGTGTGGAAAGTGAATTGCCTTAATTTTATTTATCTAACAAAAGAAAAAAGTAGTATATGAACTGTGGAATAGAAGTGCATGTAAATATAATTGTTTGTAATTGACATATCAAATCGAGAGAGAGAGAGAGAGAGACTTATTGCAGCAGCTGGTGTGTTGGTGTCTTGTTTTGATCTTCTTGGCTGTGGAACACCTACAGCAACACTGGCCTCAGAGATACAACCAGCAGAGAAAGGAAGAATGACAAGCCTTTCCATTCTTTGTCTCATTCTTTCTAAATGATCTATTGAGCAATGCAACCTTTGAATTTAGATTTGACAAGTACAATATATAGCTACTAGCATAGTTGTTATAATATAATAATAATGAGACACAACACAATGGTACTCACTGGCTTTCCCTTAAATTCAATCTGTTAAGGAGAATGTTATTATTACGTATAGAAAGTCAAGCCACATCTTCTTAATAAATCCGTTTGGTAAGTGAAAGGGACATACACGCATACGCAAGATTAGGATATGTATATATGTTAATGTTTAGACTTTGTTTATCATAATATATATTATAATGCAATGTATAGTACTATCAAATCCATCGATCAATTCACTTTATGTGTCTCTAACGAACATCACCAAGAAAAAGTTGGTTGAGTAGTGAGTGACTAAAGCGAAATCAAACCCTATGAATGAAATATTAGATCACATCATAATTTTCTCCTTCAAGTGCTCCCCATAGTCTCCTTTCCTTCACTTACCTCTCTTCTACAATACGTCATCAATGATATCTTTTTCTTTTTTCTTTTCCCACTTCATCTATGTTTTTCAGTTGGTTAATTTATACTTTATGGTATACAATTTTTCTTATAAAAATAAAATAAAAGCCCTTATCCATGTTCTTTTTGTTTACTTGTTTTGGACTCGAACTAGAAGTAGTGCATCCCAAGCGAACTTCCCAATGAATCTCCAAATCTTATATTTCTTGAATACAAAGAAGAAAGACATCATTGATTGTAAGAATCGAAAATGGGTTTGTTGAAGGCAGGTTGAGTTGTCTTCCTTCCGTTACATTACTTACTGAATTTGATGTGTGTTCAATAACTGATGCTTAGTATGTTAATAAAGCCTTAATCAACTTTTACTTAAGAATGGAAATAAGTGATGGCTTAACTCACATAAGACTGGTAAACCCTATTTATTAATTTAGTTAGTTCTAAATATTTTTGAACCTCCATTTTATTAAAAATATTAACAAAGTCTTTTAAACACAATAATGTAACTTAATTAAGTAAATAGATAAAAAATAATAATAACAATATTATTATCACTGTAATATTTTAAAATATATACTTAGTTTATTGAATTAAAAGTTTGTGTTCATTGTCTTAACTAAGAATTTTGGTCAATTAATATTTTTTTAATAAATGATTTGTCAATATTTAAATTGATTTGCTATAAAATAAACCTTCAAATAGGTTCAGTATACGGACAAGAAAATTTTACTTCAAAATAAAATTTTAAGTGACATTTAAAAGTTTACGTCAAATAAATAAGTTAAACTTTAGTCTTAAATTTAGAAAACAGACATGAACTATTGAAGGTAAAGTTTGGCTCATTTCCACCTTTATTCTTTCCCTTTGTTTTTAATAAAGCCATTGACTCATTTCATGTGGTCAAATTTTGACGCATTCAATAACATGAATCGATAGATGAATGAAGGTAAAACAATTCAACAAGTTATATTGTGTAACGTCACTCACTGTTGTGAATTCGAATGCCAACGCAACACTTATAGTTTTAACAAATCTATATTCATTATGATTATACTTGTATTTCACAAAGAGCAAACTGTCCCTGTAAAGTAATTCACTCAAAATAATGCTAATCTTATTTCTATCCCAACCAAGTTCTTTTAGTCTATTATTGGTGCATATAACTATGAGAATTAACTTAGCCTATAGGAAGCTAAAAGTATCAAGTGATTCTTAAGCTGTGTCTTACCTATAACGACCACAACAACTTAAATAATAATGCATGATCAAGTTGTCCTTTTCTACATTGCCTTTTTCCCGTAAGTTGTAATGTTGATTAGCAGAGAAGTTAAAACATGCAAATCCATAAATTGGTAAAACGAATTACCCATATCATTTATTTCTTTGGCATCCAAAACATGAGAAAAAAAGAAAGAAAGAAAAGTACTGTATCCTTCTACTATTTCAGCCTACAAATCCTCTTGCCCATATGAAATTGAAGTGTGTCTTGAGAGAAACAGTTAAAATATGAATGTTAATTAATAATTTTAGATGACACACGTCACTTTTTCTTGCGAGTATGGAGATTTATAAGCTGGTATAATCGGAAGATATATGATTTTTTGAAAAAAAATACTAGTGGTGTTACATCGGTTTGAAATTATTAATTGTAATACTAACCACTACATTTTTCATTTGCTTCAATTCAATGCCCTGAATTCGACAAATCTTCCTGTCAGTTCTGCCTGAACTTGCCACTTTTATGGAATGGAGCAATATTCAAGGTTTTCTATTGTTAAGAACTTGATGGTGCATGTTACTAGTGCACGATAAATTGTTAAGCCATAGAGCATTAAAGTAATTCCAATTTAAAGTACTATTAATCCAAGAAAAAGTCTGCACTCACTGTGCTTTTGCATGATTAGAGAGAACATGAGAATAGTGCAAGGAATAATTGAAGTGCTATTGGCTTAGAACACCGGGACGGTATGAGAAATCTAATAGAAGCTACAAAATCAGAACCTAGATATCTAAGAACTTGTGCTAGAGCTTCGTTGTTGTGCACGACCTTGAGTATCAAGATTCAAAATGGGTAGTTGAGGTTCTGTCAGAATATACAAACACAAGACAGAATAGGCAAATCTAAAAGCTTAACATTTCAATCAAATAGGCAATGAGGGTTGCTTAACATGTTGGATTGAACAATGCAGGCAAAAAAGGTCTAAGGTTCTGGTTCCTGCTCATGGACTTCCATTAAAAGGTCATTTATAAGTGTCCTGCAAGTTCTCACTTATCCTCCACTGTAAACTTTATTCCAGGAAAAAACTTCTAATCAAATTCTTGTCAACCAAAAGTTGATTCTGGAGCAAGACAATCAAGAGCATCATATTCGTCTGAATGGTACATCAATAATACTACCTTTGCACATTGAACCCATTGCAACCAATGCTTTATCTTTTGTCAGTTTTTGACATATAAGGCGGAGTGATTGAGGTCTGAGGAAATTCCACAATTTTTTATCTAACAAAGATGACCAGAGCCATGAGAAGCCATGTGAATTAAAAACACTTTTACACTTTTTTTTTTCAAACTTGCTTTGTAAAGTTCCCTCTATTTTCCTGTAACCTTTGCCACTTCCATTTTTAATCATTTTTCAATTATATCACTTTTTATTTTTATTTCTAATTTTAGGTGGAGTAAAAAGGCTGAGTTGTTTTAGGTCACCAACAAAAAAGGAGGAATAAGGAACTCCAACTTGCCAGTCCTGGTTTGCTTGGTCCATGGTGATCCAGTCCATTTTGAGTGCAAAATACAAAAAAACATTTCTTTATCACAACAAAATTGTTTATAAAGCATTAACCATTTTTGCTTTGTCTGGTTTGGTGAACAAGATTAAGCAGGATGAAAAAGTGTAGGAAAGGAAAGTTTTCATTGTTGGGATATTTTATGTTATATGAGTAAAAGATAATATTTTTTCTGGAGTCCACCACTAACTTTTCTCGCACAAAATAATGAGATTTTGGGTGGGAAAGATTGTGTGTTTTTTTTTTTAATTTTTATATTTTATTGAAAGTAATTTTTAAAATAACACAAAATATTTAAAAATTACAAAATTAAGAAAAAAATTATATTAAAAATTATATTTTTTGTTAAAATAAATTTTTTATTGTTATCATAAAAATCTTCTTTTTGTTATATATATAATATATAAACTACTTTTTATTTTCTACTCTATTTTTTATTCATCCAAATAAGAGATTCGGATCCTCTCATGTTGTAGCGGGAACATGACCCTCATGTTCAAATTCGCTTAAGCGAATTTTGAACGGCTTAAGCGAATTCAAAATAGCTTAAGCGAATTATGCAAAAAAAAGATAAATTATGTAGAAACTAACAGCATGTTATCAAAGGATAAAATTTATATAAAATTTATTATCAAAGTTAATTCTACTCATCCAGAAACATTTAACTGTAACAGCAAAACATGAATAAAAGCTTCATTTTATTCCATTTCATTAATGGTATACAATTATTCACAATGAAATTTATCAAAAAAAATTCATTAATACATAGACAAGTCAAAAATAAAAGAAGCCGAGACATCTTATTTCATTTCATTTATATCAAATATTATCCGAGAATAAATGAGAGAGGATGAAAATAACGAAGAAGTTGAGACATTCTATATCCTTTTCCATTTATTCTTGGATGATATTTGATATGAATGGAATGAGATAGAATGCCTCAACTTCTTTTATTTTTTACTTGTCTATGTATTGATGAATTTTTTTTGGTAAATTTCATTGTGAATAATTGTGTACCATTAATGGAATGGAATAAAATGAAGTTTTTATTCATATTTTGCTGTTACAATTAAATGTTTCTAGATGAGTAGAATTAACTTTGATAATAAATTTTGTAAAATTTTATCTTTTGATAACATGCTATTAGTTTCTACATAATTTATTTATTTTTTGGCATAATTCGCTTAAACTATTTTGAATTCGCTTAAGCCGTTCAAAATTTGCTTAAGCGAATTTGAACATGAGAGTCATGTTCCCGCCACAACATGAGAGGATCTGAATCCATTTCTCATCTATTTCTTTTTCACCATTTTCTTTTCTAGTTATTTTCTTTTTACTCATTTTCGATTTCATCCAAACTTAGCATTTATGTTTTGAGACTGAGGGTCCGAATATCACTTTGATCTGATTCTCTACTTCATTGATGATTTGTATAGGCATACAGGGGTTGATACATCATAGATGATGTTCAGATTAAAATGCTTCAACAGCCTAACAACTGATAACAAAATCATTGTAAGAATTTAGGATCTTAGAATAAAGTTAAAAATGTAGGAAATATGAACCGTGTATTTAATGTAACCTGGAACCGATCACTAAGAAGATTCCCTGCTACCATTTTTACTCCACTGCCAGAAGTTTCAGAAGGACTGGTAACTTGATAAGCTAAGATGCATATACCATAAAATGAAGTTATAACAAGTGGTTTCAGAACATCAAGACTACAGGTAGGTTTTGCAACTTAATGCTTTATTTTTTGTCACCAATAATCTTCACAAGTGCAACTACCATGCTTAAAATGATGGAACCTATGAATATCCCTCACAATTATTTCACGCTCTAGAAGCTGAGAAGCATACTTAATGAAGTTATGACAATCGGTACAAATGCGGAGGTTCTTCATAATTCGAATTGGGGTCCTAGTGGCAGTGTGGATGATGCCAAAGACAACAGCAAGCTTTTCACTGTGATGACTAATAAATACTTCCCCTTGTTCTTCTTCAACATCCTGCATGACCAGTTTCGCATCAAGGGAATATCCAATTTCCTTCAACCTTCCAATTAAAGTGTTCAGATATGAATATATCTCCCTGTCTTGAGGGTGAGACCTATCTCCCATGACAAAAGTGTGGATTTGATCCTTTAGTTGAATCCAAGATTGACCAGGCTGCTTCTTGACTCCTCTTTGATGCATTAAATTCCTTACCCTGGCAGCCTCGTCCCATCTACAGTTAGAAGCATACATATTTGATAGCAAAATATAGGCTCCTGGATCAGATGGTGCAACTTGAAGTAGCATTTCAGAAACCCACTTCCCCATCTCAACATTCTTATGAAGTCGACAAGATGATAAAAATGATTTCCACACAGAAGTCAAGTGAGAGATACCGTTTTCAAAGATGAAGTTCTTTGTCTCAATTAAATGACCCGCTCGACCATAAAGATCAACCATAGAAGTGCAGTGCTCAACTCCAGGATTAATGCAATATGCATCTTTCATCATTCTAAAATATTTACAGCCTTCTTCAAGCAGCCCTACATGGCTACATGCATTTAAAACACCTACGAAAGTAACCTCATTTGGTATAACACCCTGATTCAACATTTCTTCAAAAAGACTAATTGCCTTCCTTCCTTGGCCATGTAGTGCACAGCCAGATATCATTGAAGTCCACAAGACAACATTTGGTTCATTGATTTGTCTGAAAATCACCCAAGCATCATCCAAGCTACCAGATTTAGAATACATATCAATTAAGGAAGAGCCAACATAAGTATCTATTCTATGCCCAATTTTCTGAATGTAGGCATGCATCTGCCTTCCAAATTCCAAAATCCCAGCATTAGCACAAGCAGAAATAATGGTTGTAATAGTTCGAATATCCACCACAACCAGTTCACGAACCATTAACCTGAAAGTTTTCAAACCATCTTCATACTTTCCATTCCAAACATAACCAGAAACCATTGAACTCCATGAAACTATTCCTGCCTTTGGTTCCTTGCAAGTAACTCCAGCATTCCCTTTTCTCAGAGAATCCAGGGGTACATCTTTGAGAATTTTAGATGCCTTATCCATTCTCCCGCATTTGCAATACATTTCTACAAGTGAGCTCCTAATAAAATCATCACCATCAAAACCAAGTTTCAAGACCAGCCCATGAAGTTGTCTCCCAAGCTCCATAAGTGATAGAGAGGAAGCCACAATAAGAGCAATGGAGAAAGTGACTGTAGAAAACTCAGTCCCATATTCCACCATACAATAGAGTTGTTCCAATGCACATGTTTCATAGCCACATTGCATCAGCCCATCTATGATCGTATTCCAACTCACAACATCTTTGTAAGGCAATTTCTTGAACATGTCAAGAGATTTCTCCACGTCTCCTACACGCAGATATGCACCAATCATTATATTCCACGACACAATATCTCGCTCATCTATCAACTCAAAAAACCTTTCTGCATAATCAAAAGCCTTGCATTTCAAGTACAGGTCAAGAATAGAGTTCCGCAGCACAACATCCCCATCAACTCCATTCCTGATCATCCACGCGTGGATCCCCTTACCCAATTGAAGATTGTTGCTAGCTGAACAACACTTAAAGACAATGGACAAGGTATACTGATTTGGACATGCACCCTTTGCCTGCATTTCCCTAAAAAGGTTAAAGACCACCACTGAAGAGCCAGCTCTGGCAAAACCCGATATAAGGATGGTCCATGTCTGAGTGTTTTTGTGGAGAATTTCATCAAACAGCTTCTGGGCATGGCTCACGTTGTTGGATTTAACATACAGAGTCAAAAGATAGTTAGCCAAGCTCATAGTTTGAAGAGAGCCATTCTTGATGGAGTTGACATGAAGAACACCCAATGGTTGGAATGTGGTGGAATGAAGTAAAGAACACGAGTGACGCCAACGAGAGTGAGCAATGTGACAATTAGTAACTGAAACTAGGGAGACATGGTTGACGTATTTCCAAGAATAAGACCCAAGGCCACGATAACCCATAAAAATGAGTGTAGCCACCAAATCATAGGCCTTTGTTTAGCTGGTTCATTAAGTTTCAGCAATAGCATCATGTTAGGCTGGATCATATGATTTAGAGATTGAGAATTTAACGCTGATAAACGATAGAGTTAGAATTACTCCCTCTATTTCGAAACTATAGTCGCTTAAAGTTAGTACACACAAATTAAAAAATTAATAAATATAAAATGTTGTTATACTTTGACAAGGATATCTTCATTATGTAATTAATGGAATTTAAGTGAGAGAATGAGAAAAATTAACAAAAGACAAAGATGATAGATAAAACAAAGTTGATATAAAAAATAATGATCAAACTTTAAACCTGTAAAAATTTCAAGCAAAGTATTTAAACCTTGAAAAAAATTTTATTGTTTGGATTTGTGTATGAATATATATATATATATATATATATATATATATATATATTTAGCTCTTTAAAAAAATTGTTTTAAACATTTTTTTAAAATATTAACTCTAATAAAATATTAAGATAAATACACGAGCTCCACTGATAAAAGAAAAAGAATAATTAAGCTTAAATTTGAATGATTTGCTTGTCTAAAATATTTTAAACTTTTTAAAATTCAAGACCTTCTCACTTATATGTCATCATTTGATTGTATTACTAACTCACTAATACAAAACTTTATATCTTAATAATATTTTTATGATACATAATTTTAAGGTGAGGGAATAATACTTAATCTAGGGGCAAAAAAAATTTTTAGTTCAAAATATTTATTTTAGGTATACTATTATTAGAATTATTTACACAAGTACGTTGTGCATTGATTTTTTAAAAAACACCTAGAGTAACTCTCAATCAATTATCAGACTAATTTTTCGAAGTGTAAAAATTCACCGATGCACGTTTCGTCTCACCCAAGAACCAACAAAGTTTGTATATTTTGACACAATATACTAATTGTGTACCCTCTTCCGTCAATCCTTATATATTAAATTTGACTCAAACAATTTCTTATATCCAACAATTTATCATTTTCGATCCTTTTAATTTTTAGAATATTAATTAAATTTAATCACAGTCAATTTCAAGTTATATATTAGTTTATGTCAAAACCTTTCGCGCGCGCACACATACAGCCCTTGTATATCAAAATGCATAATTCAAAGATCTAATATGTGTGTTGCTTATTATCAAGCCATTCTCTTCATTATTGTGGTAAACACTAGCATAGCACCCATAAAAAGAAACCCAGGCCCTGAAAACAGTAACACGTAACTTACAGAAAAGGAGATTTTGAGGGCACAATAAAAGACAGGATCCCCTGACAATACCAAAACCACTAATCGAAAATCAAAATCAGAAATCCAAAATTTGGAGCGTGTCAATCAATCTCAAGCTCAAAGTTTACTATGTACCCACAAAGGCCAATTGTAAACAAACCGCGACAGAAGGCCGATAATTTTGCCTTTCCAACATAATGAATGGCTATCTATGTTGTGATCGGAGGAGATGAAAACGCAAAATATTTTACAAAAAAGAATGGGATTCAAAATCTCAAGTTCCAGTTAGTATTGAGCTTTCCTAAGGAGTAAGTACAACAAATTCTACAATAAAGACAATTATATGAAAAAACCAAGATAGAAAGACCACAAGCCATTACGAATCAGATTAATCTAGCATATATATTATCATAGAGGAGGGTAGAAGTATGAAGATAAGGAAAAGCCGAGGAAGAGCAAGCCACCAACAGTGGCCACTGAGCGTTGGGAAATCTTAGATGCCAGCATGCTTCCTCCCACCACTGCCAATGAGGTACAGATGGTGTGTCCTATAGTGGCCCCAACTGCTACTCCCAGTGCATTTTTGTGTGTCGCCAGCTGCGGAATGAAAGTGGATGCCATGAAAAATCAAAGACATACGAAAAATACAGAAAAAAAACTGATGCTGCTGACATAAAACTACAGATGGAAGACATGAAATCATTCATGAAAGCAGATAATGTACAAAAAAAACAACAGGAGATTAGTTTTCTTACTGCAATTGTTGCAATCTGGCTACGATCACCCCACTCGGCAAGGAATGTTAAAATAAAAGACTGCATAAAAATAAAATAGTATTACAGAAGTGCTTATTGTCTCAGTCGAAAAAATGATGCAATAGTTGTACTTGCCTCCAAAAATATTGGTGTACAAAATCTTGAAAAGAAGCGTCTAAATGAAGTTTTCCCTTGTCCACCTTCAAGTTTTTCTTCAACCTAGTTAACAAGAATAAAATTCTTAGCATGTACCAAATTTGACCCAGACAGGTTTTTTTTTTTTTTCCTCAAAAAGGTTGAACCACCTAATACATCAACTATAAAATCCATGCAGCCTGCAAGGGTAAACAATTGAGCTTCTCTCCCTATGCCAAGGGGAGGGAAACTGCAATTAAAAATGAAAAACATATTTTAACATCTTTAAAGGCCGTCATTTGTATTTTACTATGAAGAGTCATTAAAACCATACTTCTTCCATTTCTTTCTTCTGTGAGGATTTTGGATCGGATCTCCATGCAATGTACAGCAACCTTAACCCAAAGAAAGCATAAAGAACTGCATTTGACCAAAAAAAAAAAAAAAGGGTTGGCTTTATCTTACACAAAAATTGAACTTGTAAATGAAAGTAAAACCTATTTATAAACATGATAAAATGAATATAAATTTGGACACAACTAAATAATCAAGGCATACATGGCAATACAAAAACAAATGGCTCACAATTTGTGGAGTAGGCGAGTAGCACACAATTTTGACTTATAAAACTAAACTAATTTCAATGCCCATGTCAATAACATTTACATATCCTGGCACATGGCTTTCCATTGCTATAAAAAATTCTCATAGACTTTATACAAGCAAAAGACATGACCATTCAGAACAAACACAAATAAGCAGCCAATGAAGCCAAATCCATAATAATTCTTCATATTAAACACAAAAAAGAATAAGAGTAAACCCCAAAGGCTAGGCACAAATGGAATGAAAGAAACCCAGCCATCTAATACTTAGAATAGTACATGGAATTAAACAGCATCAGCCAAGCTCACATGTCACATCATTACATCTCTAAAACATCAGAACAATGCTAATTACCACAACTTCTATAGCAGGTGCAGAGTGTAGATTCAATATTTGTAATCAAAATAATTACTTTTTAGCCTGCTTTTTTGTATATTTCACAAATTATATGCAAATCTGCTCAGTGATAAGTATAAAACTCAGAAATTATACCTGTAGCAGCACTATTAGTATGCTTCCTTGAAATCAAATTTGGCACAATCCTGCCCAGCCCAGTAGAAAGGACCTAATTGACATGTACAACAACTTTAATCCCAATAAAACTGACAAGAAAAGTTAGAGCACCCAGAAAAAGTGCTCTGTAGTTGCAGGAACCATTCCATCACAACCCCATGAAAAAACATCCCATGACGATAACAAGAAAGCAGAAATATTAAAACTAAAAATCGACTACTGTTCCACTTACCGTCATTATAATCAGGGCACTGAGCGCACCAGACAAGACAATTGACTTAGGGTGACGCATAGCCATAAGAGCTGCTATTATAAACGTCTCATCCCCAATCTAGCATGGAAAATATCAGTTAAATTGCATAACCTGAACATAAAAAGAGAGATATCATACAAAACAAGCATTCTTAATGACTTGATTGCTCCTATTTGTAACAATACTATCGGCTGGGATACCATTAGTAAAATATTAGTCTGAGCTAGTTTGCTGAGTTATCATATCAATTAGTAATTAATTGGTTACGTCCTCTAGCCTATATAAGCCGCACATTAGCTTCTAATCACACACTTTCACTCATTCAATCAATTTCGCTTACTCTCACAATACATTCTCGCCATGTTTTCAAAACTTTTACAAGGGATTCACCGCTTGCAACTCAACCTTTGTTCACAAATCTATTCATCGTGATAAAAACAAAAAAAATACAAAAATTCTTGCTCTTGCAATCCAAGTTGGATCCAGAAAAAATGATTGACATCACACGAGCGATAAATAGATAGTTAAAATCTAGCAAAGAACGTGAGCACAGGGTAGTGTTGTTAAACTAACCTCACTGACAAGGATCATTGATAGACTGGCAAAAAAAGCATCGAAGAGTCCAGGACCTGAGGAGTCCAAGCCAAGAGAAATGACCGACTCATTCTCTATATCATTCAATGCAATCTGTTCACACAAAGCACCGATAACGTGACTCAATCGCAGACATTCATTTCCAGTTTCCACGTTTTTTATTCAGTTTTCTCAACAATTCAATCGAACCGAATGAAACGACAAATAACGATAGAAAAAACAGAAAAGCTCACTTTGCCGCGACGACCGAGATCTACAGATCCACCAGAATCTTCCTTCACGTTCTGAACGAGAGAATCCTACACAAACAAATCAAACACGTTATGGCCGCGATTCGTGCATGAAAACGCGAAGAACGAAGAAGAACCGACCTGAGCGAAGCTCATCAACAGGTTGAAGAAGAGGCAGATGAGAAGGAAGAGGCGAAGAGCGAGAATTGATGTTCGATTGTTGATGTTCAGAGCCATTGTGAATCGAAGCCGTGGAAATTGCGAGGGAAGAAGGAATAGGCGGAGAGAAAATTGATATTTTCTCGGGAAAGTTGAAAGGGAAAAATTGAGTAAAAAGAAGAAAAGGTGAAGGGAAGAGATCTGAGTTAGCAGGATCTGGAATTGGGATCTGAATTAAGAATGCATAAAGAAAGGAGTGTAATAGAGAGATCCTGGGCTGCAAGATCTCCGAACATTGCCTTCGTTCTTTTAAGCATTTTATATGTGATTCTACTTTGCGAGAGTTTTTGCTACTAACGGGACAAGAGCCATATCACGCTCTCTCTCTCTCTCTTCAAGCCTAGTTCAACGATGCACCTAAAAGGTAATTGATAAAAATATATTGTTAACGGAAGTTCTTATGACTTGTTTTGGAAAGTTAATATTAGTATATTTTTATTAAAAAATAAATTATATTTGCACAATTTAAATCTAATAAAAAAATTCATATAACTTATTATTTAAATGTTTAATAAAAATCTTAAATAAAAAAAGTTCTCTCTCTTTGCTATTTTGTTAAATTTGCTGGACGGTTCGTTGGTTTAAACTAGTATTTTTCACCACAGGTTTAATTAAATTAAAAAAATAAAAATAATTTTTAAAATTATATTACATGATCTTTTAAAAATTATATTTATTAATAAGAAAATTTTAATTGGATTTAATAAAAATAAATAAAATGACAGTTTTTAAAAATTTAATAAAAATTATAAAAATTTCTAAAATTTAAGAATATTAAATTATATATATATATAATGTAAAAATTATTTAGTATGATGGGAAAGAAATTAGTAGTTACATTTTATATACAGAAATTGATTATTGAACCTGAATTAAATTAAATTTAGAGAAAAATAAATTAATTTTAATTATCAATTTTATATTAAAATATAGATAATGTAGAATAATTGTATTAAAATATCGTTGGGATATGTATTTAGATTAATTTTAATTATAAATGTTACTTTAAATCATAGTTGTGTTTGAAATAATTTACAGAAAACTTATGAGAATAATTTTCACTTTTATAAATTTTTGTTTACTTTATTTTAACAAACTTTTTTTTTATACAATTTATCAAAATAGACTTTTTTTTAATTTATATCAATAAATTTTATTAACTATTTTTATAAACTCTTTCTAAGATTTTATTTAAAATGATCGTCCTTTTTAGTCTTTAAAAGGAACTTAAGAAATGTTTTTTTATTTTAAACATCATTGACATGTATATCTTTATTATTTATTGCATTAATTCTATAATTAAGGATTTAAAAACATTATTATTAGAATATTTGAAATTTTGTAGTGTAATATCATATCCTATTTTTAAATCAATTATAACATAAACAATGAAAATTGAAAAATAAATCGTAACATGATTTATTTAAAAATAAATAAAAATATATAATTATGTAGAGAGTGTATTATGAGTTCAGATACATATAAGTTACGTAACTTATATATCACATATTTTAGAGATGTTTATTTATTTGTAATTTTATTCATAAGTAAAATTTTGGACTTAATTATATTTTTGTATTTATATTTTAATTTATATACGGTATGATCTTAGTTTTAATTATTTTCATTTAATTTTTAAAATTTTTAAAATTTTCAAAATCAAATTCATATTCTATAATTATAAATAATAAAAATATAAAGGAGGTATAAGATATTACTAATTTATATAAATTAGTGTAAAAAATTATAAAAAATTCATTTATTTAATTATTTCATTTTTTTACAGCTTTGCATTAATTAAAGATATATTACATACTTATTATATTTTTATTTATTACTGAATGAGATTTTGGTGTGAGAAAATTAATTAATATAACTAAGAAACTATAAGAGCTAAATATAAATAATTAAATTTAAAGAGACTAAAATTATATATAAACTAAAATATAAAGACTAAAAATATAGTTAAACCAGAATTTTGTTTGTTTTATTATTTTTCTTTACAAATGTTGTTCATCTAAATTGCACCAAATAATATTGTGATTTACCAATTTTTTTTTTATAAAAAATTGTAAAAACATTTCAATATATTACTTGAAAATTACCATTTTAAATCTTTAGTTACGATATCTCCAAATTGAATAAGAATCATTAGTAAAATTATTAAGAAAAAAACAAAGGTAGACTAAAGATTATACAATTTTTTTTAATCTCATAAAAGGGTATTACAACATAATAAAATAAATTTTAATGTTATTTTTAAAAAATATTGGTTATATTGTTTACATACAAGTATTAAATTATATAATGAGTGAATTAAAAGTAAACATAAATTTACACGAAAAATAAAACAAAATCAATTAATGTGACTATTAATTAAAAATTATTTATTATAATTTATAAAAATATAAATGTTTATATTAATTTGTTATTTTAAATTTAGAATCATATATAAAGCTAAAAATAAATCGTTGGGGTGAAGCGGCTTCCAATCCATAGTTTCATACAACTCCCCAATTATAGGCAATCAGATTCATGAAACAAGGGAATTTTGTTTACTTATTTGGACATATTGTTTTTATCTCCTTTTATTTTGTAATTTTGTGAACTAATATCCATTTTTTTTGGGGGTGTCAACTTCATGCTAAAACAGTGTGCCGTCTTCCACGAACTTTTTTCTTGTTTTCCTTTCTAAACCAATGGTTCCAAATTCGATTATCCACTCCTTTCGCCTTTTTTTTTCCTTTTTCTTTATGCACCAATGATCAATCACCACATGATTATAAATATCAACCCAACACAACAATGCCTTTTTCCCCTCTTATTTCCAAAAACAATTTCAATTTTACCAACATTAATTAAATTCAAATATAAAGCAAGAAAGAAAAACGATTCATTGGTTAGGTTACCAATGCAGTTTTTTTTTCTTATTTTCATATTTTTACATTTCACTCGAGAAGTGTGAAGTAAGATAATTATGACCATTAAGCGAGTCAAAGCTTTTTTTTATTATTATTATTACTTAACACAATTTTTAAATTTATTGTGGCTCGAGTTTAGAATTAAATTGTTTAATTATTTTAATAGGAAATATTACAGGGTGACGTAAAAAAGGCAGAGAAGTCAAATTTTGTGGATTTAAGAAATATGGAAAAAAATGGGGGAAAAAAAAACGCGGGGATGAAACGAACGTGTGTTGTGGAAAACGCGGGTGAAAAAAAGCGAATAGTGTTAGTAACAGTAACAGATGAGTAGCGTGGTGTGGTTGGTTGGTTTTTATTCCTTGTTCTCGTTTGTGGAGTGGAGAACACAACGCTACCTCTCTTTCCCTCTTTTCTCTTTCTCTTCACGAACACACACTCTCTTTCTCTAACTCTATTTGTATTTTTCCTCTTTTAAAAATATTAAATAATTATTAATTTTATTAAATTGTAATTGTTGTTGTTGTTGTTATTGTTGGGGGTGGAGGTTGATCGTAGCTAGAGTGAGTGGTGAGTGTGGGAAATGGAATGTGTAGAGTGATGATATGCGTATATGGAATTCGATGCTGCGATTCCCGTGTCCCGAGAGCACCTTCCTCAAGGTCCTTTTACTTTTTCTACATGCTTTCTCGTTCTTCGTTTTCATTATTCACAAAGATGAATTCAACAATTCAATTCGGTTCTTTCCGATCACTTGCGTTTTTGTGATCGCTAATGGTGATTGATGGACGATGATCGCGTGTTTTTTAATTGATATTTTGTTAATATTTTTTGGTCGATTGAGATTTGGAATTTGTCGAATGCTCTTGTGTGATTGTGAGATCTGAGTTGCTTAATCTCTTGTTTCTGTTTCTGCTATGTGTTTCGTGTGGAGTTCAATCATCGTCGTGTTAGGGACTTGCTTGCAAACTTTTTGTTTTTATTTTTGTTGGATTCTGCTTCCTTGTGTTTGTGTTGATGTTTCTTTAACCGCTTTGCGAATGTTTATGTTCACGCCATTTGGTCCTGTTTTTCTGCTTTTTGACTGGCAAGGAATACCGCAATCGAAGCTACTTTTTATGGATGTTTTTTGCTGTATCACCCTTTCTTGTTCTATTATATGAAAAATTATATGAATATTATAACCCTTACTGATTCAAAATAGTAAGTTTAGGTTTAGATGCTTTCAAGTAGTTTCGTGATAAATTGTTATTATTGAACAATTTAATAATCATTAATCTAGGAGCAATTTATGGAAACTTGTTTTTAATGAATATTTTGAATTTTAAACCTTTTTCCTTACTTCGGGTTTTTTAAAAGAACCTAGAGTATTGAGAGCATGGCAGATTTGGAAAAGCCTTGTGCTCATAGCATTCCCAAATGGGTTTTTAATGTGGCTAGGATAAAAATATCAGACTTAAAGTAAATATTCGTGCAAATTTAGATTTCATACACGTAACTTCTTCATTACAGTACGGGGCTATTAACGAGGGGACCCCGTCCCAACAGTGTATCATTGTTGTCTGGACATGTTATGATTTATCATAGCTATATTACTTCATTCACTCTTTTATATTTTTAGGTAAGGTTAAGATGATGCCTCTTTTAAGAAATTGACTTGTTATGCCGGGTTATTTCAGATGCAATGTGGCAAATGAACTTGAGGTCCAGTGAAACAATGGAATCAGGACCTTATCCTGAGCATCCAGGAGAACCAGACTGTTCATATTACATCAGAACTGGCCTTTGTAGATTTGGAGCAACATGTCGATTTAATCATCCTCCTAATAGGAAGCTGGTATGATCTGTGCAATGCTTTGGGACAAATTGTAATTATATATTAAATAATGTATGTAGTAGATATTCTGAATACATAATTCTTAGCTTTTATATGCAAATTCCAAAGTATAACTATGATTGAAATTGAATATTCCAATCTGATGGAAACAATTGACAGTCGAAACTATTTGCTGTTGTCCCTTTATATTCTTATTTCACAAGTTTTATTTGCTTAGTGTATTTCTGTTAAAAATGCTTTCATTTTCCACATACTAAATTGGACTATGTCAGTACATTAGCAGACATCAAAGATGCATGAACACTTGGGAGGATATAACTTTGCATTTGTGTATAGCATTTGTTTTTCTTTACAAATACAAGCTATTTTCATGAGTAAATTTCTATTATCTGTTTTGGCTCAGTTTTTTATTTTGTGTAATCTTGTTTCTGTGCTGTATACAGTTGAAACTGTCTTGCTGTACTGTTGGTACTTTTTCATTTTGATCACACATTATTAATTAAATAATATTTACCAGATAGGTTTTTCTTTGAATACTATCAGGCTATTGCCGCTGCAAGGATGAAAGGCGAATTCCCAGAAAGGATAGGACAGCCAGAATGTCAGGCATGTACTTGTTTCTCAATGAGTGCATAAGGTGCATATTGCTTGTTTATGTGCATGCTCTGTGAATTTTTTTTTTCTAAAGGGGGAATTTTATAATTTTCCACAATTATAGTTCCTGGACTCTATAGAATACTGGAATTGCCTGAGGGAATTCCTCACAGCCCCCTATGAATTTATATTTATAGGAGATAAATATATTATCTAAGGGGATGGGGGATTTGGATCCTTGGTGAGGATATCTCCCCTGGTCGATCATTGGACTGTTGGAGTTCACAATTAAAATAGTGAATATTTGTAGAAAGAAAATTTCACCGTATAATATGGCAATCAATCTCAGTGTGCTTTGTTTGCTCAAAACTAGATTGGAGGTAATATGTAACATAGCTTAATTATTACAAATAACTTCTACAGGACTTGTCTTGCAAAACCTCAACTCTTGAATTTACTGTTTTAACTATATAAGTTCACAAGTTGTAAGACTCCTTGACTCCCCTTGAACATCAAACTAGGTGCTTGATCCATGTAAATTTCTTATTCTAGTCTGTCCTATTGCTTAGAGGCTATTGATTCATAGTAGCCATAGATAAGAAAAGTTGAACAGACGCCATTTTAGCAAAAGGGAGAAGATATCATCATAAATCAAATCTAGAGAGAAGAAGGTTCTATACCAACTTTAAATCTTTAGAACTCTGATACCAACTAAGACATATTATATATATATATATAAAACAAGATTTTCTCACATTAGTATAAGTCTAAAAATTCTTACATTTGATTTGAACTTTTTATTTAATTTACATTTAACAGATTATAATTTATTATTTCACTGATTGTTAGATGTAAGTTAAATGAAAGACTTAGATTGAGTATAATAGTTTTTAGTGTGAGAAAATCCTTCTCTTATATATATAATAAAAGATAACTCCTAAATTGTAGAGCTAGAAGAAAAGTATATTATCTATAATAACTAACAGTGGCAATCTGTATAGGGAAATTGGATGGGTCCGCATGTCCAAATTGTTTTCAACACCCTGATGAATGGAGGTTGGGAGAAAGGAATCAAGCAGTCAACAAATGTTGCATGTCATCCATTTTCTTACTTCTGTCTGGAATTATTTATCCATATTTATCTGAAAAGTGGTATATTTTAGGTGGAAAGTTAATATAATTTGAATTTGCTTTCTGTCTAAACGTCTTTGACTAAATTTTTAGGTAGCTGGTGTATGTTTATCTAACATTAGTTCCGTTGAGCTTTCTATCTGGCTGAAAACCAGTTTAACAATTTACTACTTGAAGGCTCGAAGAGCGTTTCTTTTTTTCTTTTAAGAAAAAGTTGTTTGTGTTTGTCCTTAGAACTATTATTCTATATAGTTATTTGATATGCAACCATTATCTTCTTTTAGCAAATCTTGATCATTGATCTAGGTAGCAAAACAGCTAGGAAAATGACTTCATATCTAACTATAAATGGTTGTTTTGCTTGATTTCCATATTTGATTTTATAATCTTTACAGGTAGTATCAATGTTAATGTCAACCTTATACTGTAAAGCATTGGTTTTGGTCTTGATGTAGTGTCTATGTGTGTGTTGTGCGTGCGCGCGTGTACTTGTGTGTTTAAACATCCATCATACTACAAATACTGATCCTTTTTTTGTGCTTTCCAGTACTATTTAAAAACAGGAACTTGCAAATTTGGAGCCACATGCAGGTTTCATCATCCTAGAGACAAAGCTGGGATTGCTGGAAGAGTTGATTTGAATATTTTAGGCTATCCCCTCCGCCCAGTTAGTATTGAATATTTCTCTCTTACTTATATTGAAGTAGTGAAGACAGTAGTTGGTTGTCAATTTGTGGCCCATTCTTGTTTCATTGCTCATTTGGCTTAACATAATTAATTTGCCTGACATACTTTTAGACTGAAAAGCTTTAATTCAGATGATACTTCTTTATGTCCTGTTTACATTTTCTAAAAAATTTGAGGCCTTGCTTACTTCTATTCAAATAATACATCTGACAGCTGAAGGTTATGTGGAATTGTTGATGTTAATTGTCTAATTCTTTATTTTCTTTGTTTCTTGTCGCTATAGAATGAGCCTGAATGTGCTTATTATTTAAGAACTGGACAATGTAAATTTGGGAACACTTGCAAATTTCACCATCCTCAACCAAGTAATATGGTGCTTTCCATGCGAAGTTCTCCTGTTTATCCTACCATCCATTCTCCAACTACACCAGGTCAGCAGTCATATGCAGCAGGAATTACAAATTGGTCCAGTTCATCATATATTCCTAGCCCACGTTGGCAAGCCCCTTCAAGTTATGCACCTTTGATTCTACCTCAGGGAATGGTTTCAGTGCCTGGGTGGAGTGCATACAGTGTAAGCTCATCCATCTTTTCATAGAGAAGGCTATAAGGAATAAATATAAAGATGTGATATTCTATGTTTGTGTCTTATTACAAGGCGCACTTCTGTAATTGGAGTGCTTGTTAAATTAAATGTGTTGTTTCCCTCTGTTAATTTGTGGGATGGTCTCAAAGCGTCCATGACCATATAGTGGAGTTTGATTCTTGTTTTCCTCGTTCTTCTGTTTAAAAGTTAAATTTCAGCTGTGGGTGTCTTTGCATGGCCAGGCTTTAGGCCCAAAAAACTCGTGTGTGAAGGGGTGTGTTAGATATAAAACCATTCATGTGTTCCACCTAACAGCTTTAACTTTTGAGAGTGTTGGTTCATGACCCCATCATTTATATTTCCTTCAGATTTTGGTCTGCCTATGTGAATGACTGTTTGATTTGACTCTAGACTTTTAACCTTGTCAGGCTATTAGGATATATTCCCATCCCATGTCCTTTTCTATCAATGTTTTTTCTTATGAAAAATTGAGTTTGTAACTCTATTGGAGAGAAATTTTATTGCATTTATTTTGCCAATAATACATTGGCATCATCTATCTGATTTTATGGTGAACAATCAAATATTAATATAATCAGATATGTATTGGCTTATTTTAATAGAACTTGCCATTGCTGAGTTGTATCAACATCCTGATGAAACATTTATTTTTCCAGGGTCAAATGGGATCAGACAGTCCTCAGCAAACAATAGGAAATGGTCAAACCTATGGAACTTCTCGGCAAGGTGAACCATCAAACGCAGGATCTCAAGGGGGTTATTCTCAATTTCGTTCTGGCTCTGTTCCTGTAGGATTCTATCCGTTGCAGAGGGAGAACATATTTCCTGAGAGACCTGGTCAGCCTGAATGCCAGTTCTACATGAAGACTGGAGATTGCAAATTTGGTGCAGTCTGTCGTTTCCATCATCCACGTGAAAGGATGATACCTGCTCCTGACTGTGTTTTGAGTCCCATGGGCCTTCCTTTACGTCATGTGAGTTGAATTCTTGTTCTTGGGGTTCTATGCAGCAAGTTTATTTTTCATTAAGTTGGATTATTTTTTTCCTGAAGCATTTCATTATAGTTCTCATAGGTTTTAACTTGAGCATAGTAAGGCATAGAAAAAGAACAAGTTTTCTTAATTATGCTTGTAGATGGTTGATTTGTTACTGTATTATTCTTTAGTCTTCTCATGTTTCTACTATTTAGATTTTGATCCTCTGATTTTAGCTCCTCACAGAGAGATAGACATGGCACATTTGTGGAACTCTATGCAGGAAGTTTTAGAAGCCTGTGCTGGAAATTTGGGTCCTAAAATGACTAACTCCATGTCTAATAGGGAACTTAACACAATAAAAATGAGAACGCACAACAAATGAGAAGAAATAACGAACTTATTCTATTTGATTGAAAGCAAGAAATATAGAAGGATGAGAAATCCCACTGCTCAGAGCGTAAGCTCCTTTAGAGCAACCAAAATGGCCTTCTACCCAAAACAATCAACAAAACAGAATTCCCCCATTGGTCCCCATACCTGATCCTAAAGACAATGGAGATCCCCCCTTTTTCTCTCTCATCTAACCAACCTATTTCTCATAGCTTGCCACGTCACTTTTTCTAGTTTTCTTCCTCTCATACATCCTTCCCCATTTACGTGTATTAGCTTCTTGGATCAATGGCTCATTTGGCCCATATGCATTTGGGTCTGTATCAATGTCAATTTAGGAGCTAAAATGAGCAACAATGTAATTTGTAAGCCAGAATAGTGTTGTATATTTACGCCATTTAGGGACAACATGGTATATAACTTTTGGTATCCTATATTGATAATAACTTTTTCTGTGATTTGATAGCATATTTTATTGCTCATTTTAAACGTTAGGCTACTTATATTTCAAAAGTTATCGACACAGAATAACAAGTTACTATCTTAAAAGGGATAACATACTAGCAATTGTAAAATGATTTAAAATAATCATTTTATTTTGGTGTGTGATATATCCCCATCTAAGGTGTTGTTTGGAACACATTACATGAAAAATAGGGATAAGCTCTCCATGTAAACATGACTACAATGGGTAGTAACTAATATAATAACCTATGGGACATGGGTCTCATGTCAGAGAGAGGGAAAAGAGTGGAGGCGGTGTGGGAGATATGGTATCAGTTTCTGTTAGATTTCTATCAGTGTGAAATTAACATTTTCGTGAAATGAAAAATCCAAAGCACCGTATGTTAGAGTACTTTTTTTTTAATATTAGGAAGTAATATGTCCTAGATGCATGACATCCTATAAATGGTTTAAATCACCATACATGAAAAATCTTATGATTGAGCTTTGCATGAGCACCAAGAGATGTTTGAATTGGGAGAAGTGCATTTTTTAGTGTAACATTGAAGAAAGGAGAGATAATGAAAAGGATGGTTACCAATAGGAGTTGTTTGAAGTATATGCTTCCCTTGCTATGTCTAAATCAATTTGTGATATCTTATGGCTTAGGTATTGATCTGTAAGTTTCTTGATGTAGCATATCATTCCCAAAATTTGTGTCAATGAACATGTGTGATATAATTCTTAAAAGTATTTTAAACTTGATATATGTACTTGTTTTTCTTGGGAAAAGTGAATAAATGCATAAAAAATTATTTGTTTATTGTGATTAGAGAGATGAGAAGATATGCAATTATTTGTGCATTGTTCTCCTCACATTAATTTGATTTTTTTATTGATTTTGGTACATGCTGATAGAGTTACTGTCCCATTTCCTACAGGGAGAACCTTTGTGTGTCTTCTATTCACGTTATGGCATATGCAAATTTGGTCCAAGTTGCAAGTTTGATCACCCAATGGGAATCTTCACCTATAATATGTCTGCATCACCTTCAGCTGATGCCCAAGGACGGCGTCTGTTGGGTTCTTCATCAGGAACTGCTGCATTAAATTTATCATCAGAAGGACTTGTTGAGTCAGGCTCAGCAAAGCCTAGGAGGCTATCATTATCTGAGACTAGACAGATCGCTTCTGGTGATGATAACATTGATGAAGAGGGATAATGATGTCTCTTGGAAATGGGTCATCTGCTTTTTACAATTTTTTCGGGGGAGAAAGGGTAATCTGTAAATTGATTTTCCCATTGCTGGAGATGTACAGACTACAGCGTTCATGTCAAGCTGATTCTGTCAACCTGATATTGCATGCAGTTGACAGATTCAGTTTCTGGATTTCATGCAGCCACATTGTATAAATTTTACAAATATTTGTCACATTTGGTCAATATCCAATGTGAACATTTCTTTAGTCCTTAAGTCAGTCTATCTATTTAATGTTTCCCAATATGTAAAAAATATTTTTCTGAAAATCTATGATTATCAATATTTGGCTCCCGTGCAAATCTTTCTTTGGTGCAGGTTTGAATTCAGCGCAAAGCCTTTTCTTTCTCAAAACAGTTGGGTTTATGCTGTCTACTGTACATTTATAGAAATCTTTCTCAACAGCAAGCCAACAGTATGATCATTATCCTTTTATTTTTCATATTTTTGTACATTCTTATCAGGGTTTGGCAGCAGTCAAAGGAAGTCTTAATTGTTGTATGCGTGCATATTTTCTTGAAAGTCAAAATAAAAGCTACTGTTCTAGAAATTAATTTTTAATTCTACTTTCCCATGATATAATTGTTCTTTTTGTAGTGATTGATTGTCCTGGATAGAGTTCATTTTGCAGAAATTGAAAGGAAAGAGTCTAAACTGTGAATTTTGGAGGCAGCATAAGCACATGCTAATTGTATGCTGTTTTTGCAAATATCAAGCCTAAACGCCAATGTGACATTACTTCTTGTAGGGTTTCAGGCTACAATTTACTTAATTACATGCTCCAATTAATGGTGAGTGAATGGATGGTCTTTTCTGGCTTGGAGTTTGATTAACAGTTCGCATGCAAATCATCGTTGGGAATTTAAATATTTTTGGGAGGCTTATTAGAAGCATTGTTTCAGTGGCTGAATATAGATGTATGTGATGTGTAATGTGTTGCTCGCTGATTCTAGTATGTGTTATCAATAAAAGCTTATTCAGATACTGCGTTCATTCTTTCCTTGTTTAACTTTCTTACACAGAACGGTGTAATGGTAATTGTCACGATTTGGACTAATGATGTTTTTTGCAGCGTGTGAGAAGAATAAGGATGTGTTTGCTCACTGTTTTTTTGAAAAAACTGTTGTCGGTTTTCCAGAAATTATAACAATTAAAAGCTTGTTTGATTGACCTTTCATATTATGATTGATTCCCAGTTTATATCTTCATCTTTCATGGTGAGTGCAGTAACCTTGCATGCATTGCAACTTTGCCTATCCCGCCGAGTGAGTAGTGATTTGATATACGGCATTAATTCAGTTGGTTGATCGGTTATATAATCTGAACCACTCGGGAGGCTCATTCTTTTAATGGGAAAAATTGGTCCAGATTGCATTTTCCTTTTGTGGGAAAATATTGTTTTTGCAGAAAATATTATTGAAAGCGTGGACTAAACAGATGCTGCAACTTGACGTTGTAAAGCATAGGATAAACAAATTTAATAGGCTCTTTTCTGCCCATTTTTATTTCCATGGTTGTCTGCTGTGTCTGCGGTCCACTAGCAACTCTCCTTGAACCGTTCATTGCTTTTACCTCTAATTGTGCGTGCACGAATTTAAAGCTGTGTATGTTCTAAGGAGTATCTGTTAATGTTTCTTCTCTTCTATATTTGGTGACATGTGGAAACCCTCTCCTCACAGTCAAATATACTACTTAAAAAGCGAAAAAAGGTACAACCAGTGATGAATGTCTCTACCGGAACCACGACTATAAAATTAAGTAAAAGCAGACGCCAAAAATATAATTTTACTAAATAAATTATAAAATTATAATTACTTTAAAAATTATAATAATTTATAAAATTATTGTAATTTTTGTTTAAAGATCAATTACATTAATAAAATAAAATAAATAGTGTAATAATAAAATAAATAACATAATACAATGGAAAAAAAATTTAAGAAAATAAATAGGACAATATTTAACGAGACAGTAATTAAGAAATTTTATTAAAATATTGAAGAAAAATAAAAAACAAGTAATAAGTTATTAAATTATAAGCTTAAATATTAATTCAAGTAGTATATGTAAAACACTATAAATTAGTGAGATAAATATATTTATCAAATGTATTTTGATCAAATAAAGTTTTAAAGTAATTAAATTATAAAGTAGTTGATATAACTTGTCAAACACATTCTAAACCTTTTTTTATTAGTGGAGTTGATTACAAGAATCAAAAGATGCTATAATTGTTTTCGTAAATAATGCGTATAAATAATTTATTCACCCCTAAAATTAAATATTTTCATTTAAAATTTTTTTATCTTCCTATAAAACTCATTATTCGAAGGTTAATTTATCTTAAAAATACTCTAATTTGATTATTTGTATATATATATCCATCCAAGTACGCAACATAAAATCAATCTTTCTGCTTTCGAAATTGAAAATAATAGATATCCTCCATAAATGATAAGTTTAGAATATTCACTGTATAAAAATTAGATATCTTAATAGGGATTTTATTTTTTTTCTTCATTTATAAAGTTTGAAGACTTAGAAGAAATTGAACATGTATCAGCTGAACTAACAATCTATTGATATAAATAATGTTTATCTTATCTTATAGACAAATGCTACCTGTCCAAAAAAAAAACATTTAAAATATTATCAAAGCATTATTTATTAGTTTATTAACTAATATATTTAGAGTACTAATTAACAAAACTCTATTTTACTCACCCAATCTAGGTTATTTCACATTTTTAAAGTAATGTTATATTTTCTATAAAATCTTCCTATCAATTCTCTTATAATTTTGTAAGATAGTATGGAATAAAAAATATATATTTTATATTTAAAAAATAAAATATATTATGAATATTTAACATTGTTAACGAGCAGAAAAATTAAAAATATCTTTATACCTTTTAATAAAATTTATCTCTAAACTATAATGATATTTTATTAACAGTTATAGGATATATTTTAAAATATTATATTATTATATTTAATGACTATTATTAAAGAGCTATATCATAGTGATTTTTTTACATATTCAATGTTATGCAGATAAAAAGTTATACATAATAAATTTTTATTAAAATTATAAAATAAAAAGTTATTACATGACTTTATATATATATATATATATATATATATATATATATATATTAGTTATTGAAATAATTATAGAGAGATTATAAGAATAAAGTTTTTCATTATGAAAGGACCACCCGACCACCTTATACAAAACCGTCTTTTCCAACGCAAGCCTCAGTGTGAGTGCCAACTTGCATCCTCTCTATCCATTTGTGAAGAAGCATATGATTGATGTAGAATTGTAAATGTAGTGCCTCCGTTCACATAAATATAATCAGGTCCACACTCTACTCTGTTTTCTTTTCTTCTTTTTCCTTATTACACAGCCCACCACTCCTATTTTACTCCACCCTTTATTAGGTTTACAGAAACACACATTTGCCTCCAACAATTTCACTTTACTCCATATTTGGATATGCATTCAAACGCCTCAATTTTTTGTTCTTTTTACTTATATTGCAATTTTAAATTTGGAGTAAACACTCAATGTGGTTCTTGAAAATATTTCTTGAACACTCAATTTAAGCTTTTTAAAAATAAATGTTATTAAGTAGTCTTTATTTTTTCTTTACAAAGCAGGTTTGTCTATTTATTATAATATTGCTATTTAACTTGAGATGATTTTAATAATTTTTATTTTATAAGTTTATAAAATAAAGTTACTAGTGCCATTTTAGCTAGTTAACATGTTATATAAATTCTATTAAGTTAAACGGAGGTATTTTAACGAAGGGACTAACCTATCTAAAAAATATTCAGAGATTTAGTGACTTATGTTTTCATGAACTAAACTAAATTTAGTACAAAATTTTTATAGACTTTTACTCATAAATGTATGTTTGAGTTAACATGTTATTAAAATTTTTATATTGGGTTAAAATTTATTTTTTAAAATATAAATGATTTTACTTTAAATTTAATTTTAAATAAAATTAATGTTAGAAAATTAAATTAATTTAAATTCAAATATGTAAAAACGCTTACTCAGAGAACAGAGACACACTCACTCCCCTCCATTCCTCTTATACCTGAGTTGAGAGTGAGATGGGAAGAGAGAGAGAATGTGTGTGTGATTGAGTGTTCGATATTCTTCAATTAAATAAACTTCATTTGTTTCTCTCTCTTTCTCTGTTCTCTTTACCTCTACAACCCAAAGGGCCACTCACTACTCACTCGCTGTGCTGTGGCCTCTGTTTTCAAAGCAAACCCTTGTTCTCGTCCTTCCCCTTCTCTTCCTTTCGCCACTCTCTTTCAACTTTCAACTCATAATTCATTTTCCCTATTCTTCTTAGCTTCTACTCTCTCTTTCTGCAATCTGCAAAACTAGCTATTCAGTTTAGTTATCAAACCAAGCCAAACCTCAAATCAAATATTTATATTTTTATACTAATAGGCACCAAATACACATTTATGATACACCAATTTGAAGCTTGTCCACACAAGACAAGAATTTTCAGCCCCTTTCCTTAAACAAACCTAAGAGTCAGACGAAGAAGCGCTTGTCAGTGACCAACCAACCATGATGTCTTCTCATGGCCTCATCATCTCTCTCATTTTTGTGTCCATTTTAGCCAATGAGGCCAGCTTGGTCCATGTGAGTCCTCTCTCTCTCTCTCTCTCTCTCTCTCTTCAAATCAAAGTTTACTTTTTTGAATTTGATTGGTTGATCTAGCCACTTTTTGTGGCTACCCCAAGTAATGTTTCTTTTGAATTTTCTCTTGGGTAGCACTGTAAATTGAAAAAGAACGGATTTTTATGATTAGGAGGCAAATGGGTCATTTCCAATGGTGCCCTTGGTGGAGGCTGGGAAGATGGAAATGATGATGGTGATGAATGAGAGCAGAAGGAAACTTGGAAGCTTCCAGATATGTGCTTTGTGTACCTGCTGTGGTGGAGCAAAAGGAATGTGCTTGCCCTCTCCTTGTTGCTATGCCATCAATTGCAACATTCCTCATAGACCTTTTGGCTTCTGTTCATTCACTCCGAAGACCTGTAATTGCTTTGGATGCCATCTTTAATTCCCCTCTTCCTTGCTCCCCCCTTATCATAGTTTTATAAAAATAATTGAAAAAATTGAAGGTTATCTTTAGTTAATTCTGTTGCAAGTGTGAATGAGAAGTGAAGAATATCGGTTCTTGATTTGATTGTTTATTAGTTATAATTAATTATTTGGGGATTGTTATTTCCAGGGATTTTATGTTTTGTTTTGATTTTGATTTTATTTTTTCTGCTGCTCTTACTGGGATTTGTTAGGGGTGCCTGGAGATAGCACATTGTCTGATTGTCAGAGTAGCCATATATGATATAATATATGAAGTACATGAGGAATCAAGAAAACATTGTCCCTTTATGTGCAGATATTGGGGTTCATCATAATTTTTCACTTTTTTGAATGAATATAGTAATGCAAGTGCGCAGTAAGGTTGTCGTTTGGCCAGGACTAAGATTCAACTTTACAACTTATTCTCGTTTTGTTAAGAGGATTTGTGTGTTTCTTTCCTTTAATTATTTCATTTGTTTATTTTAACGATGTGATGTTCTTATGCAGATTGCACTATTGAGGGATTTTTTAATTGAATATTATAATGTTGATTTCTTGTATCTACTAATATTTTGCTGCCTCTACCACACCCTCTCTTCATCCCAAAATTACCTTCACTGCCCCCAAGCACTTGTTTTCTTTTGGGGCATAATGTATCATTCATTATATCTTTGGCTTATATTAGATTTGCTTGTTACCTAATTAATTAAAAGCTATTACCTTCATAGTAATAAAAGCTTGTTCCTGGTGTGTGAATTTGTATATTTACTACACTCATTGGATGCAACGAATGAAAATTTATGACCAAACTTGTGATTATAGTAACCCATAAAAGATACGAGGGTTGATCTATGTCATGCTTATCAATTTGGGTGGTCCAAGAAATTGATAAATGGGGCACTCTTAGAGGGAGACAACAAGGGGGGGCAGATGGTTAGCTTTTCACTTACCTTTGATAGAGGGGACTGAAGAGTGCTAATTTTGGTGAAAAGCCCTTGTGTTGATGGGTCTTAATTGTTGGTGGTGTAGATGGATGTGATGATATTAATGCATATTGGTGTACCCAACCGTATATATTATATTAAGGTGGGTGGTGGTTGGGTGGAAGTAGGGCAATTAAGCCTTAGCCACAAACCTGCTGCGTTTGTAAGTTGTTGGTTCACACTGCCCTTATTGACTCCTCAGTATTAACACAGCAAGACTTGGTCTTTGCAAATTGTTGCTGCATTTTATTTATAGACTTCTTGTTTAATGTTTAATACTAAAGCTCATTTTGGGTATACTTTATGCTAAAACTAATATGAAAAATGAATAAAATTTTTCTGATAAGTTAAAAGTAATCTGTATTCATCAAGTTTTACATAAGTTATTTTAATTTATGTGCACAGTTTAACTCATTTTACTATTTAATTTTTTGACTCCTATAGGTACTTTTTGATAAATTTATATGGCCTAATACTAATACTTCTATTGTGTTTACAAAGCATGAATGTTTATCAATATTGGTACACTTATGAGAATGACTATGGGTGTAAGCTTTGGAGTTGCATCTAAATCTGGTGTGTTGTGAAACATTGTTTGGGAATCTTGCTGACCTCATCTTGGCTACATACCATGTGCTGTTTAAAACATATTTTAGGGATCAAATCAAGATGGCCATTGGCTGTTTTGTAATTTACCCTTGTTTTATATAATGTGCCAGCATGTTGTTTCATATATGTTGATTGGTATCAATGTGTATTACATTTACTCTCTCTTTAGCAATACAAACGAGGATAAAATTATTTTCTTATAATATTTTTTTAAAACAAACCAATTAACTTTAACTATTTTTGTTAGTTTTTGTAATTTAATTAAATGTACCTTATAAAAGGGACCAGAAGGAAGTATTTACTTAACCATATTGGTATTTATATTTTGCTGCAAATATGTTTCTTTAGCATGAGGAAACTTAAGAACCCCGTAACTGGTTGGTAATTTAGGGGTAGAGTTGCAAGTGGTAGGGACACGATTCCACATTCAATATGAAGAATTTCCCACAAGTTTCAGTCTTTTAAAATTAGAATTACAATTTTAAGGCCAAATTTTGTGTAATTATAATATAACTTGAATCAATCCTTTAAAAAGCATCAAAATATTAAAACAACGATTATGAATGTTTCTCTTACCATGAATTATTGATTGTATGCCATGTATTTTTAGTGTTAATTATATGAATAGTGGAAATAATAATCATCCATGTAATTAGTTTGACACATTTTCATTAATTTGATAATAGAGAATTGTAGCTAAGACTTAAGAGGGTGTGATAGGTGACCTTGACTTAGTATGAAGGAACCAATTGTGATAAAGGGTTTTACCATATATGAATTATAGCAAAGCCTTGACTTGTTGACAATGAGCATTGGTTTCACACCTATCGCAAAATATGAAAACAAGACTTCGCAATCATAAATTTTATTTATTTGAATGAGTTTTAAATATTAGTTTCTTGTAACTAAAACTAGAGAGTACTCTTGAGTCTTGACAACTATTTTGAATGATATCCAGTTGTTCTTTTAAATTGCAGGTATTTTGTTTTTTTACTTTTACTCACAAGATAATGAAGGTCACTATTATCAATGAAAAAAAAAAAGAGGTGTAATATACAATGAATAATATCAAACTTGTATAATAATGATATATTAATGTTACAATAAAAACGTTTTAGCAAAATAAAGATTGAATGTTAAGTTACAGTAGCATGTATAATTATTATCACTATTATTTAATTTATTTATTTATTTTAAATATTTGAAGGCATATATATGATTACATTGTGTTTATGTAATTTAACTTTGAATAAATATGCACAAGTATAACAATATGATTTTCATTGTAACTCTATTTACTTATGAATAAAACTGTTCCCAAATTTTATAAAAAAATTGCTGTAACAATACTATTTTAGTTGTACTAATTACACTATTTCATCATACTAATAATCAAATGGCTTAAATTAGCTATAGTGCATGTCAAATTATAACAATGGCAACGAAACTGTGGATGACAACGAAACGTACAGAGGCTGCGTATGATAATTAATAAGGACAATAAGTGAATTGTTGGGAAAATGTTTACCCCTAAAGCGAGTTAAGAGTATAATTAAACTGTATAAACAAAGTGAATTTTAAATATGTTTTTAATTTTTATGTATTTTAAGTTTTTATTTTTTATTTTCTTTTTAAATCTGACCCTCTTAATTATGAGTGACAACGTGATTAACTAAAAAATTAATAAAAGGGATAAAAAATGCTAATTAAAAAAATTAATGACTAAAATTTAAATTTTATACAAATAGAATAAAAATATATTTAAATAATAAAATAATACAATAAAAAGAGATTAAAAAATATTAAATAAGTGATGCTATTATTAGAGTGCTTATAAATTGTTATCAAAATTAACTTTAAAAAAATGAGAGAAGTGCGAAGTTATGGTATGAAGTTGGTCAGAGGGTATTTAAAATCTGTGAACACACCTTTTTAACATTTTTGTAACACGTTTCATTGATGAATCATGCTTCACATATTTTTTTTAATAATTGAAAAAACATATTTTATAACACAAGGAGTGGTCCAGTAATAAATAGAGAAAGTGTTAGAAGTTCAAGGAGAGATAATTACCTCATTATATTACAATGCATGTTGAATTCAGGATCTGTCTATTTTGGCTTAGTTTTGAATAAGAACATGAAAAATAGGAAATTAAAGTAAAAGAAAAAAAGTAATAGGAAAGGTTAAATGAAATGCACCCACATTACTTAAGGTGAATTTCTCCCCAAGAAATAATGTTGCCCTTGAGATGTTCAAAAAAAATCTCTAGGCTATTTCATGCACTCTCCATGATCATCACTTGCTCCAAATGCCAATTTATTTTTCTTCTTTTTACATAAATGAAAAAATTGTGTGTATTTTTATGAACTTTACACAAAACTTGAATTCTTGAAGTGGCTATTGAAATGGATCAATCCAACATTCATCCTCCTCAACTGCCTTTTGCCATCGTTTTCTAAAAACTTGTAATTCGCGGTAAGAAAGTCTTCTCACCTTCACCATAACCATTACCAAAATAATGTAAATTAGTAACAAGTCAACATCAGCAACAACATTATTTAGACGTAATTAAGGAGTAAATAACAATTGTTTAACATAAAAAATCCCTCACCAAATGAACTGATATATACTATAAATAGAAATACTTTTCATCATATAAATTGAAATAATACTAATGAAGTTGAACAAATGATCATTTGAACTAACTGGCCAAGCAATTAGCAAAGAGAGATAGATAGTGACAATGGAGTGTGATTGTCATTGAAGTTTACGAGTACCTAGATAAAAGTTCTCTATTCAATAAACCAAACTTTTCCTTTTCTCTCTTCAGAGATTTGCATTGGGCTAATGATAATAACAACAAAACTATAAAAAAAAATAATTTTCTTTCCTATCAAACAAAAACTAGATGAGTAATTTTGGAACATAAAAATGCATTGTGGTGCTAACAGAGGTAAAATTTTTAGAGTGCCATTGGTTTTGATTGAAAATTTATGACAATACTATAACTTACATCAACTCTATGATCCTTTGCCCGAGATGAAACCTGCAAGTCATAGATAAACTTCACTTTCATTCATATTACAAATTATACCTTTGCAAACTTAAGAGGACAATCATCTGTACAAAGTTAAATTCTCTTATAAAAATTCCTTATTTCTGACCTCATTCACATCTAAACCTCCAAGAGTAGGATGACCATAATGGACTATGTATTCAGCATCCACAACACCAACATTTTTTGTTCGATCGCCCTATTAACCATAAATAATGTCAGATTAAGCTACAAAGTAAAATAAAAAAACATAAGTAAATGTATCAACATGTGGAAGAATATGAACTTAACATGCCTGAGCACAATAGCCAAGTTGCATATCTAGACCCCATGCATGGATCAAATCATTCTGTAAATAAAGTAAAACCATAAATGATGAATAAATATATGTAACTTAGCAAAGCAATGCTTATAGTAATGCTCGTCAGAAGCATTAATATGAGAATGGTGCACCTGGATCATATACCAAACACAACGCCAAGCAGCTCTTGAGAAAACAGGAGCCATCATTTCAACCCACCTGAAAAAGTAGTTTATCTTTCTTAAACAAAAGTAATATAAAGAAAATCCACATTAAATTAGAAGTTACCAAATTTTGTTATACCCGGTGCAAGGAGGAGCAGTGCTACTTTCATCACACCCTTTACCTCTACCACCAGTTTTGTAAGTCCTTCTGCTAACACAATGACCAAAAGCATACTCAATATAGACACGAGTATCTACTTTAAAGCTTATTTAATAACATGATTTGTCAATGAAAGTGCTTCAGCACAGGTTACGGAAATTTGAACTCTGGTATTTATTTAGACTAGGTGTTTGATTTACAAGTAAAATTAATTTCATATACTCTGATACACGTTCTAATGTAAAATCTGCGGTGAGATTAACTTGGACGCACATCTTAATCACGTTCAACAGTTCAAAATCAATTTTATTGCAATAAAAACTAAGGGCACTTAAATAACTAAATTACTGACTGCTTTTAACACAAAATCTAAAACAAAGCTAGAAGTGCATGTTGCAGTGCATAGAGTTGATGGTGATTGGTGACTCATGGTCTAACTAATGTGATAATGGGAGCCGGTTATCCCTCATAAAGATGAAACTGTTAATGTTCTATTATATCTATAGTATACAGTAGCTACTATAATGAGACGAAAAAAAAAATGTTTCTTGCAAGCAAACAAAATCATAATTGGCTGTAGCAAAAGGGTAGACAAGAGAACCTGTGCACTTTTGACCTTCTCCCACGTGCGGTTATCTGATGATGTACCTCTGATTTCTCAGTATCAAGTGCTGGTTGTGATATCTCCAGCCCTTCACTTTTTATAATAGAAACATACCTAAAATCATTGAAGTATAAACTATCAAACACTGATCCTTAAGATGGTGTACTAATAATGTATAGAACCTTATTCACAGTAATAAAATTTAATGTGTACTTGCTCAAGTTACGTGCTTATAGAATAAATTGTACATACTTATCAGGATGGAAATGTTCCACTCCAAGATCCTCATCCCAAAGGAAAATATAACCATATTCTGCAACTATGTCAGGGTGTAAGAAACGCTTGGCAAACCACCTAGTTATGAAAAACGTGTCCAAGAATAAACGTTTGTAGAATAATTGAATCACTGAAATTCTTGATGGTAATGAAACGTGATGTCACCTACCATTTACTTTGATTGGCTACAGACACATGAATAACATGATTACTCCATTCAAAGTCATTCCATTCGTCAACAATGCCATCATAGTGGAAAAGCATCACCACAAAATTACTTACTAGAAACTGCAATTTGGGGTAGAATGAGTCAACACACATCAAAGTAGAATACTAGTAATGAGCAATATGTACAGAACATTCCTTGAAGTACCTTTTTGACCATTTTGTTCACTAGATCTTTTTGCTTTATTCCTACTGCCATTGCAAACAAATTGGTTGATGCATTTTCCTTATTCTGTTCAAATGTGCCCAAGTCAAAACCCAAAAGGAAAGAAATAAATTGGAGAAGAATAGCCTTAAAAGAATTTACAAACTGAGGCTGAACTCAATTGAAGAGACTACTTGACCTAAATAGAAAACTTCACATTAAAAAAAAAAAAAAAAACTTTAAGGAGAGTAGAAATTGTAAAAGTTTTCCTTCTATAATTATTCACTTTGCAAAGTGAGAACTATTGTGTGACAATCATACATATGCTAGACACTGCATTAAAAACACATATTACTAGTACTAACTACTAAATACCAAGAAAATTCACATTTCCAAAGGAGAAAATGCATGACCCTGATTATATGATCTTCATAGGTCACACAACATACAGAAAGTTGAGTGATCAAGAATACTGAAAAAACTCACATCTATTGTCTTAGTCATAGGAGAATCCCACAATTGTCTCATTTTCAAATCGGAAGTATTGGAGATTATGCCTTCAGGTAATGCTTGACTTCCACTAGGCCTGCACTGATTCTACAAAACAAAATAAACAAATATAAGCATCAACGTTAAACATCTAAAATATTAGATGATCAATGACTCAACATTATTATATTATGTAATTTAAGTGCATCCAGTCTGGATTAGGAAAAATCACGCTGAGTAAGAGAATGAACCTTGCAATTATCATTTCCTAATTTCTGAAAGTTCATTCTCCATCTTGATAGTTTCTGCAATATGAAACCAAAGAATCATTCCATGTTCAAAATTTGGAAGAATATAACCCCTACGTAATCAAAGTCAAACCCAATTGGTTATTTGATTTGATCTACAAACAAACATCCTCAAATTCAACATTAGGCTACAGTTAAACACTTAATTACAATAAAGGGTGGTCCATCCCACTATTCCAAGGTCAAGTCAAACCATAAAACTCAACAAGGATTAACATTGGAAGAAGGAATCCCTGGATTTGAAACCAATTTAGGCATCTATGGTGAACAAAAGTTCAACACTTGGCAGTTGAATAATAATTTTGAAACAACACAATGCAGAAAAACCATTTTACCAATTTTTACTGAGGCAAGGATTGGTTTATAATTTTACATACCTCATTGTAGTGTTGTGCAAAAAATGAACTCGTGAAAAGCAAAATAACACAAAGTAAAGAAACTGTAGGGACAATGCCACAGAGGAATGAATTTTTGCTCTTTGGATCAGCATCCAAAATTTCCTGGTCCACGATAAGAGGTAGAAGAAGGTTAGGTGGAAAAGCAATGCATACACATGATGATGATATTTTAATATTGTAAAAAGCCACAAAACAATTTATAGTTCTACATAAAAACAAAAAATCAAAATTAAAAGGAAAAACAATATATAACAAAACAAGATAAATAAAAGCAGAAGAAACGGTATGATACTATGATTACTTGAGACAAAAACACTTTTAGATAAAGGTTTCAACTTTCAACTAGTGTTTGACATAACAAACTAACATAAACAACATGAACGCAAACAAGAATTGATTCAATAGTAAGAGTAGCATACACGACCCGGGGTCTTCATTTTCTGCATTCAGAAGCAGAGCAAGCAAAGCGTTCTGTGATATTTTCTGAAGCTGTTGACCAAAAGCAGAAGCATTTTAATGAAAAATCAAAATTAAATTAAAAAACGAGTTTGTTATGGCATAGATAATCATGATCATAAGGGTAAGTACCTTTGCTTTTGAGATAAGTGGATGAAGATATAGTTATTAGTCGATAAAAGAGAGATAAAGAAAGATAAGAAACACGATCAGACTCGAAGCCAAAACAAAAACACGTTGAAAAAAATGCGTTTGCACGATGATATACTCTGGTTTGGAATTTATAGCTGTTATTTTGAGAAATTAAAGTTGTTGTAAGACAAATATTTTTTCACAAGTAAAAGGTTTTTCTCATAGTTTTCTGCGAATTTCCAATCGAATATGTTTCTTCATTCTCTGTTACATTATATAGCATAGAATAACTGCTGATTGCATCACTGGCATGTTGTTGTGGCGTAATAACATAACATCAATGCATGTGCTTAATTTCCCTTAAAGCTTACAAAAAGGGAAACTTTTTCCTCATTAATTAGATTCTGATTTTTTTTAATCTTTTATTTTTTTGCTTTTAACTTCATAATCTTTTTACTGTGATGTCCTTTTGGCTGATTTATATTTTTTTTCTTTCATTTGAGAAAATTAAAGTTTAGTGAAATAGAGAGGTCCTTTATGATCGTTAGCAATGTTTTTAAAAATAAGACTCAAATCGTTTAACTGAATGGGTCTATTGTCAATTTGTTAAGATTTTGATGTGAACATTATTTGTTTTTTCACTTTAAATTTGGTTTAACTATGATTTAATCATACTTCAACTATAAATTTATTAATTGGTTGTAGTAGATAATCACATCATAACTATAAATCTTTATCGGTCCAATCTCTAATTTAAATTTTAAAACAATAATTACAGGGAACACGTGATACTAGATACAATTAACACTTGAATATTAAGATAATAATTTAATTAAGTGCATGTTTAGTCCAACTTATTTTATAAACGTAATCGATTGTTGTTATTAGATCTGTGTGTGAGAGCTTTCGAACAATGAATAAGTATTTTCTAAGATGTAATTGTTCCCAAACACGCTATAAACGCTTGTGATAATATAATTAACTTACCTAAGCACGATTGCATTTGGATACAGCTCAATGATCTTGTATCTTCACTAATTAATTGATCTCAGGTCAATTACTTGATTTAGTGTTTTTTTAATGCGTGTAAGTCATAATAAATTTCAAGTAATTATATGGTCAAACATCACTATTATGAAAAGAAAAGAAAACACCCAAATGTGAGTCTGGTAATCAAGTCAATATCATAGATTAAACGCTAATATGAATATGCTATTTATAATACAAAGTACCATTGAATGCTTCATCAATTTCTCATAAAACTGTAAGATGAATGGCTAATTTATTTTCTCCCACCATCAATACCCATTATGGATACAGTCGTGCGTAGTTATCAATTTGATATATATATATATAATACAAATTCTTATACCATTTAACTTAGATTATAATTTATTATTTTATTAACTAATAATATTGTAAATTTAAACACGCACTCGATTTATATAAGATTTTATTAATTTAGTTTTCTTTTAAAAAAATGATGAATAGTAAGAAAATACACATAAGCTCTTAGACATGTGGGAACGACGGTGCTGTCGGTGAAAGAAAATTCGATGACAGAAAATGACTTCGAAATGCAAAAAATAAAATAAAATAAAATATTGAGAAGATAGAATACTTTCCTTAATTATACTATAAGAGTTTAAATATTATATAACATGAATATTTTTTTTCTTGTCTTTTCTTCACTATTTAGTGTTGTGAAGCAAGAGAAAAATATAGTGATATGTAATTAAGGGTGAGGTCAGGTTCACAAAAAGAATCACCATAAGATATTCACAAACAAAAAATTCATTTACAATATTTTAGGTTGGCATATAATGCATTGAAATTTTATTTTAGAATAAATATACATGTATGATTTAATAATTAAAGAATATAATTTCATATTTTATAAATAATTATATACATAATAGTTATTTTAAATAATAATTTTTAAAAAAAAATATTTTGATTTAAATTTATAAGAATTTTTTTATATATAACTAGAATATGAGTTCAGAAAGAGGTAATATTAATAATTTAATTTTAATGTATTAGTAATAAAAAAATTACACTATTAATCAATTAGTTTAGAATTCACTATATATTTTACTTTTAAACTAATAACTATAAAAGCTAAAAATTTATTTATATTATAAATAATTTTAATTTAATTCTAAAAAATATTTTTTATTTATCTTAACTATATTTAAATAATCAATTTTTTTTATACGTGAAAATCTCTACTATAAATTACTTTAAAATTTTCAAAATTATTAATTTAATATTGACAAAATTTATTTGATATCATTTTTTATAACAAAAATCTTATGAAATCAAATAAGAACTTAAAATAACATCAAATAATAACCTAAACATTAAAAATCATTATATCTAATAATTTTATATATTTCATTTTTATTTTATATTATTCTATTTTATAAATTTTTAATTAAATAAAATATGGTCAAAAGAAATATTTTTTAAGATGCTGACTATTATATTAGTATACATTTTTATTTTCTCTATTTAATATATAGAATATAAATTTTATACCGTACAAAAAATTTTGTAGATTATATACTTTTTTAATTATTAAAAATATTATATAAATATCAAAAAATAAGTTAAAAATTTTTAAATATAAATAATCAAATAACATAAAAATAAAAATTTAGTAAAATAAGAAACTAATAGATTTATAAAAATAAAAGATAAAAAACATGAATAGTATTAATATTTCAATTAAAAATATTTATAGCAAATAAAAATTGTCAAAGTACAATTTTTCTTATGATATTAAATATTATATGAAATAATTTGTTTTATTTTTTATATTCAGTATATACAATAAAAAATTTACACTTTATTAAAAATTGTTATATTTTTTTAGCCTTTTATCTGAAAAATATTAAAAATTCATAAAATATGAAAATAAATGAAACAGGTTAAAATACAAAAGATCAAGTAATATAAAAAAAATTGAATAAAAAATTTACTAAATCGTAAAGAAAATAATAAGTTTAAAATACGAAAAAAATTACCATGTGGCTATAATGGAAAAAAAAATTAAAGAACAAATATATGAAAAATGTCACGTGACATTAAAGTGAAAAAACTTTAATAATAGTTATAGTTTTCAATGGTAAACATCTTAATGGTAAGGATTTTTATATTGTCGAACCAGTTAAAACACGCTGTGATTATGATTGTTATATTAATTATTATTATTATAAAATTAATAGATTTTGTTTATATAACAATTTATGATTAAATAGCAATCTAAACTACATGTATTTTTTTACTAGATAATTCGTTTTGTGTCAATACAAATTAAATTGTAATAATTTTATGGAAATTGATCCATGTGTTCAATATCTAAATAAAATATTGAAAACTTTTATTGCTTGTACTTATAAAATATATTGTTCACATGTCATTTCAATTTAACTTTTAAAAAATATAGATACAATGTGAGACCCAGATACAATAAATTTTGGAAATTATAAAACAATGCATAATTATAATACAATTTATAAATTTGATCTTAAATTAACATGAAATAGCATTTTAAATCACAAGAGAGAATTTACAAATTAAAAAAAGAGTATGAGTAGCCATAAACATAATAAAATCTAAGTGAAGAGGGGATCAAATCTACTGCTTAGGACTTGTCGAGATAGATTATGTGCTTTGTATATTTGAAAATAAGAGAGACTAAACAGTTTTCAATGAATGTACTGGTAACAAATACTGGAGATAGATGGAATTTTAATGATGTCATTCTCTTTTTTTCCTTCCAAATTAAAAGAAAAATATGTTAATCTCAATCTTTAAGTCTTTATTTTAAAAAAAAATATTTATTATGCATGTTTACAATTTTAATATAATAAATATATTATTTTCTAACAAAAACTTACTAAATTTGAATTAATGCTAAAGATCAGTCTCTTAAGAACTAGACAACAAAACCACTTGAATAAAAGCTTATTGGATGATCTTCTGATCTTACTTAATGGGCACTTTTGGTTCAGGTTGAAAAAGACTTGTGGAGGTGGCAGTGTGATAGGAGTGAACTGTATTCTGCAAAAGATACTTCTTGTTCTCTTATCTGACAACATATATATTAATTCTATGATTGATGGGCAATAGTGCAATCTTTGTGGAGTAAGAGTCTCTATTTAAACGTATATGGAGATGTGTTAGTCCCTTCAAATTACTGGTGTTGGCATTGGCATTTGCATGGTTGGAGATCTTGGACATGATTCCTTTGAGAGAGAAAATCTTGCCAAAAGAAATGTCATTGTGGACCCACAATCTTTGGTTTGTCCATTTCCTAATGAACATGATGAATTCAATACTATAAGTTTTTCACATGCAGATTCTTGCTAAAGGTAATTGTCTAGTACGTACTCTTTGTTCGCCTTTTATGTAGGCCTTTTTCTAGATTGTAAATATCATTTCCAGTATCATTTTTGGTGATGGAAAAAAGGTTAATGGAATTTCGGATGACAATTTGTTAGTTGATAATTATTTGGTCAATTTGGTTTCATAAAAATGTGTTGGGGACAGCTGAAATAAAACATCTTTAACTAGTCTTATGTTGTTTAGATTCGTAAAGAAAGACAATAATGTAATTTTTTTTTGTTTTAATTTACATAAGTTAAAAATATTTTAAATTTATATATAACTTTTATTATATTCTTATTTTTAAGTGATATGAGGTATTCAGATAGATATAGAGTATAAATATATTGAGATTGTGAGATGGTTAAGCAAAAAACTTATATGTTGTAAAAAATTGTACATAATATTGTTTTATGGTTATCCTTAAACAGCAACTATGATTTTTTCTTCTCCAATTTTAAAGTTTTTAAAATAATTCTTATATTGCAATTATATTTTATAAATGTTCTATTTAAAAGGAATTCTCAAAGAAAATCTACCATTTTTTCTAACAAAATGAAGTTATCTTTAATAGATTTGGTCGTACCTAAAGCATTATGCATCCTCCCCAGCCAAAGTTTTGGTCTAGTTATTAATATTCTATATTCTATAAATATCTCAGCCATTAATTGTAGAAAAAGGTGATAAAGAGACTGGACCTTTCAAGATTAGATCATGGTCTTGGTTGTTCTCAAAGCTAGATAACTTTATGTTATGGTGTAATATAATCCTTTTGTTTAAGGGCATATTTTTAGTTTGTAATTGTTAAAAACTATGTGATGTGAGTTGAAATATCGCTTATTTATTTTAACAATAAATTTTCTTTTGCTGATTTTAAAAAAAAAACTTTTAAGATTCTTGATAATGATATTTTTAAGCCCCTATTCAAAACTTCAAGTAGAAAACAAATTACATTAAGTAGCGTAGTTAAAAACTCGACCATTTCATCAATTAAACTTCTTCTATAACCTACCTTTGGTAATTATGATTCCTCTTAACCATTTCATCATTTTCGTGGATTAGCACAAACATCTTGGAATGCTACCTTCAATTAAAGCCACATACGCTAGTGTCTGAAAACAGGGTATGTAGTTGTTTTACCACCCATCTTGTTTTCTAACTTTTACCTTATGATTATTCGCACGTATAATAATAACATATGATCAATATTAATAAACGGATTGCAAATTACATTTTGTATTCATAAGATACGCCAAATCAATATTCAATATCCATGGACATCATAGAGAGGTAATAATTAATATATATGTTCTAAATAATCGATTTTGGATAACAATAGATCACGCATCAAAACATGGGTGGTTTAATTTCAAGGTTTGTATTACATACCCATGGGATATAATTCCCTGGTTGCCTAATAGGAGTCAAAATCAAATTAAATTACAAATTATAACAAGGTCATCCATGGCACAATTGAGTAGCTATAGCTTCAGTTAACTTTAAAAAAAAAAAATTAGTTTGAATTGTCCTTCTTTTCAAACCCTCTTCATAAAGGATCTCTGAGTTAATGTATAAACTCCAATATTGCGTAGTAGCCAACTAAGACAGGAAGTGAAACAATCATACCAAAGATCACCCTGGTGACCAGAAAATATAAAGTGTTAGGATACACTACAGATAAATATAACAGCAAAAACATTATACTATTAAGTAATATATAGTAAGCATAGTTAGAGGTGTAATTAATTAAATATGTATACAACCTATAAAATAATAATAACAACGACTATGACAAAGGAGTGGTTGGAATATGACATAGCTCCACAGACATTATTATTCCAACAATAACATTCATATACTTGCACAAAATATCTCTACCTCTATTCTACAATTTTATTTTATTTTCTGTTATATTACATCTTTTGCTTTTTTTACTTTTTTCTTCGTTCTCTTATTAGGGGTATACAACTAGTAAGTGTATAATCATTTCCTTATTATGAGTGATTCCTCCTAGTTTTTCATGCAAATCATTAGATATATAATACATTGGTTTACTGTGATTATCCATGAATAGTCCAGATTACTAAACTTTAAAGATGAAGAGGAATTTGTGAAAATTAAATCTGCAAAATTATCATTCTTCATCACAGAAAAAATGAAACTTACGCAGTGCTAAGAACCTCTGGATGCAGTCCATATTCTTTTGCGTAAATGAAGGATGTGATGGACTGTGGTACGGCAGCCTGCACCAGATAGAATAAAAATTTTAATGGACAGTGTTTTCATTTTTTTTTTCATAAATGAATTTCAAATCCTTTTGCTTTAAACAAAATTTTCTATTTTGTTTTGAACTAAAATGCAATAACTTTTGTTAATTTCATCCTCTAAGCAAGTAATAATAATAATTTTTTATAAAAAAACAAATATTTATAGTATTTTTATAATTTTAACACAATAAATGTGTATTTTTTTATTTATGAATGCTTAAATTTAGCCTTAAAGATTAACGTTAACAAAATACTTAAAATATTGCCACGTAATTTATTTATTTTATTATTTTTGTGTCTACACAAGCATCACACGTTACCCACAATTTTCAAAAACAATTGATTGAACATAGCATGCCCTTTCAGTGTATAGTGTGTGCTACACTCATATTCCCCCATCCACCACCCATTTTTCTTTTCCTTTTCATCTGAACTAATTTATGTTATAAGAATATTAACCAGCAATTGCTGATCTTTCAAAGTGTTTTGGTTTGTAGCCAGTGGTCATAGTCACAAATCAATATCAAGTCACTTAATTTAATTACTATAAAGTTGTTGCACTGTGTTAAACAATATTCTTTGCTTTCCAAATCAAAGTCACTCCGCGCATTTAAAATATGCTTACCTGCAAAACGTGACACGTGGAACTAGAAATTTCCATGTCATTAGCAAATCATTTGTGTGTGATATATATTAGACATAAAACAGGTCACATTTTTCCTTATTTATTCATATTTTATATATTTCATTTTATTAGAATTTCAACATGAATATCTGAATCACAAACACACATTACAATTTTTAATCAACACCTATTGTTGAATAAATAAGTTAATATGTACTTAGTTACTAATACATGGAGCAAAAAAAAATGATTTCGATATCTAAAACCAATATAAAAATGGTGCTAGGAATGAGGGCATTGTATGTACATGTGTTTGATGAATTACCTGAATGATAGCGACTCGCAAAACATCACCACGTAATCCTACAACGATGGCACTAATAGCCATTGCTGCTGGTCCTGCAATAAACTTCAAAACCAAACCGAATACAGTCAAACTTGGTCCACATGCAATCAACTTCTCCTGAAGTGCCATGAAAATACCTGCATGCACACTTAACTCACACATGTCACATACCTTCACTAAGCTAAGTTTTATTAACATATATTAGAAATATTACATATAGTGATAATTAAGATTCAAGAAGTCATCATATCATATCCAGGATCAATATATATAATTAACTCATGCACTCACCCATGCTAAACATGGCAGTTCCCATCCCGGCCTTTGACATGATCTGTATAGACCCATCTACCATACTTGGCATCTCCAAATTCCACCTATATTTTGTATACACGCATTACTTCACACAATAACACATTAAGATCGTTTTAAATACATATAGATAATTTCAAGTGGCCATATGCATGAATGAAAAATATAGTAAACACGCACATATACGTGGGAGTGGAAGCATGGGAATTGAGAAGAATTAATACTTGATCATGTTATACATGAATAATTAAGATTATTTTAATTACTTAAATTAATCTAGCTAATCTCAATAATTTCTTTTGATTACATGATTAAAATTAGATCATATTAGGTATAAAATCACAATGAAATTATGGAATAGACTAGAGTACCTGTTAGATACGAAAGCCCAAGAAATGCCAATCACACAACCGTAAGAGTTTGGGTTCATCACAAGTTTGAGCCACACATGCTTCATCAACTTGCAGAAAGGAGGCCTATTACTAATAGTATCGTCTAACATCAACTCCTGATTTACATCCATTGCTACCGTTGTTGGTGTTGCCTCAATATCTTTTCCTCGTCCACCTTCACCCATCACATTACTATGGTTGTCAATGGTTGTTGTTTTCGTCGATTTTAAGTTGATGGTACCCTCAATTCCTGCTCTTCGAAACTCCAAGACAAAGAGAAGCAAAGTGAGCCATATGATGGCTTGCACAACCGAGGACTGAACCACAAGGTCAACACCAAGGGGTCCATACATGGCCTTCACCATTGGAACTCCAACAACCAAAGCATTGGTAAGAGTGCACAAAGAGAAACTTGTTATAGACCAGCAAAAGCTCCCTTTGCTACTACACTTGGCCCAAAGGGCAAGCACCATCATGATGATGAACTTTGACAAGGTGTCTGCAGCTATGAACAAGAAGTTCATCTTGAAAGGATCAATATGAGCAGTGAACTCAAAAGTGAAGAGTGGCAAGGTGAAGTAGCATACTAGCTTGTTTATTGCTTCACATTGCTCCTTTGTGAAGATGTTCCACCACCTCACTGAACCATATCCTAACACCAAAGCGACATAGAGTGGAATCACAGCCACCACTACCTTGTACACATCTTCCAACCCGATCATTTTGTTTTTCTCTTCTTTGTATACCTTGTATAATCTCAAATCCCTCAACCTCAGAAAAATTATAAACTAATTTTTATTTATTTTTATTGAGTTTCTGTCTTGCTAGATAGCTAGCTGTAAGCAAAATGCATTGAGTCAAACAGTAATCAATCAGAAGTATTTATACGCATACACTTAGAAGAAAGGACAAAATGTAAATAAACAAATTCATCAGTAATGTTATTCTAATAAGGTCATTTCAGTATAAATATTGATGCCCATACACTCACAGGAAAGGACAAAAGTAGATAAACAAATCAGAAATTTTATTCCAGTGACATCATATCGTTTATTCTATTATCTTCGTCAACAATTTATGAATGAGTGTTTATGAAATGCTGAAGTTACATTTGCAACATAGAAGTGATGGGTTCAAATCTTTGAAATAGCCCTGTTGTGAGAGTGAAATTACATATTTAATCTGTAGTCCACACACACACATATATACATGGACATGGAGTTGGTGGACATTCTTGGAATTAGATTCCATGCATGTGGATTCCTGAAGACTGACGTTAGTGTAACTTGTTAGTGCATACAAATGCTTGGTTGCTTTCGCTTGTGTGTGTTTTGCTTGTGATCAGCAATTTTTTGATATACAGAATAAAGAATGAGGTGCAGCTAGCTAACTAGCCACTACTCCATCCATCCACCTTTGCAAATAGCTTTTGGGATTTCATTAATTATTGGCAAATTGCTTATTATTCTTACCCCAACATAGAGTGGGATTTCAATAATGCAAGCGTCCTAAATTCCTGCTTGTGCATGATACTATCACTACTATTATTTTTTCAGTTAGAAGGTGACAACACCAACCAAAACAAATGTTGAATTCAGTCATAGAAGCTTTTATTATAAATAAAAGTTGAAAGTTGGTGTGTTGTGCTTGAGCATCAATCAATCACATATTCTCATCCATCAACCACATTTGAAATCTTTACATTGCAGTCATCAAATTAAAACTAAGAGTTGGTAAAATAAGCTACTCAGTCCATTCAAATTAACTTTTTACAAATAACAGACTTTGTTGGATCGGTCAAAAAATCTTACATTCAATTTTGTCTCGTATAAATTATGTCTAAGCCTTCTCATTTTTTAAAAGACTTTTTACAAATTTTACAAGTTCAATATTTACATCGAGTTTAATTCGATTAAGCTAAAAAAAATTAATTTAGATTAAAAATTAAAAATTTAAATCAACGGATTCAAGTTGACTCAGTTAAATATACTCATTTTATTTTATTTATTGGCTCTACTAAACACATATCTCTTTATGCATTTAACACACATGCAAAGGTTCCAAAATATATACTAGTAAGAATTTAGAAACTAAAATATCTATTACTACTTAGCGTTAGTTGTGCGATGATTTTGTCCTAGTTAGTACCCCCCCCCCCCCCTTTCTTTTCCAATTGAGTGATGTGAACCAAATGGCTTAATCTGTGTGCCATGTCAAGAATAAATTCGTTTTTATGCAGAAAAATCCAAATTATTCGATCTTCATTTATTCTAAATTGTAAAAATACTAGTGAATTTTTAAAATCATATAAAATATCTTTAACTTAGCGTTAATTGTGCGATGATTTGTCCTTGTTAGTACCCCTTTCCTTTTTCTAATCAAATAATATGAAACAAATGGCTTAATCTGTGCCATATCAAGAATAAATTCGTTTCTGTACATAAAATTCTAAATTCGATCTTTGTTTATTTTCCTTGATACATAAGTGTGCGTCCCGACATATACATGTCGATCGATCACCAATGAAGTGGAGCTAGAGAATACTTACGGTGTAAAGTTTGAACAACCATCTCTCTTTTTTATTCCTTTTGATCTCTCACGTACATGCAAAGTGGCTAATAACTGTTTTGGGTTTGTGTTATGATCGATCAAGTTAAAGTAAAAGGCAAATGATAATGATGAAAATTTTACCTCAACTATAATTTGGGTTTTCTATCCGAATCTCAAATGAACAGGTTCTTGTATTAATACGAATTACACTTTTTTCTTTAATGTTTGGAGACATGAAAACGAACATATGTAAGAAAAGAGAGACCAAGTAGCTTAACTTTGGGCAAAAATTTAAGTATATGCTGGTCATATCATAGAACCAAGTTGATTAAATACATAGAGAGAAGGAGAAAGCTTGATCATGTCCAAGATGTTAACTTCACATAGGTTGATTGAAGAAAGGAACAGAATTTTAGTCGAGCTGAGGACATATGTGGACACAACACGCTATCTAAATTTTGTTGGAGTAATAATTTAAGATAAATTTGATATATAACTTTTACATTTTCATGCATGTCACCTTCTCTTACATATTTTTATATAATCTTTTTTCTGTTTCTACTTTTTTTTACTTTATTTCTCTTACTTGCCTCTACTTATTCACACCCAAAAAAATATATCAACCTATAATTTTCCTTTGATATAATTACCAAAAGAAAAAAAATGATTAAATTGATATATATTTTTCCTAATTGTTTTCTGTTTTGGCATATGATCTCTTGAATATTCTGGTTTTAGCATCGAATGATGTCCAATTTTTTATAGCATGTATTTAATGAAGAAATTTGCATATCAAAGTTACGGAATATTTATGTACAATTTCTCTCTTTCTTTTAAACTTATTCTTTAAGTAATACATCAAAGTAGTTCTTAAAATATCAATCAATTTACTTCTTAATTATATTAACATATTTTTAGTTTATAAAATTATCAAATATTATTTATTTTAATCTTTATTATTATAATTTTAAGAATTGAAATAATTTTCATTTTATAAGTTTATATATTAAAATATTTTTTATAATTTTAAAAATATTAACCAATACTAGTCACAATTTCATGCATTAAAGATGTATTACTTTTCGTTATTCATTCACTAAAACACCCGCTGATTCATGTTCTTTTCGTATGAAAGTTTTTCTTACTACAGTGCTTTTTCTGTAAAGTAAGTGCATATGTTAATAAAATATTGATACTTTATTAGTTGCGTTGATTGTTAACTATCTGTTATTATAATTAAAAATTAATAGTGTCAATAATTGTTGACTAAGTACGTCTAGGGCACGTATTTATTGGTATAAAGCAAGATTTTTTTATATATATATTTAAGAACACAAAAAAAAAATTGTCGCTCGCAATTATAGAAAAGACTAAACTTACTGCATAATTTATTTTTTAAACGAGTTGATGTATTTATATTTTGATTTTTCTTTTACAATAATATAAGTAAAATTAACATACTCATAGATTAATTATATATATATATATATATATATATATATATCTCAACACTTTTAATTAGAAACAAATTAATAAGCAAAAAACTTAAAATATGTATAAGTTAACACATTCATAAAAATTGAATTATATAAAATGAAATTTTAAAAAATATAAAAAAATTAAATCAATTTAATTTATTTATTTACTCGTATTATATTATTTTTACTGACCCCTAAACAGATCCGGATTCTCTCCAGTTCACGCGAGAACTAGACGTCCAGTCGTTTTTTCGATTAAGCGGATCCTATTCGCTTAAGAGAAAATAGTTGATTTTCACTTAATTATGTCAAAAAATGGCTTGGACAAATTTTGATATTTTTTATTAGCTTAAGTTAAAAAAAAGGGGCTTAAGCAAAAATAAACGGCTTAAGCGAAAAATGGATAGAGAGTACCAGTTTTCAAAGTTCAAAATAGCTTAAGCGAATTAAGAATAGCTTAAGCAAATGTAAAATAGCTTAAGCTATTGTTTTATTAGCTTAAGCGATTCATAGTAGCTTAAGCGAAAAATGGACAGAGAGCACCAGTTTTCAGAGTTCAAAATAGCTTAAGCCACCAAAATTAGCTTAAACTAATTTAAAATAGCTTAAGCGAATGTAAAATAACTTAAGCGATTGTTTTATTAGCTTAATCGATTCATAGTAGCTTAAGTGAAAAATGGACAGAGAACGCCAGTTTTTAGAGTTAATATTCGCTTAGGCGTGATTAGAATAGCTTAAGTTATTACAAAATAGCTTAAGCAAAATTATAATAGCTTAAGCGAAGGTGTAATAGCTTAAGCGAATATTGCAGAAGCTGGAAAAAAAAACGCATCAGAACATAACAGTAGCAGATGTAATCATATTTTTATATTTGGAATGCTTAAGCAAATGCAAAAATTAGATAACAATGCATATCAGGAACTGGTCATCAGCTCCATAACATAAGTTATTCTAATGTAATCAAATTTAAGAGACAATGATATCTTTATATTATAAATAGAAACTTCTAACATCAAGTTGTTATTACATGCCTTGAAACAAAAAACATTGGGAAAGAAACTAAAATTAAACATCAAGTTAAATATTCCTAATGAAACAAGGAAAATAGAAAACAAAAGGCTTAATTATTCTTCAACAATAACATTATCATGCATTTGATCTCCTTGCTCCATGTTATGCTGCTTTTGATGACCCTCTACCTCTTCACCTTGTTCTTCCTCTTGAGGCTCTTGTATGACCCCTTCATCAGCTCCTGGTTGCCCTTGTTCATGTATAGGAGACACTTCACATTGGTTGGGCTGATTTGGGAATAGAGGGGTGTCTCCAGGCCATGAGACATGTGTTGCAAACTCTTCAGGTGTTGGCCATGAGAATGTTGAAATGCTTGTTGGTGTTGGTGTAGGGTAAAACGGTAGAATGACTCATTGAGATGTGTGTATGCTCGATGGTTTGCTATTAACTGGTGATGGATGTGAGTATAAGTCTGACGATTGGCCTCCATATGATGTTGTATTTCAGTTAGATGTTATGTGAGGCGACATTCCATAGGTGTCATGTTATGAATGAGTAGTGATGTTGTTGGTGGTACTGATGAAGAAGGTTGAGAAGCTGCATTTCCCCGTTCCACATACTATTACAAATGGGTAAAATTTACACACATACTATTTTCAACCTATTTCAACAAGAGTTTGCTTTATTTTTGGCATGTTGCATATAAAAAAGGAATGAATCACCCCCTTTGTTTGAATATGTCATAACTACAGTCAATGAAAATGGATCATGGATAGTATCATTTGATCATACCTCAAATTCTATATGTTGCACTTGTAGAAAATTTGAAACATTTGGCATCCTTTGTTCCCATGCATTGAAGTTTTTTGAAGCAATTGATGTCAAAGTTGTGCCTGAAAAATACATCATTAAGAGATGGACAAGAGATGGTCGTTCTGAAATTATACACAATATCAAAGGTATAGAGGATCAGGAGGATCCTAAACTTGCTATCACAAGACGATACCGACAACTAGCTTATAAAATGATTAGACTCGCATCAGAGGTATCTAGTTCAGAATAATACTCTCAATTGGTGGATGAATGTGTAAAAGTTGTGTCTCATCAAATCACACAACTTCGATTAAAAGAGCAACATGGTGAAAGTCACAATGATGAGGTCCCTACATCAGTCATCAATGATGGTATACAACTAAAGGGTTTCAAGTACCGTCCAAGCACGAAGAGGAATAGGTATAAACGATTCAAAAGTTGAGTTGAGCTACAAGGAAAAAGGAAAAAAATTGGTCCATTAAGAGGACAATCCCAAAGGCAAAATGTTGAGGTACATGTATTAATGCACCTATCAAAATTTAAAATTTGTCCATTATTATTTGTCTTGTGTATAATAATTTGTTAATGCTTTTAGGAATATCAACCCACCCCTTCTGAACCATGTGATGTCCATTGTTCGGCACCTCCATCTTATCATTCTCCACACATTTTCAACAATACTCTCAATTTTACTACATTATTAATGGTATGTTCAAAAACATATAAATTCAAAATTTACCTAAATACCAAACTTATTTTTCTTACTAAGATGATTGATATTTTATCCAATTTTATTTCTTTTTGTAGGAACCTTTGGATGACATAACTCGTTCAATCCTTGATCAACTTAAGGAATTTTGTAGCTTTTCTGTATTTTGTACAATGTTAATTGTAATTATGTGTAATTGCCCTTGTAAATGCAATTTTTAACATTATCTGATGAATATAGTATATTACATCTACTACTGTTATGTTCTGATGCGTTTTTTTTCCAGTTTATGCAATATTTGCTTAAGCTATTACACCTTCGCTTAAACTATTCTTATTCGCTTAAGCTATTTTGTAATAACTTAAGCTATTCTAATCACACCTAAGCGAATATCAACTTTGAAAACTAGTGCTCTCTGTCCATTTTTCGCTTAAGCGATTCATCCATTTTTGGCTTAAGCTACTATAAATCGCTTAAGCTAATAAAACAATCGCTTAAGCTACTTTACATTCGCTTAAGTTATTCTTAATTCGCTTAAACTAATTTTGGTGGCTTAAGCTATTTTGAACTCTGAAAACTGGTGCTCTCTGTCCATTTTTCACTTAAGCCGTTTATTTTTGCTTAAGCTAATATTCGCTTAAGCTCTTTTTTTTAGCTTAAGCTAATAGAAAATATCAAAATTCGCTCAAGCCATTTTTTGAGATTAAGTAAAAATCAACTATTTTTGCTTAAACGAATAAGATCTGCTTAAGCGAAAAAAAGACTAGACATCCAATTCTCGCGTGAACTGGAGAGAAACCGGATCCCCCCTAAACGGGATGATGGCAATAGTTACCGTCACATCACCAAAAGTAGAATAAAAGACAAGTGTTAAATGCTAGAATGCACTTTAAATATGACCCATTTAGAACAAAGAGGACAACGACAATTATACTTACACCGTTACATCATTCTAGAGTATTTACTTATTTATTGGTAACTAGTTTTTTTTTCTAAAAAAAATTAAGTTGACACCGTTTGATATCAGGATTAATATTATATATTAATCTATATCATATATGCCATAAAAGTTATTATTTTCGGTTCTATTTATAAAAAATATATATTAAAAATTAAATGAGTTTTAATTTTATAAAATTGAAAAAAATTAATACATTTTTTTACTATTTAAATTTGTTTCAAATATTAAATACAATAACATTATTTATATAGAATAAAAAAAGTAGTTGAAAACAATTAATAAATCATCATCAAACACACATGTAGATAAAGGCAACACATATACAGATAAATTAAAAGCTTTTTCAAATTGTGTGTTAAAAAATATTTAAAATTACTTTCTTAATATCTAAAATTGTAAAAAAAAATTCTTTATTTTTCTCTATCAAGAATTTAAAATATCACGTAATTTATGTAACAATAAAACTTAAGCGAAGTGCTATTATTAAGTTAAAAGTTTAATTATAATCGAACAACAACACTAATAATACTGAATCTAAGTTTTATTTTTTATGTAAACGATCTCAGAGGATGCATTATGTCTTTATTATTATTATTATTATTATTATTATTATTTATCAATACTTTTTTTAGTGTTGTTGGGTTTATTTCGAATCAAGTAATTAGGGCCGAAATAGTTGGGCCGAGGAACATTGGAGGCCCAATTTACCAAGAACGAAGATCTAACAATGATATGTAGTTCATGAACAAAAAAAGAAGAAGCGATACACAGTAAGAATTTATTCATTAATACATTCTCTCTTTTTTATATAAAGTAGAATAAAAAATGCATACCAAATATGTAAAAATTCTTCTTGAATATGATTTAAAAGAAAATGAGTTAAATCAAATTATCTAAACCATGTTTTTATCCATTCCCTAAAGTCATTACTTTCTCTCATTTTATGTTAATTAATAAGAAAAATTATCTTTAAAATATTTTATTTTATTTAAATTTTTTTTAAATATGAATTAATAATTTTATACAAATTCTAAAATAAAAAATAAAAATTAATTATAAAAATTTAATTTTTTATATTAAAATGCTAAATAACTTCTTAATTTTCATAGTATGACTTTAAAACTTAGCACAAAAATTTAAACTATCAACAAATGATATTTAATGCTAATAAGAATATTAAGTCATCCTTAAATGATTTTTAAAGACATGTTAAAGAATGTAATTTATCTTTTTTAATAAAAGTAAAAATATTAAACAAAATTAATTATTTTTTAATTAACATAATTTAGTAATTTTTACTTATATTTGAAACTAAAAGAGTGTATATTATAATTACTTATAATACTGTATTTTTTTCATTATAAAAATGACAGGTACACACATGATTTATACATTATTATTATTATACTAACCTAAGCCTTTGTAATTATTTACTATCCTTTTACATCAACACTTATATTAATCTTAAAACTCAAAGCAGATTGAATGGGTCCCAACCACCTTTGAAAATCTAGCTTGATTAGTACTAGAGTTAGAATAATGAATTTCTAATCATAATTATCCTTATCTTTACACACAAATTCAAATCATTATAATAAATAATCATTCTTGTGCCTCATGTGTAATGCTTGTTCTTCTTCCCTGCGTAGGGCCATTTGCATGAATTATTGGCTGTGAATTTGTTTCTAATTGCATTATACTCGGCTCCATTGACCCATCAATTCAATAATTCTCAAATGTTTAGAACTCAACTTGGAATCGTGAGTCCGTGACCACAAATTGAAGTTGGATGGTTCAAAGATTAGGTCAAGTTTTTAAAAATTCTACTTAGAATCCAATCACATTGGTTGAGTTGTTGACCATTATTTTAAAATTAATTATAATTGGGAACCAGCTTAGTGTGTTGAAAATGACACATTGTCTTGAAATGGAATCCAAAATGATTATGGTAACGTCATGGAAGCAGTCAATATGCTACAAAATTTGCAGTCTTCAATATTTCTGGAAAGGCAAGTCCAAAATTGGCATTTTATTACGAAAATACTAATCGGTGCTCTTAGAAATACCCTTTTTATTTTTTTATCCATTCTTTTTAACCTGGAGTTATAAACATAAAATAAGAATGTATGTGTTATAATTTTTTATTAAAATTGTAAAATATAATATGTTAACGATATTAAGTATTATATTTACTGAGTTCTTATTATGTACCTTTGAGCATATATTAAAAATAATTTTTTAATATCTTTCTAAGAATATATGCTAAAAAGTTAAAAAGTAAACCTTTTTATTAAAAAAATTATTACAAATCTCTTTGCTACTTACTTGCACGTTAGAGTTAATAATGTTAATAAACAAAAAAAAGAAGTTAATTGATTAAAGAAATGAAGGATAAAATTGAAAATCAGATAGCACTTTTTATACAAACTAAGACATTAATTAATTTTGTTAAATTGTGTGAAACAATCTTAAGTAACAGATAGAAAAGAACAGAGAATGTATAATTTCTTTTTTCTGATTACAAGACACAGAATCCAAGACTTAGCTTCAAAAATTTCTGTTAAATTCAACCTTTAAAAATAATAAATTAATATATATTTGTTTATTTATTTATTTTCTATGTAATAAATAATTTTTTTTATTAAACTCTTCCAACCTTCAGTTGTTTCCTGTGAGGTTGGACAAAACTGCAAGTGGCTGAACCTCTTGAAGAATGAAGCATATTTCAGAGTTTAACTGAACTAAGAACTTTAGACCAATATTGAAGTTGGTGGTTATATTACACAACATGGCAAACAGTAAGGGATTTTCATCTTTAAATAGTAAATAAGCAACAAACCATATCCACTGAAGATAGAAACTATTCATTTCATGTAAACATTGTTTATTCCTTTCTCTTATATCAATAAATATAACACAAACTTGTGCAAACAAACAACCAAGTCTACTTCACTCTTAATGTATTATGAGATGACTGAGCACCAAAGAGACAAACTGCTAAGAGTACTCAATACTCATTGAAAAAGTTAAAGCTAACAATTCAACACTGAATTTCATTTCCAAACCCCTCTGTAGATCTATTTGCAGGGATGAAGGTTGTAGGTGGTTTAGTTACAGCAGCTAAAATATCTGCATATCCAATCACGCCAACCAAGACATCGTCATTCTCATCCTCCGTCACCCAGACATGAGTTGCCCTGTGGGATAGTAACTGAGCCAAGACTGCAGCCAATGAACTTGTAATTTTACACGTCAGAGGTGCACTTCTACCCCTATACATGCTCCTGGAACCAAAGCCATGGCTTCCAGAATTGCTGAAGAACCCAATACTCCTGCTACTGAATTTCCTTGGTTTTCTTGAACCACCACCATTAACTAAATCATTATCTCCGGCCGTTGAATTCATGCAGAACTCAGGCAGTGACCTTGAGTTAACATTATCTTCAACTCCCATGACAAACTGTCCAGCTGAGAGATTGGCTAAAGCCCATGCTGCAGCTAAGTAATCACATTTCCATAATTTACATGCAGAAATCTCTCCAATGATCTTACACCGACCATCTGATGTGTTTTCAATAACAGCAACTGCACTTGGATCTTGAGGAAGCTTTTGAGTTGCTTCGATGGCTGGTGTAGAAGATTCAATATAGCTGTAGTTTGAATTAATTGCTCCAAGTGCAGCAATGGAAGTGAGAGGAAGTGGAGCCAAAGCTCCAAGACAACCAATGATAAAACGGAGAACATCTTCTCTAGAGAGGCAACAGAACTTATCACGGATAGAAGTACTGGAAGATGAAGGGCTCCGGTTCATGTTTGCAGGTAGATTGTTGCTGCTGTTGCTAGGAGATTCATTATTCTTGAGCCACTTGCCATAGTAGATAACTGAAAATCGCTTACTCATGCCTTTCCATGCTACACTCTTTGGAACAAGTAGACGTTTCAACCCTTGTTTCATCATGTCCAGTGCATCTATCAATCTTAAAGAGAGAAAATAAATAAGATATTAAGGTTGTGTTTGGCAAATTAGAAAACTGTTTCAGGAACATTCAAATTTAAACTAGCTTTAAATTGTACATGGCTTTCCTAAATTTTGCTTTGAATTACTTCAAAATCAAATAATGTATATTAAATTCCAATGGCTCTTTTGAATTTCTAACAAAGTGAAAACAAAGAAAGGAAGGATATAAGCAAACTGTTGATTCAGATATACCTTAAAACCAACTTTTTATTGGCTTTATTTTTTTAACTAGGTTTTAACTCAAAATAATCATACAACAACTAGTTTTTTTTTTTCTTCCAATTTTAAGTGATTACCAAACACAAATTTTAAAATCATTATACTTTAAGGTTGACAAACACCCAGTAAACCATTTTCTTTTTCCTTTTTTAACAAGAAAGGATATTGAACACACATTAGCAAAAGACAAGGCAATAGATACACACTTTAGAAGTTTCAATTATTTTGCTTTAGCTTTGGCCAGTATTTAATAAATACAGTGATACATCATACATTTTTTACGTGGAAATGCTTCACATTTGCTCTTAAAAGAAGAAATAGGAGCCACTGATTCAAGGCTTTACATATTATACCTAAAAATAGGGAGAAGGGTGTGATTGACATACATAAGACATCTCTTTTCCCTGGGCATATTTGGCAGCCTAGCAGCCAAAATTTTTCTATCCATGGATTCAAATATCTAACATACATACACATAAGGACAGATTCAATGCCAAACTAAGAATATATATATTATGGTATACAAGCATCTTCCGTTCTAACATGTCTCTTGCCATACAAGAGTATTTGATGCCAAAGTACAAGATACACGGGGCATCTACGATCCCAACAATCAGCATATAAGCTAAAGTTATCAAATAATGTACTAGGGAATGTCAAATTCCCTTATGTTTTAGGAGGTAAAGATTCTTGCAATCCGATGGAATCATATTCCCGCAGGGCAACATGGATGCTGGTGTTGAATTCCACTAATCCTAGATGCCTAGATAAAAATGATCTTGTACCAATCATTTCCCAGATATTTCATTTATGATAGCAACACAAATCAAAAGCTTTCTCTCCAATAAAACACACACCACCTTGTAACATGTCATTCTTATTATCAGTATGGCCAGAGCAAGCACTTAAACATTGACTCCTATTGCTGCTATTACTAAAGCAATCCATGAACCTAAAAATAGCACATGCCAATACTGAAAAGGAAAAACTTACAATCACACCAACAAACATGTAAGGAAATTAATAGATCCCAATATTCTCTTTTTGCCAAATCAAGTGGAAAAAGTCATGGTAATTCATTTTAGTTCATATCTTAAAGTGATTGAATTTGAAACAAGTACTGACCTTGTTGCAGGGTCAACCAGCCTGAGGAGGGAATTATTAGGAACAACAACCTCAGAAACAGGTGTCTTCAAGGCCTTATCCTGATCCTCCAAACACTGATTCTTAGCCAAAAAGGCAACTATGTCGAAGGAACTAAGGATCCCAACAAATCTCTGTTGTCTCATATCACTATTCTCAATACCCACATGAGACCTCTTCTTCCAAATGGGTATGCTACCCTCAGGGGATTCCCCTATTGCCCTAATTGCAGACTCCACCGTTTCAGTCTCATGAAACTCCACCAGCTCCGGCTTCCCCACCGTCAAATCACCCACCACGTGATACACAAACACCGAAGCCATCAAAACTCCAAAGGGTGCTCGAATTCACAAAAAGATAAAATCTTTATTTAAAAAAAAAAATTCTTTTAAAATATGGGATTTTTTTAAGAAGCAAAAGAAGGGTTAAATCTATGGCTATAAGAGGGTATGGAGAAAGATGAGAAGGAGATCGAGGGCGTTAATTGGTGGCCTGTGAAGGATCAAGATGAGGAAGAGAGAAGCAGAGAGAGAGTTTCCCATTGCCATGGAAGAAAAACAGAGAGGTTAAGGCCCATTCAATCAGAGGGTAATAACTGAAGACTCTGTCACTGAAACAGGTGTAAAAAATGGCCAGTATAAAGAGGAGAAAGATACCCAGATTTGGTTATGTCCTTTGGGAGACAGTAAGAGCCAAAAGGATGGAACTTGCATCAAAGGAACTCAGAAAGAGAAAGAGAGAGACAGAGGATGTGTCATGTGCGTGTTTCTGTGTAGTGAGTTGCACCGTATGCCGAATCTTTCTGGGGGGTAAAGTGTGGTTGGGTTTGATACCCTCACTTAATCACTTCTATGGGAATAACCGTGGTTAGTTTTATATAAACAGAGTAAAATTAATGATTTAGATAAAAAAAATATTAATATTAATAAATTTTACTATATTTTTTTAAATGAGGAGAATTTTATACTGTTTTATTAGTAGTTTATTTAAAAAAACACAAATACTTTTTAATTTTTAAAATATTAAAGAAATTATATTTTTTAATCTAAAAAATATATACAATCCTCTCTTAATTTTAAAAGTATTATAACAAGTACTATTAATATTTTGTAATTCTTAAAATATTAAAAAATTATAATTATTAATTTAAAATATATATAAAATATTTTTTTAAACTTACAAGTAATCAAAATTAAAATATTTTTATTTAAAAATGTTATTGATAACTTATTTTTAATAATTTTTTAATTAAAAATATTTTTATTTTTAATTATTGTTTTAAAGATACTGATTAATAAAAAAAATTATTAAATGATTTTAAAATTTTTTATTGTGTTTAAGAAAACAGAGTAATTTTTATTTAAAAAATTATAAAATTTAATAAATCAATAATATTAAATATTATAAATTTAAAAATTTTTGTAGTATATTTTTTAATATATATTAAACACTTATATATTTTTGGTTTACATATATTATTTTTCTTATCAAGATGATATTTTAAATTTTTTATATAATTTATTTTAACTTATTACTTATTTATTAAAAAAATACATGATATAAATAATTTATTTCTTCTCGTATACTATTAGACACGTGTTAAAAAATTGTGATGTAAATATGTATTTAATTTTTTTCATTTGACTGTAATTTAACTACAATCGAATTTTAAAAAAGGATAAATTAACTTTTTTATTAATATTTAATGATAAATTAAGTTTAATAATTTTTTTATTTTTTATCGTTTTAATCTGAATTTGACTCAAGTTGCATATTTAAATGTAATGGTTGAGTCTATTACTAAAATTTTGAATCAAAAATTTTATTTGAATGATATTAAGTCGCTTGTCACTTGAATCAGTCTCCATTGATAAGTTTAATGACTTTTGTCTAAACTGAATTTTTCTTTTTATAAATCAAGGTTTTATTTTTAATCATTACTTGTGAGGTAACTGAAAATAAAAATGAAAAAAAAAAAAAACAATCAAAATAGACTGAAAGAATGAAAGCCCAAAAACTGTATATGATACCTATAAAAGTCAAAAAATATCAATGTGTAATGAAAAAAAAAAAGCAAATAATTTGCTAGTTGTTTGGGATAAGGAAAATTTTCTATGTTAAAAATCATCTCGAGGGAAACTACATTTCAACAAGTTTTGAGGATCAAGAAGAAAACAAAAAATAGGCCTAAACATAAGGGAATATTGAAAGATTATCCAAGACCTTTAGTTTTATTAAAAGAGACACATTTCGAGTTATTTTAGGAGATTTTTTTGTCACATTGTTGATTTTTCTCTAGGCTGCCTGAAAGACAAGAAAATATTCCAAGTCCACAAAAAACTAAAGGCTTTTTCAAGGAGTTTTGAGGAGTTTTCAAGTCACCGAAACTCAAAACTGCTCGAAAAGCAGGACTGAAAAGAAAATATTCTAAGTCCACAAAACTAAAGGCTTTTTCGAGGAGTTTTAAGGAGTTTCCAAGTCACTGACACCCACAACTGCTCGAAAAGTAGGACTGACAAGAAAATATTCTAAGTCCACAAAACTAAAAGCTTTTTCGAAGAGTTTCTAAGTCACTCACACTCAAAATTGCTCGAAAAACAGGACTGACAAGAAAATATTCTAAGTCCACAAAAACTGATGGCTTTTCGAGGCGTTTTGAGGAGTTTTCAAGTCCCTAACACCCAAAACTGCTCGAAAAACAGGAAGTGGTCAGAAAATATTCTAAGTCCACAACTTGGTTGAACTCCAGATTTTCTCCAAAATTACTCGAAAAACAGGAAGTGGTCAGAAAATATTCTAAGTCCACAAACATGACTGAGCTCCAATCCCTCCAGAATTGCTCGAAAAACAGAAATGAGAAAAGAAAATATTCTAAGTCCATGAGATCAAGACAAGCTCTTAAGACCCCAGAATTAGTCGAAAAAAGAAGGTAAGGAGAAATTATTCTAAGGCCATAAACTAAATGAGCTTCCTAAGACCCTCCCAGAATAACTCGAAAGACAAAAATTGACTTGAAAGGTTAAGTGCAAAAGCAGTCATTAGCAGTTACCAACACTGAGCAAAGGTTCAACTATGCAAAGAAAAGATCGTGGGTGATAACGGTTACCAGCAGTTACCGACAGCACGATCACAAGCAATCTTGTATAATGGACATAACAGTTGAAGGCGGTTACTAAGAAGTGCCCGCAAAAGGAGGAGGATGGTGGTGATCTTCCTGCTTATAAATACCCCAAAGCGCCATTCTACAAAGGACGACTTTTTGCACCCAGACACCATACCTAAACTCTCTGAGACGCTGAAACCCTGCACCGCGCCAGAGTCGTATGTTTACATTCACGCACCTTTACATTCCCGCATTTACCTTTCTGCATTTTAATTTTAGTGCTTGTTGCTTATATCTTTGTACACTGTTTATTTCCTGTTTACTACATTTTTGTAAAAGCATCTACGTTTGATTCAATTTTGCACAATTATTATTCCCTATTCTTGCTTAATACTCTTTTACGCCGTTAATTTGAGCATCACGTTAACAATACACTTAAAAGAACCTAAAGAGGACATAAATCCAGTCTTCAGATTGATCTTTGGATTATTTGTTTACAATTGTCATTTTTCACCGTAAACACTTTTACACTTACAAACTATACTCAAAAAGATACTTATAAAGAACACATAATTTGCTAATAACTTACAAGATTAATTTATTCTAAAGAAAACTCTCAATTAAAAAAAATTTGAATTTTTTTTCAAAAGTAATAATTTTTAAACATGTAATTAGATTTATACAAGAGCATGAATAAATCACATGGGACATGGGAAGGCCCTGTAATATGTGTTACACATCAGTCTAATCTAACTTAGGTTTATTTATCGAATAAGTTAGAACAAGGTCTAAACTCTTTAAATTTTTATTTGGGTACTAAAAAAGGTTAGACTTTAATAGCATTTTACTTGATTTTCTGAAATTCTATTTTCCTTACAAGGAAAGACCTGACCAAACACATTTTTTTGTAGATTTCTTAAAAACTATTTTTCTAATAAAAAAAAATATATAGTTATGTAAAAGTTGAGTTAAAAATCTGCTTAGATTTTATAACGTTGATTTCAAGTATAAAAATTCAGGGCTTTGTTAGAAATGGTTGTAATGTAATAATGATGGAACATTGGTAGGGCTTGTTTGGGTTTTATTTTATTCAGTGATTAGGAATTTTTTGGACTCTGGAATTGATAGAAATAGAGTTTGATTTGAATGATTTGCCATGAAAGATGCCCCTTCATTTATAATAAAAAAAATAGAAATAATTAAGAAATTAAGTATGGTAAAAAGAAAGTGAAGAATTATAGTGTTTTTGTTTGTATTTTTAGAAAGAATTTTTTTTAAAAAAAACTAAAATTACATGTATTTTTAATTTTCAAAAAGAAAAAAACTCTTTCTAAAAATCAAACAAACATCCCCTTAGAATATAGTGCAAAGCATATGCTGCGAGTATAAAGTCCTGGTATTGGAACATGTGTGGGGGAAAAAGAGCAACCTTACAAGAGTATTAGTTAATAATTTAAAATCATGTATTTTCACAGTCATTTCAATTCACTTTCAATATCATTTTTTTAATATTTTTCATTATTATTTTTAATTAATAACCAGTGCACTTATTAAATCCTTAATGACATATTTTGTTTTAAAATAAGAAACCTTAATTCCTTAATATTATCGTATAAAATCTTCATTTTCGTAATTGTGCTTTATTATTGCTACTAAACATTGATTCAAGTTTGCTGATAAAAAAAAAACCTCCAATTAGCCATCTAACAATTTAATTTTAATAATTAATTAGCCATCTAACAATTTAATTTTAATAATTAAGACACTAAATATAACGTTTATTTAATCACGAATCCAAAATTAAATATTAAAATATTATTCTCAAACTCGAGCAACTGTCATTCAGCGTAGCAGTTGCAATTCCAAATTACCACATACCACAAAATTTTCAGAAATCATATAAAATAATATAACAGTGTGAACAGTTTAATATATCAAATAATATAATTTAATATAAAAGTATGAATATTTCATTAAAAGTGAGAGATAGCACTTTACAAGATCAAATTATTTTATAAAATAATATTATTTATCAAATTATGATAATATTTATATAATTCTCTTAAAAGTAAAAACATATAAAATATACTATTTTTGGTAAGAATTTATAAAATAAAAATACATATTGTGACTGTAAAAAATTTCACTGTAATACAGTTTCACACAGAACATGAGCATGGGATTATTTTGACATGGATACAGCGCATTAGTAGAGAAGAGAAGAGAAGAAGCAAAAAAGGGGAAAGTGAAATGCAACAAAGCAAAGCAACTTTACTTTACCCAGTTGCACTCTCACTTCACTTTATCATTGTGACAACACCAACCTAAGACCAAACAATGTAAGTTGTTGTTCTTCATCTTTCTCTTCTGTTCTGTCTTTTGTGTTCATCTCATGTTTTCACTCTAATCTTCAAATTCATGCCCCCAAGTTCCTCTCTTTCATCTTCTGTTGCTTCAAACTCTTCTTTCCCTTCCTCAAAATTGCACCTTTACTCTCATGGTCATGAGACACACCATGCTCTTCACACTCCTATGTCTGATTCTTCTATGTGCAATCCCTTCTCAATCAATTGATGTTCTCCCACAAGACAGAGATTCACTTTTGATGTTCAAGTCATGGCTGCAAGACCCTAACCAGAGTTTGTCCAACTGGGTAGGCTCCAACTGCACTTCATGGAGTGGAATCACCTGCGACAACAGAACTGGTAGGGTACTTTCAATCAACCTAACTGGTATGAACTTGTCAGGCCAAATCCACCCTAGTTTATGCCAACTTTCAAATCTTAACAAGGTGGGTTTGTCCCACAACAACTTGGCATCCACTCTTCCTGTTTGTTTTGGGAACTTGGTTAACCTTGGAGCCATTGATCTCAGCCACAACAGGTTTCATGGTGGAATACCTGACTCTTTCATGAGGCTTAGGCACCTTACTGAGCTTGTTTTGAATGGGAACCCTGGTTTGGGGGGTCCACTGCCTCTTTGGATTGGTAACTTCTCTGCAAATCTTGAAAGGTTACATCTTGGTTTCTGTTCATTCAGTGGAGGTATACCTGAGAGTTTGCTTCACTTGAAGTCACTCAAGTATTTGGACCTTGAAAACAATCTCTTGTCTGGTAACCTGGATGATTTTCACCAGCCTTTGGTTTTTCTCAATCTTGCTTCTAATCAGTTTACTGGTACCTTGCCTTGCTTTGCAGCTTCAGTTCAGTCTCTAACTGTGTTAAATCTATCTAACAATTCTATTGTGGGGGGTCTACCTGCTTGTATTGCTTCCTTTGAAGCTTTGACTCATTTAAACCTATCAAGGAATCACTTGAAGTATAGAATATATCCTAGGCTTGTGTTCTCAGAGAAACTACTTGTTTTGGACTTGAGTAATAATGATTTGTCTGGTCCTATTCCTAGTAAAATTGCCGAGACTACAGAGAAACTTGGCCTTGTTCTTCTTGATCTTTCTCACAATCAATTTTCTGGTGAAATTCCTGTGAAAATTACTGAGTTGAAAAGCTTGCAGGCCTTGTTCCTTTCTCACAATCTTCTTTCTGGAGAAATTCCTGCTAGAATTGGAAATTTGACTTATCTTCAAGTCATTGATCTCTCACACAATTCTCTGTCTGGTACCATTCCATTCAGTATTGTTGGGTGCTTTCAGCTGTATGCCCTAATACTTAACAACAACAATCTTTCTGGTGTAATTCAACCTGAGTTTGATGCATTGGATATCTTGAGGATACTGGATATAAGCAACAACAGGTTTTCTGGGGCTATCCCACTCACTTTGGCTGGATGTAAATCTCTGGAGATTGTAGATTTTAGTTCCAATGAGCTTTCTGGATCCTTGAATGATGCAATAACCAAATGGACAAACCTCAGGTATCTTTCTCTTGCTCAGAACAAGTTCAGTGGAACTTTGCCTAGTTGGTTGTTCACATTTGAGGCAATAGAGATGATGGATTTCTCACACAACAAGTTTTCTGGCTTCATACCTGATATTAATTTTAAGGGTGGCTTAATATTCAACGCAAGGAATGTCACTGTTGAAGAGCCATTGGCTGCAGCCAGAAAGGTTCAACTGAGAGTTTCAGCGGTTGTTTCTGATAGCAATCAGCTCAGTTTCACTTATGATCTCTCCTCAATGGTTGGAATCGATCTATCCAGCAACTTGCTTCATGGGGAGATTCCAAGGGGTTTATTTGGCCTAGCTGGCCTAGAATATCTGAATTTGTCATGCAACTTTATCGATGGACAGCTTCCCAGTTTGCAAAAAATGCAGAGTTTGAAAGCCTTAGATTTGTCACATAATTCCTTGTCAGGACATATCCCAGGAAACATTTCTAGCCTTCAAGATCTTTCCATTTTGAATCTGTCTTACAACTGTTTTTCTGGATATGTTTCCCAGAAGCAGGGGTATGGGAGATTTCCTGGTGCATTTGCAGGAAATCCAGATTTGTGCATGGAATCTTCCAGTGGAGTATGTGATGATGGAAAGAGTCCATCTGTCCCTGGAAGTTCTTTTAGGGAAGATAGGATGAAGGGACCAATATCTCTGGGCATTTTCTTTATCAGTGCCTTTGTTAGTTTTGATCTTGGTGTTGTTGTTCTCTTCTGTTCCACACGCACAAGAAATTACATTCTCCAAACAAAAGTTTGATTTGATGCTTGTGACAATGACAAATATTCTCCTGTAAATTCCATTTTGTAATTTGGTAGGTGTCTTCTCATTTTCAAGTGATGATACACTTTCTATTACTGGCCATCAACTTCATAGGTGATCTATTTCCCACTTAGTCCTTTTCACTCATTTGCTGAGTAAGTGTTCCACAATGATAGAATCAAGATGCCATCACGAGTCATGAGTCACAACAGGTTTTAACAATACTCATGACCCTGGCCAAGACAAAGTCCAACATCATTCAACCAGGGAGATGAATGGATGGTTATGGTGAAATTTTGATCTGAGTGAAGACAAGTCCTGTATCATTCTACTGGTTCTCTTTTGCTGGAACTTGGTTGCATAAGTTCAGCAGGGAACATGCCTGATATTTGGTCTAGTTATGGTGAAATTTTGATGTTGGGCATCAAATTGCGGATTTGCTTGCATGTTTATGTCATGTATGATGTATCATTCTAGATTAACCTGGCTCTTTTCTGAGGCGAGGAACCAAAATTTTCCCCTTAGTCTTGTTTACCTTAGACTGCGAATTGATTAGGTATAGTGAGGAGTGATAAGTGCTTGAATGGGGTTGGTTCTCAAAAATCTAATATTTTTGTTACAGTCTTCAAACCTTCAGCTTAGTCTGGTGATTTTAAATGATATTCTTGTTGTTAAGAGACGAACATATTAGCTAGAAATAAAGTTAGAATACTCTTTATAAGGGCTTGTGTAATTTTCTTGTGAGTTAGTTTTAAGAATTGGTTAGACTTTTATTATTAATTTGTTTATTGTCATTTTGTGTAAGTCATTTTTTCAATATCTTTATTATTTATTTGATCATCCAATAACAAAAGAAGTATTTTAGATAAAAACAAACTAGATGGAAGTGATGATAAATACAAAGAAGTGACAATGAACATTCTAAAAAACTAAACATGAGAATTATATAACTTTTTTTTTTTGTTCTTTCAGCCCAAAGATTGAAGTAAAAACAATTATGTGTTAGAAAATAAGAAACTTACAATTGCATTTTTATGTTTTCATCTTAAAGACTTCTTTCCTTTGGTTTTAATTATTATCCCAGAATAATGAATTGGCTGCTAAAGAAATAGTCTTTCTCTAGCTATATTTTCTTGATATCTCACTCATCTAATAAAGTATTTTTTCATGTTTAACAACAGATATCCCTAAAAAATATAAAGTCATCTTTAATTGTCAGGTGGTCGGCCTATCTTTCTCTCCCTATCAGTAATAAAAATAAATAAACTATATGTACAATTTTTTGAAGTATTTTGTTTTATATATTTCTTCAATTAATATTTAATTCTTACTTTAATAATTTATAATCATATTAAATATTCACTTTATAATGAGGCTAGATTTTAATTTTAATTTAAAATAGCATCAAAAGTAGTACTTGAATTTTATTATTTTAAAATGTGTACAATCTTCTCCAAGGAATTAAATTTACAAGTGATCTTACCTTCTAAAATTATCAAGGCAAGTAATGAATATGCAATACTCGTTAAACATTCTCTAAAATGTGTGTAATATTTGTCAAGTAATTAAATTTTTTGAATAATATATGCGGAATTTTCTTCAATCTACATACATGTTTTTTGTTAGCAAGACCTTGTTATTAATATGATTAAGGGAGGATTAACTAATATGATACTGTTTGCAAAGGAAATCACAAAAATGTTCAAACAGGACGAGTAGAAATGAAGTCAGAGAAAATCCAAAATCATGAAGCAGATTTATTAACTATAATGAATTGTTTTACAAAACACAAAATCTAATGAAGTACTCCCCATAAAACTAATATTAGTACACCGGATTCTCCCAATCTCTTTTAATGGTGTGAATGCAATATGCGCCTACTATTGCCATTGAATTAAGTCACACAATAACCAGTAACATGAACCAGTCCTTGCCAGCTTCCAGTCCAACGCAGATGGCCAGTTCTATGAAGTTAAATCGGAAATTAATACCAAAACTTTGACACACCCGTTAATCCTTGATGCAACCAATTTATTGTTCATCCCAGAAAAAAATTGTAATGAAAGCCACATCCATTTTGTTCCCTTTCTGCACACTTCATGGTATCCAAGACCAGCCACAATCCATTTTATCTAGCTAACTTTGCACTACTGTTCTAGTATTTGATAGGACCATCCAGGCTCCCGGATGCAAACTACCACAACAAAACAAAAGTGTAAGAGTTATTAATATTGTTATTTACGAATGATTGCATTATGTGATAAACAAACAATAAAAAGGAAAGAATAAGCAAAATGATTCAACGAAGTTTAGCGCAAGCGTCCAACTATCTGGCCGAGCTCAATGGTCTTTGTGAAACGTTACAACAGAAAGAAAAAAAAAAAAGGTTTGAACAGCTTGTTACATATTCTGCAACCAGAGTTATCCAAACAACACCCAAAAAGAAATCTCTCTTGGATCCTTATTGTACGTGGTCCGGCCCAAGAGCTAAATAAAGGTAACCTATATCACACCTCCCCACATAAATAAGTTGCCTGTTACATTTCTCTCAATAGATGGCCATGAAGCACGGACTCTCACATGGACACCGGACATAATACAGACACTCCAACATGGCTAATGCCTAAAATATTGAGGTCTCACAATAAAGAAATTCAGAAACAACTTATTGTTAACACCTTTAAAGCAAAACAACTAACCTGCTGAACAATTGGATTCGTTGAAGTTGTAAATTCATTAGTCATTCCTTCCCAAACAATCTTTCCCTTATGTAGGAACAACAACCTGTATTTATGAAGTAACTTTTCATATCAGGGTACAAGAATTCCAGGCAAATTAGGGGACAGGCAGAAATGCAGCCTCTATGAAAATATCCTTACCTATCAATGGCTCTTTTGATTGTACTATGTTGGTGAGTAACAACCACATAAGATGCAATATTTCCTGGCTTTCCACGCGCATCTCGTCCTTTTATGTGCATAGAGCGAATCAAATCCTCAACAACAGTAGATGCAATTGGATCAAGTCCAGCAGTTGGTTCATCATACAAGAGCACCTGACCAGAAGGGCAAAATGTGGTTATATTTTGTAAACAGAAAAGAGAGAAAAGGGAGGGGGGCTTACATACTGATTAAACTATAGTAAATATTACATCATATGAGATTTCAAAAAGCATCTCTGGAATTGGAAAGTTTAGTGTTGCAATACATATAACTGAAAGTCATTGACTCCAGTTTTATGAATATATAGTAACTAGGAGCAGGATCAACCCAAAGTGGAAAGTCTTCATATCAAACTCAGCGTAAGGTTATCCGTAGTTTTTCATTTGGTAGGCACATATATCTTTGTTTCTCCTTCAATGTCACGATTGCAGTGCGAACTAACATTAAAATTGTGGACATACAGGTATAGGAAATAGTATCAAGTGCAATAGAACTGCAAGTGGTTGAGGGAAAATTTTGTATGGAAAAAAAAAAGAGCAGAGAGGGGGATCATGACTTGCAAAATAAGTAATAACAACATACAAAACCAAAGTGTCAACATTTAGAGATGTCTAAGAACAAGATTTAGGTGCAATATAACCAATTGGAATCAGTCACAAAATAATAATAAAAAAATGATAGAACACAGCAACATAGGGTCTACCAGCCTAGAGGCCTCAAAACTTACTCTATGACTAGATGTTCTTGCCCCACCTTTTTTTAGGTTCTATGTAGTTATTAGAATCTTACCATTCACAATTCAAATCTCACAATTTGATTCAATATGACTTATCAACGGTGTGTATCATGTAATGAGTCGTAGATGACTTTGAAATTGAATCTTATGATACATGATTAAATCAGTGCAATTCCATATCACATAAACGAATAGCACAATTCAACAATTCAATTATTTTTCATTTGTCCCCTTTTACCATTTATTATCAAAGGTATTAAATGAAAAGGAACTGAAAGAGTACTACTAAACACACCTTATTTGACTATTCAAATGATTCATTTTCATTATTCTGGAATAGGGGTCCCACTTCCACATCATCACTCACTCGTTTCTATACCCTGTATTTGGCTATTCTTTGCTCTATTTTTAGTTATATAAATGATTCACCTACGTAGTTACGACTTATAATTTTGTTTCATGAGACTTTAAGTCATTTTCCAATTAAATTTATTATATTGAGTTATACATATAATATATTTCAAGCTATTTTTCACTGTGTCTCTGAATTTTACAATTCGATAGGATTCACAATTTAAAAGCTAGATGGACAATTCATGATTTGAATTGCCATTTAATAACCTTTATAACCACTTCCCCTTCCATTCCTACCCAGGTTGTTACATTCCAAATCTCTGTTCTGCCCCATACTCGTATTTCTCATGTCCTAATAAAGGTGAACGATTGGAGAATTAGCCAGTGAAAGACCATCCTTTTTCCTTCTGCCTGGGTCTCATGTGAAACATAAGGACCCAAGGAAACACAAGTTCTCATACACTACTACCTAAAACTACACATTTGTAACATTAATTAAGAGCTACTTATAAATGGCCTTAAATAGTTGCTAATCAGCGGGCGGGATGGTTGGGAGCTTAAGAATATAAATGGGGAAGTTTTAGAAGCTAACACACCTCTGGCTCTATTGATTCCCTTGTGGTGTCATAAATGATAGATCGAGCTAAAGCAACTCGTTTTTTCATCCCGCCTGATAACTCAGAAGGCAATCGATCTTCAACTCCCTGTAAAAAATGGTGGGTGATGTGTCAGTCTATGCATGTAAAAAACAATGGTTATGCTACAACTAAAATGGAAGAAAGTGTAGTGTGAATAAAACTCCAGTTGTACGAGTATGAAACAACTTTTTCATTAGCAGAAAGAAAATGTGTGCTATCACTGCTACTCTTTAATGTAGTATTTGCTGTCTAATGTTAATGGTCTCGAACCATGTATTACACTTATAAGATGCATACCTTCAATCCAACTGCAGCCAAGGTTTCCTTGACAAGCTCTGATATCTGTTCCTCAGACATGCTTGAGTGTTCATACCTGAACAATTAACCAGGTCAGAAACAAAAAAAAGAAAAAAAATTGTTGAGGACAGAAAACCAACCGATCAATTTTATCACCCTTTAGACAATATTAAAAAGGAACTTCAATTTTAAGGGCAAACTTAAGCCTGCATCTTACAAGAGAAAACCAACATTTTCACGAACAGTCAAAGAATCAAACAGTGCTGCACTTTGGAAAACCTGTTTGCAGATAAAAAAATAAAATAAAATTACAATAAAAATGTAATAGCACTTAAGAATGAGCATATTGCAGTTTACTCTGACACTTACTAGTCCAATACGAAGCCCAGATATGTCATCATCGCTCACCAAACCAACTCTCTTTTTACCTCGAATGTAAACTTCCCCCTGTCAATTTGACGACGATAACATTCAAGAACTGCACTCAATTGTTTGAAATTAAAATCACATGCCCGAATTTTATACACTTACCTTGTCCGGGGCAAGAAGTCCTGCAACAATCTTCAAAACTGTAGATTTGCCAGTCCCAGAAGGACCAATTATTCCAACAGCTTCACCATGCCTGATCTATTCATTATGTCAAAAAAGAGAGTGAAATGATTTAGCAACCTTCCAATCAGTAAGGCCTCCTCCAACCTTTACCAAGAACTAGTTTTCATTTAACATGAATTTGCTCTAAATGAATTTATCGAAATATTCGTTTTTGGTAGAGCTCAACAAATTTTTTTTTCATGTGAAATAAAAGACCCCACCATGAAGGACAATTCTTGGTATTTTATTGCTGCAAGTATTAATACTCCATTTCATGCTACATATCACACTAAACAGAATAACAAAGAAAGAGGTAACAACCAAGTAATCTTCACCTTGAAGCTGACACCATTTAAGATTTTCTTCTCCCCAAAAGACTTGTAAACATCTCTACACTCAATAAGAACATCAGAATCATCCCCATAATCCCGCACCGTGCTTAATTGTTCTGAGTTGGATGAACCCTAGCAACAAGCTTGATGTCAGCCACCCATTGAAAAAGAAAGAAACTTTATAATCACCCAGAAAATAAAAATCACTGTCACCAACCCCGCCACAACAAAATTAACCACATGGGACGATTAAAGCAAAATTGAGAAAACTTGCAAAAACAATAAGAATCGAAGTATAAGCATAAGAAGAAATCGTTACATTGAAATTAATGGCGGAGGAGTCTTGGCTCTTGAAGTTTTGCGGCGGTGCGATGCAGGCACAGAGAATCTTCCTGTGATCCCTAGCGTGCTTGTTGTGAAAGAGGGAATTAGGAGGTGGAAATCTAGTAGAAGGAGAAGAAGCGTTATTTGCAGTGAAGGGTAAAAAGGGGGTGGTTGAGAGGGAAACCATGGTAGGAGCAAAATGGGAAATGGAACGAAAAGAGAAAGAAAGAAAGAAAGAAAGAAAAGTGGAGTTATGAGTTGGAACGCATGTGATCCATATGGGGTTTAAGAGTGATGATAGTGAAATGAGGAATGGGTAATGGTCGGTGAAATTGAGAATGAAGGTAGTTTCGTCGAAGATGGTCTTTGCTTGGGGTTGGGGATGACCCTATTCTTTGTGTGTGTGTGTCAAAGTGGAATTTGGGAAGGATGGTTAGAGGCAGAAGACAACACAACGGTATTCGCAAATGCCAATCTATCATCAACGTTTGTCACTCTCACTCTCACTCACAACTCAACTTCTTACACGCAATTTTGATTTTACATAGGGATCTCTCCTCTTTTTGTCCATAAATTAAATTAAATTAAATTATATACTATTTCTTATTTTTAAAAATAAAATATTATTTTTAATCCTTCTAATTTGTATAGTCTATTAAGATATTATCAAATGTCAATTTTAGTTAGAATATATTAATTAGAGAGAATAAAAGAAATAATTAGTAGATATTATGTCCTAACAAATTATTTTATAAGAACTAAAATTAAAATATAAATACAACTTTTATAAATATTAAACACTTAATTAAGTCAATTAATTTTTAAAAAATTAAAAAATATTCAAAGTGTAATTTACTCCTAATTTTAATTTTAAAATTCTCTTTTGTTGAGCTAATACTAAAACAAATGAGTTTGTTACAAACATATAAATTTTTCGGAAAGATACTCAAATACTCACGATCAAACATTGAAAAATTTATTAAAAAAATTGATATAAGAATAGTTAAAGTATTATTTAGTTGCTATGATATCTAATTATGCTATAGTTAGTATATTATCTAATTGTGCTATTATATATCATAAATAAAAATAATTGAGGAATTAAGATGTTTTTACTTAATATAAAAAAAATATTTTTACTTGTATATTTACATGTTATGTTATCATGTTATATTATAAAAAAAAAAATCATCTTTCTACGAGCAAAATTCATATCATATGTTTTTTATAACTATCATTTCAAAAAGTTAAATTATATATTTTAAAAATTACATTTTTTTAATCTATAAAAAAATTTCATTTTTAATATAATTAACATAGTCAATAAAACAAAAAAGCAAAATTCCAAATGTATTTACATATTTATATACTTGTCAAATTATTATATTGCATTATATGTAAAAAGTCAAGGCATTATATGTGAAGTAAAATTGTTGTGCATTTTTTTAAAAAAATTCATGAATGACATTCCTCTTAATTAAGAAGTGGAATAATTGTTATGTTTTAAGCAAGTTTAAGCATACACCTAATCAATCATACGTTAACATATTATATTACAAATCAGTATACTCTCACATACTGCTGAGGTGATAGAAGTTTTACATCAAGCATGGTCTAACATCAAATATCAAATCTCATGATTATTTTGTAGATTAAAAAACTTCAAGAGTCATTCTTATTCTAATTTTTGTGGTATATTCCAAGAACAGCTACACTTTCAGCTGATGCATGAACCCTTTGGTCTCAACCTTTCCTTTCTTAATTCTTTTATATACACACACATGGAAAAGTTTAAATTACATCAATATAAATTATATTTTTTTTAATGATTTAATTTCAAAATCAACAGACTAAAAATTTCAATTACATATCTACAAAATCTAAAATTATTTAATATCTTATTTATAAATAGTAAAATTAATATAATACATATTTTTAAAATTTATGAAAATAAAAACATTTTATAACAATTTTATAAAAATTTAAATAATATATAATTATAACTTAACAATTAAATTGATAAAAATTATTTTTTATTTTAAGTTATTAACGGTATAAAAAAGAGTATAATTTATACTTATATAATTTGATCTTTCTCTTTATATATATATATATATATATATATATATATATTAATAATTTAATAATATTATTATGTAGTTAATATAGTTGACTTTGTTAATAAGACAACACTTAATTTTTGTTATTAATAATTTAATTGGTTGATGCACAAATTATATTTGGCGAATAAAAAAGAAATATATAATATTAAGTTTTTCTTAATAAAGTTTTTGTAAGACCATTTAAAAGAAATTATATGAATTTATTGAAATTTATAAAAGTTTGAATTATTTTAATTAATTCTGTATAAAAAATTGTTGAAATAACCTTTTATTAATTTATTTTAAAAAGTTCACAATCAAGCTTACGAATAGGTGTGATAAAATTAAGAGTAGCTCATGTACAGTAAAAAGGAGGTTATGATTTTTAATTTTTTTTACTATCAAGGTTATAATATTTTTAGAATAACATAATAATTTTTTTTAATTGTTACCTAAATTACGTTAAACTTATAAACTCCTAATTTTTTTTCATTTTTGTAATCATTTTTTTTTCTTTTTACAAACCCTTATTACATTCCCTCTATTTGGCTTTTTTTCGAGATTATAATGTGATTTTTTACCATTTTTCACAAACACTTGTAGCATCTTAAGCTTGTGGAGTTGTAGCATAAAAAAAAGTTTTGAAATTGAATTTCTACCAAAATTATATTAAAATATTTCCGTAATAATATATTTTAATATTTATTATAATAAATATTTAAGAAATTATCAAACTATCTACATGTAATACAGGAAATTAAAGTGGTATTGTAAGTAGTTAGAGCCATTAGCTATGTAATGCTTAATAAACTCCTTAAAAAAAAGAAATAAAGTTTACCGTATTTAGTTAAAAAAAGTTTTTGATCCAACCTTTTACTTTAAATGTTTTTGTCAAAATAGGCTAAAAATAGTCAAAGTCTTATGTTTTATATGGTCCACCTAACTTATTCTTATCTTTAAAAAATATGGAAAGTTAAAACTACAGTATAACTTCACATAGAGCTATAGTTTTTTCAGTTTATGAGATGCAATTTTTAATAAGTTTGAAATATTTATAATATAGTGATTCTTTTTTTAATTGATTTTTTAAATTAGTTTTTTGTGTATTATATGAATGTCTTTAAATATGAATAAAATAAAAACAAAAATTTAAAACATGTAAGAAAAATGGTTTAGTTAAAAAATATAACTTTACGGATAATAAAATATAAAACATAAGCATTTAATGTTATTTATTTTAAATACTTTAAAATTTTTAATAAATAAAATATTATTTTGTCAAATGATGTATATTATCTTATATATTTAATATTGATTAAAATTTTAAAATATAATTAAATAACAATAAACAGCTTCCTATAAATAAGTAAATAACTAAAAAAATTAGTTTAACTGAATTGAAATTCAAAATATATTATCCATGTATAAAAAACACAAAAGGCGTGTTATTACTCAAGAGTGAGTAAAAATGGCCAAGAGATTATCATTCTCTATAAAATAAAAATATGTTTTACAGTGATAGAATATTAGCAAGTAATAAAATAAATTAATTCCTTAAATTATAAATTCCAATTCATTGAATCATTAAAATTATAAAAAATTTAAAATTATCATTAAATATTGATCATTTTAATCCATATTTAATAATTTTAAAAAATTAAAAAGAAGTTCATTTATTAATATTAAAATTAACAATATAATGAGACGAAGAATCCCAAAATTTGAGCCGTTGGTAAATGGTAATTGAAGATACTTGATAGTATAGGGTCCACGAGCGTAACATAATAACGGTCTCGCGTGTGTAGGAGACCGCGAAACACTGAATCAGATCCATCCAGCGTCGGTGGTTAACTTAACACCGTCTCCACCGCCGCACGCCGTCGCACATTCCGATTCCGACTGGGATTCAGCATGTTCAAATTCCTGAAAGAGGTTGTTGGTGGATCCGGAACCGGCCTCAAGGATCTCCCTTATACCATCGCCGAACCTTACCCTTCCGCTTGGGGCTCTTGGACTCATTCTCGCGCCACCTCCAAGGTACACAAGCACCGTTCTCTTTCTTTTTCTTCTTCTTCCAATTCAACACTATATATATAACACTGCAACTTCACCGTTTCAGGACGATAGTTCTCCGGTCTCCGTTTTCTCTCTTTCCGGCTCCAATGCTCAGGACGGACACTTAGCCGCCGCGCGCAACGGCGTTAAGCGTCTTCGAACGGTGAATTTCCAAATCTTATTTTATTAGTTTTTGGAATTTTGTGGATTGCTTCGTTTTCATGGTGCTGTGGTGTTTCCAGGTTAGGCATCCGAATATCTTGTCGTTTCTTCACAGTGCGGAGATTGAAACTTACGATGCTGGTTCTCCTAAGGTGACAATCTACATTGTGACCGAGCCTGTGATGCCGTTATCTGAGAAGATCAAGGAGTTAGGTCTTGAAGGTACTCAAAGGTATCGATTGAGTAATTAATATCATGGTTGAAGTTCTAAATTTGCTTGTAATACTAATCTGACGTATGATGTGTTTTTCCTTGTGTTTAGTATACGTGATTTTCAAGTATCAATTGGTCCGTGAATTGAGGATTTAGTAGTACTCCCTACTACTCACTTTTTTGTTACATTCGTCATTGTTTTGTAGGGATGAATATTATGCTTGGGGTCTTCATCAAATAGCTAAAGCCGTGAGCTTCTTAAATAGTGATTGTAAACTTGTGAGTATTTGAGACCCCTTTTCGATTGGCTCTTTTTTGTTATTTTATCCACAATATTGTTTGACAAGTTTTGTCTGTTGCAGGTTCATGGTAATATTTGCTTGGCTAGTGTTGTTGTGACACCAACATTGGATTGGAAGCTCCATGCTTTTGACGTTCTATCGGAGCTTGATGGGAGTAACGAAACTTCTTCTGGCCAAATGCTGGTAAATTTGTGTGTTTGTTTGTAATACATTATCATCTTGTTAGTTTTGGCGTTGCTATTTGAATTTGCATTGCTCCTTCATTGATGTTCAGACATTAAATACTCATCTAAGTGAAAAATTACTTTACTCAAGAAGGTGAAAGTTTCTTGGTATGTGGTTAAAAGGTGGCATGTTAACTCTTTGACAGACTGAAGCCTGTCATCTAAAACTTGTTCTCAAGCTTTGGCCATTTCTATCTTTATAAGCCTTTGATAACTTTTATGACAAATTTGGCAATCTGGATGCTCACTTCTAGTGATTTGATTTGGCCTTCGTTATTTTAAAAGTAAAGGATATGCAGTCGGGAGACCTAAATAGTACTCACATGTTTTGACGCTTCCTGTTCAGCAATATGCATGGCTTGTTGGATCACAATACAAACCAATGGAGTTGGCGAAATCTGACTGGGATGTAATTAAGAAGTCTCCTCCATGGGCAATTGATTCTTGGGGCATGGGTATGTCATTTTTGTTCTTTTTGATGATAATTCATAGTGATAGCAATTTGGTTTATATAGTAGAATGGAACAACAATATGTTATTTTTGCATCTTTTGTTGTTAACCTATGGTAAACTTTCTGTTCCTCTTGCTAAGCCTAGTCAATTAGTCACATGACCACAACATATATCCATGTAGCCGACCTCATTTAGTGGGATAAGACTTGATTGCTGTAGTTGTAGAACTGGGAACTTCCATTGAGAGTATCAAATATACTTTTCTTGTTTGTGAAATTAGTCAAATTACACTAGGGGATGTTTGTTGCTAGCTTATGGTAAACTTTTTGTTCCTCTTGCTAAGTCTAGTCAATTAGTCACATGACCACAACATATATCCATATAGCCAACTTCACCTAGTGGGTTAAGACTTGGTTGTTGTTGTTGTTGTAGAAATGAGAAATTCCATTCAGAGTATCAAATAAACTTTTCTTGTTTGTGAAATTACACTAGGGGATGTTTGACAATTTTTAAAACTAGTTTAAAATGATACAAGATGGAAAAAGTTACAATTACACAAGTCCACATGAAAATAAGCAGGTTTAAAATTGGGCTTAGTTTGGTTCAGAATTACTTCAAAACGTATTCTAATATTAAATTTATTTGCATATTGTCAAATATTGTGTTGTTTAAAATTTTAAATTCAACAGAGTTTTCATGATTATTAACCAATCAATGGATGAGTGGTCCCTATAACTATATCCTATCCAATAACCATCCTTAAATCTAGATGAAAGGAGTATAAAATGGAAGAGACCCTGGAAAAATTTGGTCAAGAAACAACAACAGAATTGAACTTCGTAAGAACCAGTTTTATCTCATATTTACTCGGATAAATACTAAATATTTATAACTTATTCAATAGCCAATCATCCTACATCTAAAAATCAGCCTCAAATTGCCTATATATCTGGTTTTAAAAATTTGCCAAAAATATACTAGTTTTCTTGCTTACATATGAAAGTGAAATCCGTAGAATTCCTCCACTTAGATTTGGGTCCTGGGTATGTTTCTACTTGTTCCTTTTTTCAATGAGTTTGGCAAACCGTTTCCCAAACCATAATTGATTTTCAACAAAATGATCAACAATAAATAGAAGCTGTGCATGATTTCCCATGCTAGTTGGATGATAGTGATAAATTTCTGATTTTAAAGGAATTGATTTTCTTTGGTTTATAAACAGGACCTTTGTTGAGTAGGGATCATAATGCCAATTCAGTACTTACAGAAAGAATTAGAAATATCCTATTTCTTTGCATTTTTATGATTGCTGCTGATAATTTCATTCATCCTAACCTGAAAAACTGGGTGTATTTCCAAATGTAATGTTCATTGTTCACAAACTATGTGAGACCTTATCTTTCATATTAAAGTGGTCAAATAATGTCTTCATATATTAGAAGAATTTCGCTACTTTTTATCTATGAGAGTGAGTAATTTAATTTTAGTTTAAATTATGTCAAATTGGACAGATGTGGTAGGTTAACTGAATATTTTTTGCCTATTTTATTTTTTACTTTCTATGTATACCTTCTCTAAGATATTTAAAAATTATAATTTTATAGGTTGCCTAATCTATGAGGTATTCTCTGGTCTGAGGTTGGGCAAAACAGAGGAGTTACGCAACACTGCTTCCATTCCCAAGGTCAGCCTTCTTAGGTTTTTTATTTGATTAATTTAAGAATGGATAAAAAAATTAAGGGAAGCTTTAGTCAGTGGGTTTCTTTTACCTTTCGTTCCTTTGAAAAATTCATTTTTCATCTTTATATGTCTATTTTTTTGTCTCACAGTCTCTGCTTCCAGATTACCAACGGCTATTGAGTTCCATGCCTTCTCGTAGATTAAATACATCAAAGCTTATAGAAAACAGTGGTGAGTGCTCCTTGATGTATTTTTAGTTACCATCAAAAGTATAAATTAACCTGTCCAGCTCTATTGCATGTGTCAACTTGTGGTAATTTATTTCCTGCTCAATTGTCATTTTGGTAATTTTTATGAGAACATTTGAATGGAAAAAATACTTACTATTCACATGCTTTTGTTGCCCCCATGCCCGAGTTTATAGAAACATTGGTTCACCTAGCATCATAGTAGTTTTGCTCCTTTGCTTGAAGGATTCTGTTGAGTCTAAACCAGTCGGACCCCTATTAAAGACATACTAAAGAAGGAGGGGTAAAATAGGAAAGGAGAGCAAGGAGGCTGTTACACAAGATTCTAACAAATTAACAAACTAGCACACATGGCAAGGGAGGTGAGAGGGAGGATGCGGGGGAGGAGAGGGAATATATAGAAACTGAACATTTGGCAAAGGTAGGAAATATCTGGAAGGTGATTGGGGGTAGCTGCTGCCTTAGGAGAAGTTTACATCTCGTCATTTGTTACCTTTCTGCTATTTCACTTTTCTGTTTGTCCTACCAGGGTATTCCCTGAGGTTTTGGTATTAATTCCATAAATACATTTAGTTCCTATCATATGTTTGTGGTTTATCTTTTAAGTTTTAAGCTATATGGGATCCTATATATACATGCATAAGATTGATTGTACATCAGAGAAATTTAATGATTTTTCAAGTTTTCTTGTGAAGAAGATTGGTCACACTAGGAAAGGGAGGTAGAGAAGAGGGATTAACTTTGTCGTAGTATTATATATGCATGGTGAGAGTCATTGTTTATATGTAGAGGGGTATTAGAGCATTCTAATGTAAATTAATTTTAGCTGGGCCAAATTTAGAGGGGGAATTTTCTCCTTCATGAATAATGATCAATTGTAAACTAGAAAGAAAATCTGCTTCAACACCACACTAAACATTTGCCTTTTGTGTTTTGATGGTTGTCATAACTCATAAGTTGTACTCCTGATATAAATTCTCTGCATCCTTTCCTTGTGATTAGTTTGAGTATGTCAATAATGGACATGCAGAATATTTTCAAAATAAGTTGGTAGACACAATACATTTCATGGAAATTCTGAGTTTGAAAGATAGTGTTGAGAAAGACACCTTTTTCCGTAAGCTTCCAAATTTAGCTGAGCAACTTCCTCGCCAGATCGTGTTGAAGAAGGTATATTTCTGTGAAATTTCTAATTATAAGCTTTAATTGGATCAATCTTTGCTATCCAATTGTTTATGATTCTCCTGTTTTTGGTTTTCACAGTTACTTCCTTTATTAGCTTCTGCCCTTGAATTTGGTTCAGCTGCTGCCCCAGCTTTGGCTGCATTGCTGAAAATGGGTTCCTGGCTTTCAGCGGAGGAGTTTAATATCAAGGTAAACATTAATTTCACCTTGATCTCAATTTTCTTTGTCCTCTTACACTGCTTTTTTTCCTCCCTTTTTCTCTTTTTAATTAGGATTCAACCTCATTCTTGTATTGGATTTCTGTATTTACATGTAGGTGGTTCCAACAATTATAAAACTCTTTGCGTCCAATGACCGAGCTATTCGAGTCAGCCTTCTTCAGCATATTGATCAGTATGGAGAGTCATTATCTGCACAAGCTGTTGATGAGCAAGTATGTAGTTACGATAAGATTGTTTCATTTTCTCCACATTTCTTTTGGACCTTGACAATGTCATTTTGGTATGTATACAAACATTCTTGACATAAAATTATTATTGACACACATAATCAGGTTTACCCTCATGTTGCTACCGGGTTCTCCGATACATCTGCTTTTTTGAGAGAAATGACTCTCAAGTCAATGCTAATTTTGGCTCCGAAGGTATTCCAGTTAATTTGATGCTCACCGGCTTTGCTTTTCCTAATTGTTTCATTTTAAAGTCAAAGGCATTCTTGGTCTATTAGAATGTTGGATCCATAACATTTATAGCTAATTGGTGTTTGCATAGCATGTGTGACCTGGTTGTGACAAATTTACATTAAAGAGATCTCTGTTTGAGGGGAGGGATGACACTTTAAAAGTTAGAATATTGTCTGTGTTCAGATATCTTATCTTGTAAAGCAAGGGTCTATGTTGTGTCAGAACTTGAGAAACAGCACATATCTGTTATTACTCTCTGGTCTAACTTCTCCTTTCAATATGCATTTGAAATAATATTTTCTGAGATACTCAGATATGGTCATTGGAAGATTAGGTTTACATAAATGAAAATGAATGCACTTCATTGAGAGGTGTGGTTTACTTCAGATTGATGTTAAAACCAAATGGTTTTCCGGTTCTGATTGACTCTTAAATTATCATGTACTTTAGGGCTTGTTTCCTGTATCCTTACTGTCCCATTGCTTTTCCCCTCTTCCCCAGCCTTCTCATCTATTTGACGCAACTTGCCCAAGCAATTATTTTGTTAAAATGTTGTTTGTCTCATAACTGCAGCTGTCTCAAAGGACCATTTCAGGGTCGTTACTGAAGTATCTGTCAAAGTTACAGGTATTGCTTCAACCATTTTTGTGTAGTGAATCAAAAGTGATGAATAGACAAGGCCTTTCCTTTACTTTTACCTTTTTTCTTTTCTTTAATTGTAAACTCTCTTTCTAAAAATCATGGACATGGGAGACTAATATGGTGAAGTGTCTCATTTCAATTTTATTGTGTATTAATTAGGACAGATGCTTCTTTGAAGTGTATGTGCTTTATAGCTCTCTTTTATATAAAAAATTGAATGCTCACCTGTCTGTCAATTCTGATTGAAAAGCTGGCATTAAAGTAAGACAAAAAAATTGCATTCTCATTGCTATCATTTGCTATTTAATGTTCATGGATTTTCATTTCTAAAATTTATAACAGATGCATTATTTTGTAGGTTGATGAAGAACCAGCAATTCGAACAAATACTACCATCATATTAGGCAATATTGGAAGTTACTTAAATGAAGGAGTACGATATAAATGCTATCTGCTCATTCAAATTGTGTGCAGTGTTTTATTTGATGTGTTTTAGCACATTTTTCTTTGGTGAATTAACTTAAATGCTACTTTTGCAGACAAGAAAAAGAGTTTTGATTAATGCATTTACAGTCCGTGCCTTACGTGATACTTTTCCACCTGCTAGAGGAGCAGGTATCAGAATCATGCATGTGTATCAATAACAATATCATTGTTTTACTTTTCCTCTAAAATTCTTATTCACATAATTTCAAATTTTGATTGTTCAGGCATTATGGCTTTATGCGCCACCAGTTCCTACTATGACATCACCGAAGTTGCTACCCGGATTCTTCCTAATGTTGTTGTGCTCACAATTGATCCTGACAGGTTATATATTGCTGATGAGTTTTACCATGTGAAGTTTAGTGAATTAATTCATCCCATTAATTAGTAATTTTAGTGGCTTGACTCATTTTTTTGATATTATAATTGTTTGCCGCTTGATTCACTTATTTACCTTAAATTATGATATTGATATCTACACAGTGAATCTTCTCATGTATGAGTATTTATATTTATATTTGTGCCATGTGATGCTATGGTTGTTATTTACAACCTTTAAATTCTAAGTAGAGATAATTCTTACTATTGAAACTGTTGGTTGTTTGTCATTTTTTGACACAAAGATTATACAATTTTCTTGTCATGGTTTAAACAGTGACGTTAGAACTAAAGCATTTCAAGCTGTTGATCAGTTTTTGCTGATAGCAAAGCAATATTATGAAAAGGTATACTATGAAATTCTTTTTGGTTATTATTCTGATGCATATCAGAGTTTCTTAATTCAGCATGTAATGCATGTCTTTCAGAAGAAATTAAGTACAAGTGCAGACTGCATTTATAATTTTTTCACCCAATCTGCCTTATCATTTTTTATCAACTCATGTCCATCTTTTACATTTCATCTCTGATAATGCTTTATTTTTTAATAATGTCCTTTATTAAATTTATAATTAACGAAAAAAAGTTATTACAAGGAAATCTCTTATGTAAAGAAAGGTCTATTATGTAGAGTAATATTGTCTTTGATGGCGATAATCTGATGCTAGTGTTTCTTATCTTTTTTGGGGTAAAGACAAATGCAAGAGATACTGCTGGGGGTGCAAGTGTCGGAATCTCATTGACTCCAGGAAATGCAAGTTTACTTGGGTAAGTCAGTCCTTACTTTGTATGGCTTGATCGTTCACATGATAATTAATGGAGAGTAAGAGAGAGACAGAGCTAGTGTCAATAAGGGCTTCTGATGCTAGATTATCTTAGGTTCGTATGTTTTGGATTAGCTTGTCTTCCATTCATGATGTCTTTCCAATCAACAATCTCTATAGTATTTTTCATAAAAAAGAGCTTAACTGATAACCAAAATAGCTTATCCAAACACATACATATTTTGTGTCCCTTTCCACTGTAGTGTCACCTAAATAAGAGCTAATTTTTGTTTCTACCTTCTTACTAGAAGAAGTTTTATTAATATGGTCTTTTATAAGCTATTTTTAAACTCTTAATTTCGTAGTGGCAACATATAAAATCTGATAAATGGGACAATCGCTGATGAGCTTGCATTTTACTTCTTGTTGATAGTTACACTATACACGTGCATGTGCACATCCATACATATATATACATATATCTGTGCAATGATCTCAAAGTATGAGATTGTCTACATTCTGGGAGGTGCATGAATAGATTGCAAATTTATAATATATAAATTAAGGCATCCTCCAGTTTATACATTTTCATCATGAAATTGGTTGTAAATTGTAATTAATTCTTGTTATCGTTCAGATGGGCTATGAGCTCCTTGACCTTGAAGGGTAAACCTTCTGATCATGCTCCAATTGGTTCTGGGAATTCTACTGTAATCACTCCAACGTCTTCTAATGGAAACTCAGGTATTCCTAATCCTATCTGTGAAATTATAAGGGAAAGGAGAAAATGATAATGAAAGTGTGACCTCACTGTCAATTTTCTGTAGTTCTACTAACAAAGAGAGAGCAATGCAACCTTTTATGATAATAACACCAATATTAGTCCCCCTTAAATTACAAGTGACATCAATTTGGTCCTCCAAAGAAATTTACTTTAATTCAATCTCTCAATATAGAAAGTAACATTAACTTGGTCCTCCAAAAAAAGTTGACTTCAATTTAGTCCTTCAATTTAACTGTTAAATAAAGTAAACATAGGGAGTAAAGATAGATACAAAAACTGCTGGGGGGAGGTACAATTGAAGATCTCACCCCTCATCTTCATATCTGTTTCCTTAAAGGCAAAAGCTATTAATTCTGCTTCTTTATTTGATCTGTTGAAGATGCCTTTAATTCATTCTGCTTTATTAGGATGGCTTCTTTTCATAAATATACTTGCACAATGATTTACACCTATGTTTATTTCATTTTTGGGGTAATTTAGAAATGGAGACACCATCATCAGTACCAGTCCGTGTAAGCTCTACAGCAGATTTTGCTGAAGACCCTGTCCCTACATCTCCTACTACATCAACTGATGGCTGGGGTGAACTTGAGAATGGGATCCATGAAGAGCATGAAGTGGGATGATTTGGAACCACTTGAAGAGACAAAGCCAACTCCAGCTCTTGCAAACATTCAAGCAGCTCAAAGGCGGCCAGTTTCTCAACCTATCTCACAGACAAAACAAGGTATTCTTTTTTTTGTCTATTAGTATTTTGTTTAGGTAAAGATTTCCATGACTGCTAGTTACTGTTACTAATTGTCCGATGCCTGATTAAAATTTATCATCTATGGTTACGCCGGACTAAAGCAGAACTTGAAAATCTGTTACATGTTTTATTCCTGTAAAGGATGATAGGATCCAGAGTTTAAGAACTGTTACATTTTTATGCCTGTAAATAATGGCAAGATCCAAAAAGTGATTGACATAAGTGTATGAAATCCTAATTTAAGTTTGCACTAAATTTTGGAGTGGCACTTCTGTCAAATTACTTAAAGCTGTATATAGGTAATTTATGAAATTAAATTGTTTGGTAAACTAACTGTGCAATTAACTGATTTATGTTAAATGAATAAAAAAGATATATAATATTATATTTATATAATACTAAAATTTGATATAACTTATTTTAACACATCTTATTAATAAAAATGATATTATTGATTCAAATAATAACTTTATTTTATTTTTAAAATTATTAATTTTATCATATTATACCAATAAAGATTACATGAATTCATTTAAATAATTTATTTCTTCATTTTAAAAGTATTATTTATCTACTTAATTTTTTTTATCTAACAAAATATGCTATTAATTATTAATGACAAAAAGATGAAAAAAATGGAAAAAAGAAAAAAGAAATGGAAGAACAAGAGATGTTGCTGTGTTAGCTTTGATCTGTACTCGAAAGTTTTGACAGTGTCCAAAATGCAAAAGGAATTATTAATTCATTTATTACAGTTTACCAATCTGGTTGCTTTTATATACAGGATGTGTATTGATTGCTTTTATTATTATTATTATTATTATTATTATTAATTATGATGATTATTATTAGCCTCAAATTTGCTGTCGAAAAGTACACCAAAATTGAGCAAGGATGAGGATGATGATTTGTGGGGATCTATAGCAGCTCCTGCCCCAAAAACATCAAGACCTTTAAATTTGAAATCAGCTAGAACGGATGATGATGATCCCTGGGCTGCCATTGCTGCTCCTGCACCCACTACTAAAGCCAAGCCCTTATCAGCTGGCAGAGGTAGGGGAGCTAAACCTGCTGCTCCAAAATTAGGGGCTCAAAGGATAAACCGGACATCATCATCAGGTATCTAATTCAAGTTGTCAAAGAACAAATGGAATGAGAAAAGAGTTAATCTGCAAGTTGCCCTTTTCTTCTGGTGGCTGTGATCATGTTAGAATACAAAAAACCGAATGTGAACATTTGTGATTATATTGACTTATTTGATTTGTAATACTATTCTTTTGTGTCTAGAATGTTACTTGAAGGGAAATCTTTTTGGCAGTATCTTGTGAATTGTTGTAAGGTAACAAGGTTATGCTTATTTTGGGGCATTTTAGCATTTTTGTGGATGAACTATTAACATTGAGACCTAATGTAATTAGTTTCATTTTATATATGAAAGTTTTTTGTTAATGGATCTAGTTGTTGTGATTCAAATTTTGTGCACTGTAAATGTAAATGTCATATCATTCTTTTTTTGTGTCTGCATCTGTTTGTTCCGATCCTTCCTTTTGCTCGGGCTGTCTGTAGCCTTGGCCCTTTTGTTTTGTTTGTCAAACTTTGATAAAACAAAACCTATGGGCATTCGTCCCACGGAGATTACTTTTTCATCACTTTTTTATTTTTTATCATACTGTCCATTTTATTATCACTTTTAAAATTTAATTTTTAGAAGTGTTTAATATTTAAAAATAAATAAATTCTAGAAGTCATTTATAAATTATTTTAACAAATTCAATTTTAAAAATCTTAATAATATAAGCAAGTTGAATAATAAAAATGGATACTAGCATTTCTCTCCTCTTACGGCAGGAAACAGATTAATATAGAAGAGTTCTGTTTGTTGAAACTCATAAAATTGATTATGTATATCATTACCTCTATCTTTTATTATTTTTTATCCTTTTCATATATATAATACCTAAAGATATGTTTTTTTATAATTCATCAAACATTTTTTGAAACAACATATTTAAATGTCTTCTGACAAGTAAGGAAAGGCATGAATCACTTTTGGCAATACTTGATCAGTTGGTCCTAAACGACGGCTGTAGTGTAAAACCCATAATCATTCTCGTGATTATTAAAAGCCACTGAAGGCTGAAGCATCCCAATGGTTCCAGCAATTGCTTTTCTTTTACTACACTGTTGTCTTTGCCCTTTCACTAATGGTAATCATATTTATTTATATACATGGCCACTGACTAGTTTTAACAACTGTTGACTTTCTTTTATTTCTGTACTAATTCTTTAGATAAAAATTACTAAGCAATCAAAAAGCAGTTTAAAAAAAGATGCAATTTCAGGAAAAAATTAGTGGGGCAAATAATGTACTTTTAGGACAACTTATTTTATAATATGTTTTTCAACCATTTCTTTTGGACTTCAATCACTTAGCAACAACAAATCTGATTATCCCACTAAGGGAGTTTGATTATATGAATGATATAATATCATTGAATTTAATAAAAATCAAATTATTAATAACATATTTAGTTTCATGTTAATATACAAGTAAATTCACATCTATTTTAATGTTATTAGTTATAATTTTTGGGTTGAATTTATATTTATAAAGTTTTTAATGCGTTTCTAAATATACATTAAATTAAATTTAGATTGGTGTTAAAATATAATAAATGAACATAAAATTAAACAAAAACTACTATTTTGTGTTTGTAACGTGTATTAGTTTGAATTTAACGTTGTATGAAATACACATTTAGAATATCTATAAGTATGTCTTTAGAATCACATTAAAATATTATTGAAATTATAACTAATAGTGTTAAAATAAACTTCAATTCACACATAAAATTAAACATGCCTTAAAAAATAAATTTAATAAAAAGTATTTATTTATTTTTTACTTGAAAAAAGTTGTAACATAGAGACTATAGTTGCGCTCTTAGAATCCCATGATGAGTGCCCAAGTTAGTTCTATAAGCTACACAGGGTCTTGTAAAAGAGTGGGTCAAGTTGTATAGTTAAAGCAAATAAAAATATTAATAAAATATGAAGATGAAGAGTGTAGGATTTACTTGGTAATTTTTGTGAAGTTATTTAAATAGTAAAAGGTAAATAATTACTGGTGCTTCATAATGAGATTCATTAATGAGTTAAGCAATTTTGATGAATATTATGATTAGAGATATTCAAAGTACAAAGCTCTTCTTGTTAAATTTTAATGTAATTGTATATTTTTATTCGAGTTCAAGAAAATTGATTAAGCTAAAATAATCTCAATCAACTTATCTACATGATGACAGTGATTTAATAATGACTTTTGTCGTTAATATAGTACAGCATAAAATTTAATTTTTCCCATAAATTCTAGGCATAAAGATACCTTTTTCATGGTTACATGGGCTTGCAAATAATTGTTAGATCATTATGCATAAAAAATTTTGCTAGCTTATCATTTACAATATATATATATATATATATATATATATATATATATATTATTGTAACTACTTAATTAACTTATAATGCTTTAAAAAAAAGTCAGCACTTTTGGTCCGCTTCTTCAATAACAATTCAAGAGACAACTAACTACAATTTTTATATATATGCTGCTAAGCAGGTCAAGCCCAAAATTGTAGGGAAGAAAATCAAACAGTGCAAAATTTGACCAAAAGAAAAAAACAAAAAGAAAATTCAATTAAAGCCCAATGATGTGGTGGGGATGTAGTATTGAACCACCACCAGCCATCACAAATATCGAGTATTTTTTAATAGATAGAAAAACAAAATAAGCGGAATTATTATATTAATAAGATATATTGAAATAGGTTATGGTTATGGCCAAAACTAGAGGATATAGAAGAGAAAAAAGAAAGGAAGTTGAAGCAGCATGCAAGGAATTACAGTAAAATAGGAAAATGGTGTCAATGGGAATTGGAGTACCCTCAATCTCTATCTGTTGTTTGTTCCAAGCAATACCAACAAAACATTTGTATCTCAAATTAAGATTGAAACCTTCACTTTCAAGTTCAATCACTAGCATGGCATTCACCAACAATTCCAAGAGAAAGGTTCCCATTCTGCTATTTGATATCATGGATACCCTTGTTCGTGACCCTTTTTACCAAGATGTCCCTGCCTTCTTCGGAATGTCTTTGAAGGAACTCATAGATTGTAAGCACCCCACATCATGGATTGAGTTCGAAAAGGGTTTGATTGATGAGGTAAAAAACTGTTATATTTCACTGCAAATTATGGACCCTTTTTCATGTTTTGTATGAAGTTCAAAACTTTTAAGTCACCAATTACATTAGTGTTTGGATTTTGAATTGAATTGCACATAGGGTATTTTGGGGGGTTTTCAAATCTTTGAACCATTACGTCATATATACTTATTTCACATAATTACGTAGCCTTATATGGTTAAAGGGTCATAACATCTATGTATTTTCACTCACTCTCTCTCTCTCTCTCTCTTTTTTTTTTTTCCTTTTGTTTTTGGTGTTGTATTGCCGTGGTCTTCATTTTGCACTTTCTAGTTTCTTAGAACTTCAATGGTTTGATAATTTTATACTTTCAACAACACTCTTCTTATCATTCTGTCTCATTTTGTTCCAGATGGAGCTAGCAAGAAAATTTTTTAAGGATGGAAGGGATTTTGATTTAGAAGGTTGGTCTAAGATTTTGTTGCTGGATGGAGCTGATAGCTAAGTATTAGTCATGTATGTTGTGGATTAGACAGATCTAACTTTATCATACTCTAGATCAATGATTTAATTTAATACATTAAACATGTCATTTTTTAAGAATTGCAACTTGCATATTTTGAGATTTTAGGTAAAATATCAAACTGATTCAGATGAGTTAGAAATTGGCTATGGTCCTTCCATATGGTCTAGAGTAATGAGAATACTCAACATGTTAGCTTTCATGTGACTCATGCTAAAATTATCTCCTTCTGGAAGTTGTACCAGTTATTGTTTCTCCTAGAATGAGATGGTGATTGAGCAGTTACTCATAGCAGCTTGACATGGGAAGCTAAAAGAATCTTTAAGTGAATTTTGTGTCAATCCAAGAGTTTGTTTCATTTATATGATATATTTCAAGTTATTTCTTGATCGCCTCCCTGAATCTTACAATTTGATACAATTTACAATTCAAAAATTTGCTTGAAGAGAAATTCACGATTTGAATAGTTTTGATAACCTTGGCATGAACGGTTCTAGTGCTAAGTGCCATGAACAAGAGTACAAGACCCCAATCCCGAATGTATATAGTTGTCCTTAACCTCCCTTGTCCTGTATCATGTTACTTTTTCTTTGCTAGTAGGTATCAGTCTATACATCAGGTGTCAAAATTGAAATTCAATAAGAGCAAGTGAGCTGAATGTGTCATTCTTGCGTGCAAAGCCCCTTCTATTTTGATAAAGCTACTAAGTTGCGTGTGTGTTTCTAATTTTCTGGCAGGCCTTAAAACTTGTATGAGAAGTGGATATTCATACATAGAAGGCATTGAACAATTGCTTCTTGCTTTAAAGAAAAACAATTATGAGATGCATGCTTTTACAAACTATCCTGTATGGTAAGACAATTGCTTTTCTACTGTGTTTTTTCCTCTTTTTCTTTTCATGGCATTCTACAGAATATTTTGTATTGTAGGTACCAGTTGATTGAAGGCAAGTTAAAACTATCAAAATATTTATCTTGGACATTTTGTTCGTGTAAACATGGTATAATACATAATCTGGCTTCCATTCATTGGGCTATTCTCTCTTTATGCCTCTTATTATGTTGATCATCACTTGTTATTTGCTATTATATAGATTCTAGTGGGACAAATCAAACTTATGATTCTGCCGGTTCCTAGTTACGCTTTATGTGAGGGTTAAAAGCACACATTCAAACTATCATGATTTACAATGTGTTTCAGGAAAGAGGAAGCCTGATACTGAATTCTACATGGAAGTTCTGAGGCATCTTCAAGTTGATCCAGAAAATTGTATTTTTGTAGATGACAGGTTTGTACACTTTCTATATGCTGTATTTTTAATTAAAATCAAACTGCAATATCACTTATCATTTATCAGTGATACATTCATAACAAGTCTGTATTCATGTGTATGTGCATGTGTGCAGTGGCATCTTGCCACCAAATATCAACATCGTTCTCTGCTTCTTTTCTCAAGAAACAGATATTTGTGATACCTACAGATTATTTCTATTTCCTCCTTGCCACTATCTAGCTTTTTCAATTTAATCTCTGTGAAAATGATTTTTTTTAATGATTCTTGAGAAGGGAGTGGTACTCTTCCAGAATGCCTGTTCTGTGACAAAATAAATGATTTGTGCAAATAAAGTATGAGGTGGATTGGAAGAGTTTAATTTATTTGATTTGACAAAATAAATGATTTATGTTTGCATGTTTTATATTGTTGTTATTGTCTCAGGCAAAAAAATGTGGAGGCAGCAATTGAAGTCGGTATCAGAGGTGTACATTTAAAGAATGTAAATTTGCTGCGTGAAGAACTGTCACTGATGGGGATTGACATTTCAACAGATGAAGATCAATAGCTTGTTTTATGTCTCTTTCCTAACTACACCAATATCTTTTTCCTGATGAAAAGGGATATACTAAACTCATGATTTTGTATTCCATTCATATCTTGCTATTGAACTTTGTTAAAGTGACTTCTGATTTTTTTTTATCTTTACAGTAATCTTCTTAGCTTATGAAGGTGCTTATAGGAGTGAAAAATAGACTCGGTATAAGGTTAGAGACATGGTGCATCACTTCAGAAAGGTGACATGAGTAAATGCTAAAAGCATATTCCGATACACGTTTCTAATCATACTTTTTTATGTGGAAAAATTCATGGAGGATATACAACGTGGCTGTTCAATTCTCCTATTTAGTTGTTTTCTCATGAATTTCATTCAATCATTAAAATTGTGTTACTAGTATTAGATCAATAATTGTCCTTGGTGGCATTTGTGCAGTGGTAAAATTCCTTAAGTTCAGTCTTTTTTTTTTAATATCCTATAAAACATACTTACGAACATGATTAATCACAAAGCAACTTCAAGGTATGTTAAACGAGGAAATTAAGCTTAATCTTTAAAACAAACAAATGACTACATGCAGGAACAATTAGTTAGCATTCATTAATGTTCTTTCTGTGTCTTACACACCACAGACTATTTATGTTCAAGGTTTCCCTCTAGGATTCGGAAATTTTCATTTTTCTTAAAATCATGACACTATCACTATGCGTTGGATTCATCATACCTTATGGAGAGGGGTATAATAGTGTCTTTCCGTCTTTCAATATAACGTGGTGGGGGTAAAAGCCTATTTGTATACTTGTAGTTTCTTTAGAATATTTATAAGAATTCTTCTAGTGCATTTTTAACCGTAAAATCAAACATGCACTTTGTAAACTTCTACTAGAAAGTGGTTTTTCTCTTGTCTCAAAAAGTGTGTATACTTAGTTTTGAAAGGTATATAAAGAGGCACTAAGTCGGGTGGATCCTTGAATAAGCAATACTGAGCTCATACTTCATATAAGTATAGACAAGAAGTTTTTATATACAAAATTTGTGTCTTTATTCAATTATTCTTGAATAAGGGTGAATTTTGGTGCAAACTTACCGAATTAAAAGGTGAAAACTTCTTTAATTGCGTCATCATTAAAAACTTACTTTTATCTTTACAATTTTTTTAAAAATTTTCATAAAATTTAATTGCACTTTTTATTTCTATGCCTGAATGTATATAAAACTTTTGTTTCTCTAATTTTAATTACTTACATTTAATTCTATTTTTTTAAATGTTCAAATTAAGTTATTGACTCTAAAACAAAAGCTTTATTATATTTTATAAATTTTCTTTTCTTTTTTATATAAATCATTAAAATGACATACTTTCATTATATTTTTATTAGTCATTCGATAAAATTTTGGAGGTGAAGAAGGTAATTTGAACATTTAAAAAATTAAAAAAACTAAATATGAGTAATTAAAATTAAAAAGATAAAAAATATAGATATATTGAAGTATAGGAGAAAAAGTGCAATTAAGCCTAATTTTTAAGTTTTCAACTTTTTAAAATTTTAAATTAATTACATTTTTTTAATATTTTAAAATTTCTTCATTCTCTCTGGAAATCTTTGTAATTTATACTCTAAAATTAATTGTTTTGATTTATTTTTTATATTAAATTAAATTTTTAGAATGGTTCAATATTTTAAAATACCCATTCTTAGGAAACACATTCCATTCTTAATTATTTTTAGAAAGTAAATTTTAAATTCTTTAAAATTGATGGACATATCTTTTTATATAATATTAAATATTTTTCTGTTTTAATATATACTTAAAAATAAACATAAGTATACATATTTTTTAATCTAAATTTCCATTTTAAAAATTTTTACTTAAATTTAAGAATATCTATGCACCAAATACTGGATGATGATGATTAATTTGCTATTTCATTTGAGTATCTTAGCTTCGACAAAAGTAGAATGATAGTTCTTAGCGAAATTTTTGTGTGAAAGGAGTAACATACTCTATTTAAAATAAATGTGATAATGCCTTGACCATATTTTGAGAAGAAATAAATAAATAGTATAACACTTCTTCAACGAGACAAAGATCGAATAGGGTAGCAGTCGAAGAGAAGAGTAAGATATTTGGAGGAAAGTGTGGTGGTTGGTGTTTGGAAGCAAAGCATGTCGTGGTGTTACAGCGTTAAGTCGTTGCCGTTGCAGTTGCAGTTGCAGCCAAGAACAGCATCATCGTTCCATTCCCACGTTGTTGGAGTAACAACCTTAACACTGTCTCTGCCACCTCTTTCTCTGACCCACAAACTTCACTCTCACTCCCACCTCCATCCCAAATCCAAACGCTCTTCCACAACCATTCGTTGCTCCTCTGGTACTTCTACCCCTCTTTCCTTTCATGGGTTTCCATTTAAACACATTAAAGTTTCAATCTTTGCGGTTTCCACATGAATTGCAAACTTCAGCTTTTCATAATTTACGCCAACCCCTTTTAGTGAATAGCTTCAAATCTTCAAGTCAATTGAATTTTCACTAGTCATAACTACATTGGTAAAAGGAAAGAATGTTTGGTAGATACCCCTAGAGAGAGATATTGGAATAGGAGAGAGAGAAGTCAGAGATATGACGGCTAGACAGTGTGATGTAGCAAGAAGAGAAAGATGAGGGTCTCAAATAGGTGTTGGTATTGAGCAAGTTTGAATTCAAACGGTGTTTGTTGGAGCAAGATTGAATTCACGTTTGAATGGACATGGACATACCTTCATGGGTTTTTCAACGTGTTTCCAAATACACTAAAGTGTCGTGATTATATGTACCCTTTGTAATAATGATGATATAATATTGTGTGTATCCTATATCTTTTTGTTTTTTCAAATTTCAGTGGCAAAAATTGTTACTTTTGGTTTTGGTTTGTTTCAGCGTTGACTCCTCAATTGAAGTCTACCTTGGATAAAGTTATTGCTTCCAATAAAGTAGTTCTGTTTATGAAGGGAACTAAAGACTTTCCGCAGTGTGGATTCTCAAACACGGTGGTGCAAATATTGAAGTCTCTTAATGTGCCTTTTGAAACGATAAATGTGCTCGAAAATGACATGTTGCGCCAAGGACTGAAGGAGTACTCCAGTTGGCCTACATTTCCTCAACTTTACATAGAAGGAGAGTTTTTTGGTGGCTGTGATATCACTGTTGGTATGTCACTCACTCAGCTTTCTGGTTTTAGTGCATTATTTTGCCTCAATCATTGTTTTCTACAATAATGATCTCATATCAATGTTGCCCTGGTCTTATTGGCATCTTATTTTTCTAATGCTTAATAATTTGGTTTGCTTCACTGGTGGAATAATGACTTAAACATGACCAACAGGGACATATCAGGGATAAATCTAATAACTGATTTCGTCACATTATTACTATCACTTGATTTCTAGAAAATACTTGCCTTCCTCTCACTTTTTTGTGTGGCTACAGAGGCATATCAGAACGGACAATTGCAGGAGCTGTTGGAGAAGGCAATGTGCTCCTGAAACCCTGTTGTTCACGAGCAAATTGAAAGTACTAGTAGACTTTCCAAGTTTGTAATCTTTGCAAGGTCATACTGTGGCTTGGTGATCATGGATAAAATAAATTGTCTGATATATTTGCCTATTACAATTACTGAAATACAAACATCCTGGTATTTGAGTATAAAAAAGATAAGTCATTTAACGAAATCTTGTTAAATAGACTATTGTGGTACTAATTTTGCTACTTTAAACTTTGTTCAATTAATTTTGTTCTAGCTTTTGTGAAACTGTCACGTTGCTGCTACCTTTTCATCTGTTTGATAAGGGATTGGCTTATTCATGAGCAAGATTGTGCCTGTGCTGTTAGATATTTGATGTATAAAATCCAATGCAATACAAATAAATTTGTGAAGCTTAATGTACTGCATGAAGGGAAGTTTGTGGGGCATAATTCTAGACATGTCATTAATAAAAAAGAGCATACCTTGTAATTATGACTATGGAGTTAGCACTCATAATAGCATAACGATAGTTTGAAAAGATTATCTATGAGAAAAACATTACCTGTAATAATACACTATTCAAGTAATGGCATGTTGATTCATTATCCTTGCAGTTGATTTTGTTTCTTGTCGATACAGATGGTTATCAAGTTGGTTTATGAAGCAAAAGAAAAAATTGCCTTTCATTTTTTATTTTGTTTAAATTTCACATGTTCAATTTCTTCAAATATGAGTCTGTTTATCTTGGTTTTAAAGTTTATACAAGAGAGTTAATGGCCTCATAATCAAGTGTCTGTTCAAGGTGGGGGATTTTATTTCCTTACTCCCTTTTTCCCCATTATTCAACTATTTTTTATTGACACATTTATCTTATTTTTTATACAGACAACACTTACTTTTTTATTTTGTAGCCATGAAACTTTTTTGGTTTAGAAAAATTAATGTAACAATAGTTTTTTATAGTTATTTATCATTCTTGATGCCATCTCAAGATGTGAAAGTTGTCAATTTTTTAGGTAGTTATGGGTCATGCTCACACTGATTGGCTGATAAATCTCTCTCTCTCTCTTTCTCTCTCTCTCTGCTTCTTCACGTATTTACTGACTTGAGCTAAATCGACCATTTGTAACGAGCTAACTCAGTACACTAATTTCTTATTCTTTTAAAACATTAGAATAATTAAATATCTTTTAATTACTTACTAATTATTGCTAGTTCAATTCTATTAATTTAATAACTTTCTGATTTTATTTTTAATTATTGTTAGAAAAATCAGCTTGTCAATTCAATTTTATTTTGTTTTTTAAATCCATAGTAAACCAGTCATCTTCCATAAATAATTTCATCCATTATTTACAAGGTAACAGTACAAAACTCAAGTCTTCATCCCAATAATAGCCACGAAGGAATTGACATCTGAATTTAGAAGTCAATGCTGACAACTTCAGGAATATTTGGAAAAAAAACACCCCCACCTAAGCCTCCATCACATCGAAATAAATAACGTTATTATCACTCAAATGTAATTTTGAATCTTTGATGGCCCCTACACAGCTGTGTGTATCCGTTCCAACCCTACAAAGGGAACATTCTCTTTGGATGCCATTATCTCTACTAAAAATTTAGAAGTTACTCTGCATATCATAACATACAAAATTCTCAAAATAAAGAATAAAAAGTGACAATTATGATACATTGTTAAGGCCTCTTCATTCACATTAATAATGCCCGCAAGAACAAGTTCATTGAATCATTGCCACCACCCTGTGCACAAAACAAAACACTAGCTATACAAGGTTTCATGAAAAAAAGGGAAAATCAATTACACAAGAACATGAAAAGAATAACAGATGATACCAAAATCACTTTCTCACACGTGGGGGTCATCATACTTTGTCCACACTAGGAAGCTTCGAATATCTGGCCGCGTGCTAAGGTTTCTCCGCGCAGGATATTCTTGCTTTCATTTTGCAAAGATTGTGCAATCAATAGGTCCCTTTGGTCAGTTTTCAATCAAGAATCAACTTTCATTGTAGAACATCCATGCTTGCAAAAATCATGGATCAATCTGAACAACGCACACAGATAAAAACTCCTGTTCGCAAAGATACCTCTGCTAAGTTTCCTTGTTTTTCACTGAAGAATGCCTAGATGAGGAAGAATGGAGCATAGACTGTGCAGTTAATAATTTTTCCCTTAGCATGGCATTATACTCGTACAAATTTTTGAGATTCCTCTGAATGTCGGAAATGTCCATTTCAGAACTACCCTTGAATTCTGCATTGCATTTGCATACAAGTTTAATGTATGAGAGGTAAGAAAAGGCACCAACAATTTTCAAAACTTAGAAAATAAAAAATTAGTAAGCTGGTATGACCTCAAAATAATTTGTACCTAGTAAAGGTGGAGGAGGAATGAAGTTATCATCAATAACAGAAGATTCTTGAGGTTGAGACTGAGGGGAATCTTTGCATGAACCAACATTCTGCTGCTTCGTCATATTTTCAGAATGCAGTTTGATATCATTTGTGGATCCTAGTGGCTTGCAGCTCAATGACTGGAAGACAAGACATTGAAAGATGAAAATTAAAAATAATGATTATGTAATTTATGTTCACCCATTTTGTTAATGGAAAAACAAGCTACAAGCCAACCAAGTTAACTACATAGCTTAAACTACATACAGAGGACATGCGACATGAGAGTTTGTCATGAGATGAGAGAAACATATTTTGACAGTTGGATACTGGTGAAAACAGTATTACAGTCTGAAACTAGACCATCATTTATGTGACTTATTTTAACTAGTCATGTGACTCATGTAGCTTTTCAAAAGGCTAATATTGATTATTAAAATCCAATGGGAAATATTTGCTCTCCTTGTCTCTCATAGTAAGCACTCCTAACATATGATACGTTCCCTACATAACATAAATATATTACATATGACACAACCAGTATTGCACTTTAGCCACTAAAGTCCTCAGGAGTAAGTGCAAATAGAGAGACAGAAGAGGATCATAATCTCTTAGTGTAACATGTCGAAAGAACAAAAAGAAGGTAGTACCACTAATATTTACAAGATATCAAGAAAATGGGCTACCTTCAAGCCCCCAAAGACCTAGCTGGTTCCCATAATTTATTGTGGACATATTGCCAGCAGTTATTTATGGCAACTAATTACTTTGGCAGCCAACTCAGAGGTCAATCAAGATGTAATATTTTTGGCATGTAAAATCATTTGATTAGCCAACATATGTTCTAAAAGGAAGGTAGGAAGATTATATTGATTTACCAAATGGAAAGCCAAAAAGGTGCAGCAGAGTCATCATCGTCATACAAAGAATTTAGTAACAAGCATTAGATTACTTTAAATTGACAGAAATAATCATGGTCACCTAAACCCTAAACTCTTAAGAATAGTACTACTACTAATAATAAATGCACTACTTTCAGCTTGAAGTGAGGAAACAGGAAAAATACAATGCAGATAACTTGATCACATCTACAATTTGAACTTTCGCACACTCGTCAATGACATCAGACTTCCCAAATGCAGGTATCATCAATAATGTGCAATATCAAACCAGAAAAAAGAATCCAACTTGGTAATCAAACTGCACTCTAGAAGAATGTGCAATGCAACAGCTTTACCTTGTTGGCAGGTAAGCTGGGTTTCTTGTACAAATTTATGGAATCTGTTCTGCTTTTCTGCCTTAGTCTAGGTGATGAACCACTACCACGAATTGAATGCAACATAAGCCCTCCACAATCTGGTTTCGTTGTAGTGCTATTAAAACTGTCATCTATGCTAGGGCAGTCATAGGTGTACTTTACATATTTCCTCAACTGATTGTAAGAGAAAATATCAGCAATATAACCTAACAATTAAGGATAAAATTGAGCAAAAGGAAATTAATGTGAAATATACAAGATGTTTAAACAAGTGAACAAATAAATTACCTTGTCCCAATGCTCTTGAGCTTTACGCCGATTTCTAATTCTCCGCAAAATGCTATCTTCATTTCTGAGCTTCTTTATCCTATATTCACACTAGAATTCAATAGAAGGTTAGGACAATATGGAATATAATCATGAAAAGGCTATGAATTAATCAGACTATGAGCAATTAAAATCCATAATGATCAAATATCTATGATGCATTGTTAGACAAATACAGAACGTGCTGAGTCTCACGAGAAAATAATAATGTGAATCATACATTGCAAACTACAAGAAAGGGAATTCAGTAGAAGACAAAAGAATAACTCTGGTCTCTAATTAGGATATACACGCATCTCTTATCCTAGCAAATAGGCAGGCACACTCTTAGGTTATCAAATCGCAATTCAAATCATGAATTGCCGAACTAATTTTAGAATAAATCATACTCGTATCAAATCATAAGATTCAAAGACACGTATCAGTGATATAATCAAATAAGATGCATATAAAGTGAGTTGACTGTGCAAAGCCTTTTTTTAAAAGGCAACTAAACTATTGAATTATGGGGTTTTGGCTGTAGAGGGTGCGCTTAGTGGTGCTCCTCCAATTCCTTTTCATTCAATAATCTAAGCTTATTTTCCATTTCTTTTATAAGAATTGGTGAAAGAAAAGAAGACCGAAAGAGAAAAAAATCATGTGACTCATGGGTGATATGGAATCACATCAATTCAAAGCTGTTTGCAATTCAACCAGTGATATAAATTACTGTCTTGCTGAAACACATTGGATTCTGCAATTCTAACAACCATAAACACCAATGAATTAGAAATCATAAGCAGTGATACATGTCAACAACTGCTGCTGATAAAGCATAAGTTGCACCAACGGGTAGTTTCTAAGGCTGACGTTGTGCAGTTGAATATAATCCCATGTCACATCCTACCTCTACAACATAAAAGGATCAAGTCCTATAGGAGAATCTCATCTTAACCTAAACCACTGTACAGCATAAAGTTTGAAGTATGAAGAAATCATAACTGAATAACATCAAGAAAGGAATAAGTAATATACCTGTATCAACAGGTAGAAAAAAATGCCGATGCTAATGCAATACAAGCCGCCAAGATCTGCAAGGAAGCTCACTGCACATGAAAACAGAAAAAGATGAAATTATCAATAGCGTGAAGCAACAATGGATATTAATGCAGAAAGGTTATTGAGGAAACGATATTGTTGGTTTAAGATCCCACATCAGCTGGGTATATAATCAAAGCACATCTTATAATGACTTGGACCAAATTAGGCTCCAATCCATTATCAATTCTAGTAGATAGCAATATGCTTAATTCATGACAGTTTTTTTAACAGCAATGCAGTATCTTTCAAATGAAAACTAATGATTCCACGGATTAACTTAACTACTGCCAAATGATTTAGTCTGTTTAATCTACTAATTTTGATTAGGCCTAAATCAGTACAAAATATAGAGCTTATTAGTTTGACAAGTAAGCAGTTTAACAATTCAGATTGTAGATATAAGTTATTTCCATTTTAGAAAATGAGATATAGAATGAAGGAATTAGAGACTCAATATTGAATGGTTGAACTTGATGGTGAAGAAGCTGATAGTATCTAGTACAAGAATGAACAAAGTAAAGACTACAGATGAGAAAAATTCAATGAGAACTGCAGTGAGAAAAAGAAAGGAAGTCAAGAACTACTAACTAAATTAGTAATACCACTTACAAGAATAATTGCGACAGAATGCTTGCACATACAAGAAGTACAAGAGATACTTACCAGGACCCAGAATACTCTCTTTATCGATTTCCACAATATAATCAGAGAGAAAATTGATATACAATGTGGTGTTGACCAGTCCATCAGCAGAATTTTCAAGTGATGCTCGAAGCTGATTTGTATCACGAGAAACTGATCCAGGGAGGAACTCATGAAATAAAGGCTGTATGAGCTTTAGATCATGCAAATTATGGTATATTCGAGGGAACAAATTGAATTTCAAAACATTTGATCGCTTCCCTCTGAATGTAACTGGCCTATCATCAAACTCAAAAGCACTTCCATTCTTTAGCGTTCCACTGACAAAACTCTTGTGTTTCCTAGCAATATCCATTGCAGTAAGGTTGAACTCAAAACCAACAGCAGTAGCAGGATTATTGGGGAGATCAACAAACTGCCATGAAATGTACATCTGATCATGGATGAGCTTGCAGTTTATACATTTGAGTGCTATGGTTGGCCCCTTGCTTGAGTTGTGACAAGAGTAATTTCCTAAAGCCGACAGAGGAACAACTCTTTCATCAATAAAGCCAGGATTCCCAGCGACTAAATTACCTAGATTACGTAGATTTGCACAGCTCAAACTAGATACAGTTGTTATATTGAACTCCATGTCATTGACAAAAGAGGCCAATTCTGGTCCATTCGTTGCTCTTACATTATGAACCTCAATTGATCTCTTTGATATGATCTGGTACAACAACCTGATGGAAGGTTGAATAAAATGATGATTCATGACAAAGAGAAATAGAGGGATAATTAGGCATAAATAACAGCTTTTCACTAAGATATCCAGACAACATGGTGAAATAAGGCATTAGAGACTCACGCAGCAAATAAACCAATAAACAGTATCCAACTTGCCATGGAGAAAGCTCCACCAAGTTCTGTTTTGCGTTTGGTAACTACTTTCTGATCTTCCTGCACAAAGATAGAAAAGCATTTTCATACACACAGCTAACCACAACATGTCTATTGTTTCATTTGCCTTTGATGAGTATAATAAAATGACTTGAAAATGATAATAGCTTATAGCACTAAACAACAGATGACTACAAGAGCATGCATATATGGTAATGCTGATTCAGGAACAGCCACAAGAACCAAAGGTGAATCTAACCAAATTCCAACCATAGCAAACTGTTACCATAACATGCAATCATGCATAATTAAGGACGAATTCAGGCAAGGCAAAGCCCTCAACTTTCTTTATCCATTATTCCCATCGTGACACCGATCAAAATTATTAATTACCAAACAAAACAACCATAACATAAAAATCCTACCTTATATATATATATATATATATATATATATATATATACACACCAAAAAATGTTTTTTTTTTTTTTATTGTGGATGAGGTTGAATTGTGATTTGCGAAGCTGAACCGCCATCATGATTCATGAAATCAAAGAACAAAACAAAACTAACCAGCCAGTGTCTGGTGGCAAAGCAAATATCCAATCTACTGATCCACCACCTAATGTTGAACCAAACATTGCGGCCATCACCAAGGTTCATGAACCTGAGGAAGAAGCAAAAGAGAAGCCAAGAGAGAAGCATAAAAAGGGTAGCTTCCAAGAACACAGCCTGTGACTGCGTGAACTTCTTGATGGTGTCAAAGGCGAAGAGTGTCTCAGGGAAGCTCAAAGCATAGTAGTCAACGCCTGAGTCGGTGGTGATGGTGGAGTTGCCATCAAAGAGGGTGCATTTGTTTGTCACGTGGTCGAGCACGTGACCGGGTGAACACGCGCACATAGTGCCGTTGTAGGTGATGGAATTCAAAGGACACGCCATTAGAGTTTCAAAATTTGAGATCTGTTTTATTTACCCTTTGCTGAGATGAGCTATTTGAGAGTGACCCTTTTGGAAAAAAAGGCAAAAAGAGTTTAACTTTAAACTGAGTTTGGCCTTTGGAAGACAAGACATGAAAAGGAGTGGATCATGTTTTGGTGGCTTGGTTGAAACGCTTAAATCACAACGTGGACAAGCCAGAACAGAACAGAACAGAACAGAACAGAACCAACCCGTAGAATGTCTTTTGGTGTGTGTTTGTTTCTTCGCGATTAAGCAGTGGAGATGGTATATGTGTGCTGAGAGAAAAGAACACAAGAGAGAAGAAAAGAATTGAATAGTTGAGTGGTTTGCTTTTTGGCTGGGTTTTGTAATCTGTTTTTGTTTTTGTTTTCGTTATGAGTGTGTGTTTCGTATTCGTTTGTGCTCTCTTTTTCTTTTACAACGGAGACACACACTAGTTGTTTACTTGTTCTCGAACACACGTCTTCTTTCGACTAAATTTTGGAATATCATATTACACGGTTTTTCAACTTGTGTTTAAGTATTTATACTAAAAATTAATACATAACATTTTTATTAAAAATTATAATATTTAATATTATTAATATTTTTTAATTTTTTAATAAAATTTATTATATATAAATTTTTACTATGTATTCTAATTTTTTTTGTTATATTCTCTAAATAATTTTTACTATTTTATAAAAAAAATTAAATTAAATAATATATATTACTTATTTTTAAATATGAAAAAAATTAATAATTAAAAATGTAGAAATATAGAATTATTTAAAATAAAAAAACCGCATACTATTACATTTTACATATTTTTTGGGTGGATATATTCTACCCATTTATTAGCGGCCGTGTGCTACGGTTGAAATAAAATCTAATAATGTATAATACGACAAGAATTGCAGTCAGATTAGAATAAATATTAAATAAAATATAAATTAAAAGAAATAAGGATAAAGATATCATATATAAAAATTTAATTTAAATATTTCTTTTCATATTGATTTTTTGTTTATCGCTGCCAGATAAAATGAATTTAAAATATGTACTTATAAGTTTTGAATTATCGAGTTCTAATTTATTAACTCGCTCATTCGGATGTTAATGACTTAATGTATTATTCACAATTCACATCAATAATGTGCCTAATTTTTCAATTTCATCCCCTTGAGTGTTATTAAATGGAACTGTGACCTTGCCTATTTTAAATAATTGTAAATTTTCTTCCCTTTTATATTTATAAGTTTTTAATTATTAAATAGGAAAAGTATTAAATATTTTTTTATATTTGAAAATAATAAATATGTGGACCTTTTATTCAATATATACTTTATTAAATAATAAATAAATTATTAAAAAAATTATAATCCTTTTTGTTGCCGCGTCTGCGCATTGCTTTCCAAGCTAAACGGAATAAATCCCTCCAACCTCAGATCTAACCAATTGAGACACGCTTTTCTTAACGTCTTCTCTTCATTCCACTCGATTCTTTCTTCTTCTTTTTTCTTTCTTTGGTCATGCATCAAAAGGCCCACAAAGCGTGACTTGCATGAGGCATATACATCAAAAGGCCCACAAAACTCTAGAAAATGATTTTTTATACTATTTTGAACTATTCTATTTTGGGATAATAAATGAGTCAAATACAACGAAGATAGGGAAAAAAAAAAGAACCATAAAAAATGAGTTTTAAAAATTAAGATTATTCAAAAACCTATTCAAATAATTCTAAGCTTTTAAATTGATTAAAAACAAAAAAATAAAATAAAATAATATATATATATATATTGTTTATGAAATTTTGATCAATTTTCAAATCTAATATACTAAATTTATATTAATCTTCGTACTGTATCATTACACAAACACTAACTGATAATTTTTTAATGTATTGGATTTAGAAAAAATTGAGATTATTTTGATTTATTATTCATAATTTAGACTAATTTTAATTTTTTTTATGAATATTTTTGTTTTTATGTATTTTTTATATTTATACTCTACTTAATAAAATTTCAGTTGTTTACTGACAAAAAAATGCTCATTTAAAAATAATCGGTGAGTATAAATTATCAGCGCAGATGAAATCTTGGCTGATCAATCATCAACATAATAATAAAAAAAATGTAAACCAAACATGCCACATAGGTAAAACATTGTTGTTTAAACAAATAATAAATGAACACGAATATTAGTAGAAAAAAATTGTATTTAGAGTTCTCTCCTACTTCGGGCTAGATCACTCGTAATATCATCATCTTGTTCACACTGATCCAAGAATTTTTTATAAGCAGGGTTGTAAGCAACAACAAGACGTAGGTACTTTGCAGCTTCGGCCTTTTGACCCGCGTCAAACAGAGTGCTGTATACCCAATGAATCAAATTCAATCCAATGAACAAAATGGAAATACCAGTGTTACAAAGGTAAAGTTTCAACACTAAATTAAGGTAATTAATCTAATTCGTACCTAGCCAGCAACAGCAACGTATCAAAATAATAGCCTTTGCTAGTAGAATCATCGGGCTCCTTCATATTTGCAACCCTTTCAAAGTGTGCCCGTCCTTCAGGCCTCTTTCCCTGCCATACAGAAAATTGAAGAAAAAAGAAAACCAAGACCAATCCTATTACATAACTAGAAGCTTCTAAATTGCCATGCATGACGCTGCTGATAGGAAGGTAATAACAGGCTGGCAATTCAACACCAACTGCTACTGAAACACAAGCCAACTTCCAAAAAATGTTCTTAAGGAGGAATAAAGGTGCAATTTTCATTCAGGTAACAAGATAACTGAGTATCAGGTTTCGGCATGCATATCCAAGCCTTTTTGGTCTCTTGTATCCAAAAATCTGTTCAGAAAAAAGTTTGCTCATAGAACAAATTGAAGTATGTGTTTCACCTGTCGTTCACAGGCAACTCCAGCCCATTGTGATGAAAGAATCAAAAGATCAACATCTTCCGCATCAGTTGGGAGGCCAGCAAGAGAAAGCTAAGGAAAAACCAGAAAATAATTAGGAATTGATGGCACAAACCAGAAATGAAGAAGATAAATGCAAAAGATACATCAGGTTCACAGATGAACAAATATTGAAATTCTAGATAAAACTAGCATAATGAATTAAAAAAAAAATGGAGGAAATATGAATTCATACCTTTGATATTGCACGCTCAAAGTACACATTAGCTTCATTATCTGCATGCTTCAGCAATAGAACCCGTCCCATCAAAACTAAAGCTCGTGCGTATTCAGGGTCCTTATCAAGGGCTAGTCTGTACATGGAAATCATGAATGCAAAGCACCATCAACCAGAGATAAATCTTAAAAATATAAAGTAACAAAGGGTTTTCTTTCCAAATTTTCACCCCTCACTTGGAAGAAACAAGAAAGGATAACTTACTTTAGTAAGGGAATTGCACTTTCCTTATCATTGCTGGATAGAAATGGGATTGAAAGCTGTAAACAAATCAAACCATTGATTAACAACAAATTCTTGCAGCCGATCTGATTTTAATGATATATCACACATGATATATGCTGATTATGCTCATGTTTCTATTTACTCACAGCAGTCAGTTCTTTAGGGGACATGTTCTCTATAGGTATCCTATGCATGTTTTCAAGTGAATCCAGAGGACTTTTTTCAGGAGAAACAGTTTCCTTGGTATCTGCCATTGGACTTTTGTCTGGTAACCCCAATGAAGGAGTTGTTTTAGAAGCACCAATATCCTCAGAAGCTGCTTTTCGGCCATTCTTGTCTTGTAACCCCAACCTTGCGAGGACAGCAGGATGTCTAAGAGCTATGTGCTGCAAAATTTATTGTTTGATGGGTCAACATTACGAGCTATTCTACAAAAGTAGTTCAAACTAGAATAAACTAAAGAAGCACAGGATTTTCTTGCTTACCTGAATGAGGGATAATGAACTATTGGTAACCCAATAGAGTTGGCTCCCCTGTAAGAGTGGTTTAGAGTAAAATATTACTACAACCTTCAGGCTATGGCAAGAAGAGATAAAATAAGTTTACCATATTGTATTGTGGTATATCAATTTGTATTAGGATAAAAATTAACAAAATCAAAGTTAAAAATATTATAAAAATACATTTTTAGAAGCATTTATAGTGTCAAGCAGTGTCTTGATATATATATATATGTATGTATGTATCTGACACAGTTACCATTTACAAGTATCTATGCTTCTTAGGTGAAGTGACAGTTAAGTACTCCGATGTAAAAAATTATGAGTAAAAGTTATAACTGAAAGTCCCCACTTCCCCCTCCCCCGCCCCCCGGTCTTTTTCTTTTTTTTTTTGACAAGGGAAACCTATCTGCAATTCAGCACTATCTACTACTATATTTAAGATGGTTCAAGTTGCCTTAGTACTCCGATTAACTAGCAGAAATCAAAAACAAATTCTAGATTCCTTTAAACTTCTGAAACCGTGCATCTCCACTGCCTCCAGATATCTTGCATGTCAAGATGTCGTGTCATTTAGAAAGAAGATAGCTCCAAAGTGCAGTTTTATTTATTAAAATATGCAGCCACTTCGTCCTTTTTACTTTTATTTGAACAATAGTCTTTGAACTCAAAAATCTCTTTTACATGGTCCAGAAGCATAAAAATGTCATCATCAACTGAAAGGAGAGTTTGAAGAGAAAGTGCACTTTGACCCAAATCTCAACTGATACAAAAATGCCAAAGTATAGTAGAGAAGAAATATGTTATCGAAAAATTAACATCCTTACAATTCAGAACATTTAAGGATTGAAGTTACCTGAGGAATGCAAAAGCCCATGAAAGCTATAGGCAGTGTTAGAAAGTCCAAGTATCGCTTATAATACTGCAGTAACAAAGGCATCTCTCACTTAATGGTGGAATTACTTCATTCTAATTCAATGAATAGGGTAAATTTCCTTATAACACAACATATAAACAACATTATTAACCACTGTTAGTTAAATAAAATGAGCAACTTTATATCACAGAAAACACAAAACTAAAAAATCAAGTATCAACTCCATGTTTTCCCAAGAAGATGCAATATAATAGTAATACATTAGAATTACAAAAGAAGCTAAACTCACTTTGGCCAATAAGTCAAAAATGTCCCTTGTTTCTTCAATCAAAGGTTTCTTAAAGGATACCTGATAAACCAATAAACATAAATTAGTACACAACTACACAGTATATGACCGACTCATCCATTCTATGACAAAGAAGAGAATTAACTTAAGGTGCAATAGCATACACCAAACAAATCCCAAACAGAAAGCAATCGACCCTATTATACATCAAGCTACAATGGGACTAGTATTTTATAGCATTTGGAACATTAGTTATTATACTGTATTTTGTATTATCTTTTTGCTAACAAAGCAACTGGTAAGCCAAGCAATGTAGCTTGTTTAATGAATGAGATAAAAACAAATACCAAGTTTTATTCATTATTACTGGCAGATTAGCAGAGCCAGTAAGCAGACAATTCACATTGGATTGTCTGACTTGATTAATCACTTGATCATTAACCAGTTGCTTTTTGATCCATCAACTTTGCCAGCTACTTTGGCTTAGTAATTCTACCTTTACTATATCAGCCAGCCAAAATATCTTGTTGAGCACTTGGCTCAACTACATCCCAACCCTTATCAAGACGGTTGCTGCCATAGCAGAATGATAAATTTTGATTCTTTTTTTTTTAATAATACAAATCTGCTTCATGTTAAATGAATGAATTCAATGCACACAGACATGGTTATGGAAGTAAGACAACTAGATAAGTAGAAATATAATTTTAAAGTTATATCCTCATAGATTCACTCCATTACCTGAACAATGATGTAGTGCAAACTAGCAATCAGAAAAGGAAAGATGAACCCTGAATAGCCATGAGAGAGTTCTGTTAAATTCTGGAACCATAAAGCACCACCCTGCAGCATATTTAACATGTTTAAATATTCAGTGACAATGAGTGTCTGTGTGCATGTGATGCATGTACCTGTCAACACTCAACACTTTATTATAGCTTCTCTACAGCAATAAATTTTCAAAATGTTGAAATCCTTAACTTAGATGACATCACTACCGCTTACTGTCATCATTGTAATCCTTCTCATCCAATTGAGTCAGATCTTCATGTTAGATATATGCTCATGATGAGGTTTTATTCGTTCATGGAACTACAACCATGTAAATTATGCTCACAAAATGAAGATACATAAAGCACAAACACATTGACAAAACAGCTTGATAGTTAGTGCATTACGCAATCAAAACCGGGGTGACCATCCAATGACATCTTCCTTATGCTAATCATCCACAAGAAAAAGCATGGAACCTGAAGACAGATCAAAAGACCAAAAGTCAAGATTATGATAAAATTTTTGTGAAGCAGCTCTATGATCATGTTACTTTTTTATTCCATATTTGGTTTCTCCTAATTCCTGATGATAAAAAACCAAATTACTTTATCCTGGATCCCCCTCCCCCCTCCCTGATTCTCCCTGTTCTCCAAAAAAAAAGCTTAATTGTGTGAAATGAAAGGAAAATATTTAGAGGTTGTTTTTGGGAGTTTTTTTCATCCTCATCACAAAATCTATGCTTGGTGGTTTCTTTTGGCTGTGATATTATCAGTAAAGATAAATTACGGAGGAGAACAGGGCAAATTCATTGCTGTAGGATTCGTCAGCAATGTTTCCCACAAAGCTAGGTATATCACCTGTACAATAAGTGGTACCAGCGGCCACACATAAGAGGGGCATCCAACTGCTTTTCTCTCCTTCTGGAAGAATACAAACTGACGAATATAACTCTTTCCTGAGAAAGGTGGTGGGAATGGGGGAGGCACTTTAAGAATTGAAGGAACCAAACAAATATTAATAATAATTTAAGTATATGAACTGGATATCAAAAAAATAAAAAAAGATTTCTTGCAAGGGGTTAGGTGATAAGGAAGAATCCACTCTCATTTTCTAATCTCAAAAGGAACAAAACACACTTCAAAGATAAAGAACAGTCAGATGCACAAAAAGGAAATGATGTCAAGACCATGAGGCTTGTGCACACACATGCACAAAGACACAATCTATATGACTGACACAACATTTGCACATAACAGTAGTGAAAGCTGCAATGAAAAGTGAGCCAGTGTAACATAAGTGAGGAAAAAAGACAACTGAATTACTTCAATCAAAGCTAGAACAGAAAATGTCAAGAGTGTAACACTCGAACTTTACAAGATGACCAAATAAACATCCGATGAGAACAACCAGCACTAACAAAGTACTAATAACTTAATGCTAATAAAAATTTTAATCACCAATGGGCATTGTTAGAAAAGCGATTATAATCACAGAAGCTTCATCATAGCTTGCAAACAAGAGACAAATGAATTAACCTCGCAGAACTTTATTTATTTAATTTTTTATTGTTTTCTTTCAATTAAAATTGAATATTTAGCAATATAATAGAAATTAAACATATCACACAAAGAGAAAATGAACTAATTCAAGTCAAACACGTGATACTCACATTTAGGAAAAAATTCTCCAATCCTTTTAACCTTGTGAAGTGTGAAAACCACAGGAAAAAGTAGAACAATTCTGAGAGCCAAAGTAGAGGAAACTATAGTTATCCACCTGAAATTCAATTACTAGATCAACACGAACGTTTGGTTCAGAATTGAAAATCGAACACCAACATAAGTGTTAGAGTGTTAGCAACAAGAATGACGAGACCGTAAAGCTTACCACGGAAATCCAGAAAGATCGTGGAATGAGTCAAGCATCCAAGTCACCGCACGAACGGGGGAAATGGCGTCATCTTCGCCGCCGCCACTGTTGTCAGCGATCACTTTCAGAAGCTCCGAGTTAACTGCCGAGTCGACGCCGAACGAGCTCAGCTCCGACTCGCGTTCGTTGGAAGGGCGAGTCGAGAAAGCGCGTGAGCGGAACGCGTCGAGAAAGGTAAGGGTTGGAGAGTCAGGTGTGGGGGAAGCTGGAAGGAAAGGAGGGTGGTGAGAGAACAGGACACGTGGCAGAGAGAGGAGAGAGAGGGAGGAGGATCCCCGCGCACGGCGAAGATGAGAAAAGAGCGCCGCCGCAGTTGCCATCGACGGCGGAAGAAAGCACAGCGTAAGGACTGATTAGTAACTTTGCTAGCTAGAAATTTGAGTTAGAGCATTGAACGGTTTTTAAAATAAAAATATTAAGAATAATTACATTTAGGGTTAGAAATAGGTTAGTTTTATATAAGTAAAGTCTTAGTTTTATATAAGAATCGTTGAATTAAAGTGTTTTTAAGATAAAAATTTTAAAGTATTGTAAAATTGATTAAGATTATAATAATTTCAAATTTTAATTCAACTAAAAAAGATTTTTTTTAGTTGGACTATTTTGTCCTTTTATTATAAAAAATATATTTTAAATTTGATATAGTAAATTAAGATTTAAAATAAATTTAATTTAAAAATAAAATAAAAATATTATTGAATAAAAATAAATTTTCACTTAAAAAATTCAATTATCAACTATACTAAAATCACATAATATAATGAAAAACAATAACTTTTAAAAACATGTTCACTTAAAATAATTCTTATAAACATTATCATTTAAATATTATAATTTGTTTATTATTTAAAAATATTTGAAAAAATTTATCAATTAAAAGAAAGGAAACATTCAAATCCTTATAATCATTATATGGATATAGATATTTTTTATATAATTGATATACACATAATTGATACTATATCCTATGAAAGTATGTAATAAAATAATCATATTAAGTTAAGCTCTAAGACTCATTTTCAAGAAAATGACTCTTACTTTATTAGCTTTTTTACTCTATGGTTTTCTTATGAACTTTGATACTAATGTTACTTAGAGTACTCCAAAGCCATAAAATGAGTGTATTCGCATGGCATATCTATTGCTCCAATGGATTCATGCAAGATGGAGTTCCTTAAAGCATAGAAACATTCTACATAAGAGCTAAATTTGATGAATCAAAACATAAAAAAAAGTCAAGGTGGATTTTGAATTATCTATAGAAGATCTGAGCATGTACATGTAGAAAGAATATCTTTGTAGATTTACACGAAAATTATATGCATTTTAAACTTATTTGTTCTGAGTTTTTTTTTTTATAAAGATCAGGTATTTGAATGTAAAGACTTAAATGTCATTCCATGTGATGATAAAATAGTTAAATATATCTTTGAGAATTTTAATATTGATCCTTAAATTGAGAATACTAAAGAAATCTTTAATAATACTTAGTATTTATATTGCGACCTAAAGATCTCATTGAAGGATTATGAGTTGTGGTGTTCTCCAAAGAAATTCACCATAATAATGAAACTTCTAAAGAAATTTATTAATTTTAAATCAGAAATTAGGTAACATTTAGGAGAAATGGTCTCCTTAAAATTATTGATCTTAATAATAAAATTTTCTTGGTCAAATTTGACAATACAAAGGATTATAAGCATGCTTGACTTATCCTAAACCATTAGCTTTTTATTTAGAGATGGAGACATTTATTTAGCCCAAAAAACTATAACCTTAGGAAGATTAGTGCTTGAATTGGTGTCACTAACTCTTTCTTAAAACTTTATAATGAGAAGTTATTGTGGCAGGTTGGTGCCTGCGTAGGATTAATATTGAAAATTGATCTACACACCTCTTCACTTTCTAATTGCAAATTTGAGAAAATTTACATAGAGATAAATTTAAAAAAGAAGTTGATTCCTTCTTTAAAGTATGGGGTCAAGAATTTAAAGTAAAGCTCAAGAGATTGCATCTTAATTGCTTTAAATATAGGAGATATAAGCATAGATAAGAAATCTACACTAAAATAACTAAACATAATCAAGATAACAAAGATAAGATCACATAGCTAGTTCTAATCTCAAGTTAGTTGTGTAAGATGAAAAGTCTGATAATTAAGTAAACTTTAATAATGAAAAAATTCAAGGCATAAAGAAGGGAGTACTATGAAGAAGCATGAGCAATTTGACCCTTGGATGTTAGCTAAAAACTAGTGGGTTGCTTTAGCATGAATCATCTACTCTTAGGTAGGATTATAAATATATAATACTTATTCCAGGTCAAATATGCATCATAAAAAAACTGTTGAACATAAATTGTTGTCTAAACTTGGGAAAATAGGTAGGAAGAAAGAAGATAACCTCCATTTTAAAGATTTGTAAATCATATAATGATCTTAATAGTAATCATAGAGATGATGATGATAGTGTAGACAATTTGCTTCTAATGTCCAAAATTTAAAAGAACTTTAGGCCAATAATTTGTATAGACACTTTATTTAAGATCTATTGGTTTTAGACTAGTTTACCATTGAAAAATTCAGCATATTGTGTATAATGTTCCTACTAATAGACCTCCAAATATTAACCCTTTTGGATTGTAATGCTAGTAGATCCTAACATCCTAAAAATGTTGCCAATCCTCAACCTTAGTTTTTTATGAAATGCTTATTTTGTAGGGGTGCATGGAGTAAGTCTTTTTCTAGGTTGATAAATGATTTGATAGGCATTTATAAGTTAGATTTTATTACTCTATTTAAGCCTAGGATTAGTTTAAAACTGACATTATTATATATATAAAAATTAACCTAGATGGATCGATTAAGGTAGATGTTGGATTTTCATAAGAGATCTAGTATTCCTAGAATTCTAAGAGAGTTAAAACTTTTGTTTTAAATAAAACTAAATATACCATTCACTTAAAAGTTAGTAATTATGAGTAGAATGATTGTATTCGAAATATTTTAGTCCTTTGAAAGGGCTAAGAGCAAATTTTTAGAAGGAGTTGATTCAATTTAGTTCATCTATCAATGTTTCTCATGCTTAGTTGAAAACTTTAACTTCATTCTTTATGAAATAGAAAAGTTAGGAGGTAAATTTGCTAACCTTCACCAAATCAAGGAATTTGTAGACTATCTAGATATTTGTAGTGTGCAGGATTTGGGATTTAAGGTTAACCTTTTCACTTGGCAAGAATAGATAGGATTGTGCAAATGAGCCTTGATGTCTTATATTCCATAATAGTTCTCTTATACATATTTTTTAATTAAACTCTGATCATATTACCCTTTGACTTATAATTAGGGATAGAGACACCTTCAAAGAAAGTGGCAGCCCTTTTAATTTTTTTACTTCTTAAATTTCTCATAATAATTTTCATAATCAAGTTAGGAACTCTTAGGTTGCTTCTGGCTCTTGGACTGATAATTTGATTAGATTTAAAACAAATATTTTTAAGTGGAATATGTTTATTTTTATAACATTTTTAATAAGAAAATATAATTATTAAATAGAATTAAAGATATTTCTTGCATATTAGCTTTTGATGATAACTATTTTCTCAAAACTTATGAATTCATTGTGAAAACAAAATTTAATTAAGATTCAATGATGATAAGAATGCATGAGAATATGATTCTTCAAAACTCAAATTCATTGTTTTTAATTATTTTAGGCAAAATTAATATTTTCGCCCCTTAAATTTAAGGTAAAATTTACATTAGTCCTCTAACTTTTTTTTTATTCAATTTAGTTCTCAAAGTTTGTTTTTTTCCCAAGTTAGTCATTTTTATTAGTTCTATTACATGGCTTAACAGAAATGTCCTAGGTGACGCTAACATGGCGTAATGACGTTTATTTAATTCAACTTGAAATTTTTTATTTAAAAAATTATCCAGATGGCGTTGACTCCTCCATTTTCCCTTCCCCCTCTCCTACTCCAGCTCTCCCACCTCTTTCTCTCCAAACCCATCAGCTATGTCTCTCCCTCCCGCAGCTCTCATTGCCCTTTTTTGCAGCTCCCATTTCCCCTTTTTGCAGCCCCTTCCCTTCACGTAAAGTGAAATATTCCACTACTTCTCTCTCTCATGAGTGTCACAAACGATTCAAACTTCTAATCTTATGTTGCCCATAACAATTAAATTAGGATCAAATAATCTATGATCGTGAAGGAACCAAAAACACAAAATCAACCACAAGAGAATTGAAAAATTTATTGGAAAATTAAGAGAGAGAAAAGAAAAAAAATTATTCTTGATCTTGTTTGAGCTTGGATTTTGGTGTTTATATTTTTAAATTATTTTTTTTTTCTATTAGGGCGTCTGGGGTGGTGCCAGAATATTCTTTTTCTTCTTAAAGTGTGTTGCTTTAACTTTGAAACACTAAATTTGGTAAAGTGTGCTCCCTTTTTCCATGAGCTGGGGCTTGTGAGTGCAGATGGATGTGCCAAAGTTGGAGCTTTTTTAAAAAAAAAAAATTTGGTAATTTTTTTAACTCACACGAATTGCTACAACTTAAGGGTTTGTAGTTCTGCAATAATTTGTGTTTTTTTTTTCCCTTGTGATGGAATTTACTTCATGTTTTTCCATGTTTCAATTTCTGTGTTTAGGGTTAGGAGTTTTCATGTTTTGTTGTACAGAAAAGGGAATCGATGATTTGTCAGTGAGAATGGTGTATAGAAAGTAACAATATGTATGTTAACAAACAGTAACATAGATAAGAATGTCTAGTGGGTTGGAGGAGGGAAGGATGATAAACTGTAAAAGGAGGAAGGAAATGGGAGGGAAAATAGGGCGTGAGGAAAAAAAAAGACTGATGGGTTTAGGAAGAGTTGAAGGAAAATAAAGGAAGGACGTTATGGGAGGAGACATGGGAAGTTGTGGAAAGGGCAAAAAAGGGTTGCAGCCTAGTGGGTTAGGGGAAAGGTGAGGGAGCTACAGGAGGAGAAAGAGGAAGGAAGGATCTGCGGGAAGGAGAAATTGGGGTTTTAATAGAGGGGAGACAAGACTAATGGGTTTGGAAAAAAAAAAAGGTGGAGGAACTGCAATAGCGAGATGAGGAAGAAGGAGCTGCAGCGGGAGAAGAAAAGAGGAGACGAGAAAGAGAAGTGGGAGATAGTGCCACTTAGACAAATCTTACTTTTTTTTAAAAAAAAATTTCAAGTTGGATTAAATAAATAACGTTAGGCCATGTCAGCGCCACCTAAGACATATCTGTTAAGTCATGTAACAGAACTAACGAAAATGACTAATTTAAAAAAAAATAATTTTAAAGACTAAATTGAATAAAAAAAAGTTAGAGAATTAAAATGAATTTTACCTTGAAGTTAAGAGACAAAAAGACTAATTTTACTATTATTTTAATTTTTTTTTTATATTTTACCATAATGTTAATCTTCACAATATTAACTCTTTCTTCACCAGTTACATACTAAAATAAAGATAAACTTTATTATAGACTTTTCATAAAAAAAGTTAGAACTTTTCTTTTTAACATTGAAAATTTCAAAATAATTTTTTTTTCTCCTTTTATTAGATTAAAAATTTAAAATGTTTAAATTATTGGTTAATGAATAAAAATAATGTTTTTAATTAAAATTTAGTAATATATTTTAATATGAATTTCAATAAAAATTTATTTTTAATTATATTTTTAAGAAAAATGCCAACTTTAATTTTTAGTGTTGATTTGAAACAGCTAAAAGTAAAAGTATTAAAAAAATTATTACAAAAAATATTTATTGATTTTTTATCATCACCTGTTTAAAGTCACACAAAAAATAATTAATAAATAATAAATTTTTATTAAAATTATAATAATTAATATTATTAATGTATTATTATTATTATTATATATATATATATATATATATATATATATATATATAATGTCATTGGATTCATATTAAAAAAACAAACAAAAAATTATTACATAAAAAAATATAAAGATGTGAAAAATGTTATAACATGTGATAATTGTTAAAAGGAACTTTTTAAAGTAATTCAGTAATTCTTTTTATAAAATATTTTATAATTTTACAATTTTATTCATCTTTAATAAATAAATTTAATGAAAACTTAAATTAAACTAATAAAGATAATTGTTGATAATGGATGAGGTTAAGTAAAATTGTAATATTATAATTTTTTAAAATTAAAAAATTTAAATAAATTTAATTACTTTTATTAGTCTGTGTAATTTAATTTAAAATATATGATAAAAAATGATAAAAAGAGTACTTTTTAATAAAAAAAATTATGTTATATGCTTAAAATTAACTTTTGAAAACTTAAATTGACAAAAATAATATTAAAATTAGTGTTCTAAGAATACTTGTTAACAAAATTTTAAAATTTTTAACTTATTTTCTATTTGTGTTGTAAACTTTGTTCATTTATGTGTTGAAAAGTGATATGCTAAATTTTATCCATTTCTCAACATAGTAAAATAAGATGTTGAGAGGAGGTATTAAAAACTACAAGTCAACACTATTAAGTATCAATAAATAATGTAAAGTAGTATAAAGTAAGAATGATCTAATAAATTTATGATTCATAACTTTCAAACTTTAAATTTAATCACAGTAAGAACTCAAAATTATGGACCATACTTATGTCAATAGGGTAGATTATGCTCCAATATGGTCTAAGATCTATTTACATATTCTTTTAAAAATAATTTATATTTTACTTTTTTACCGTCTTAATGACATAATCATAATAGATAATGGTTTTTTTTTTTAAATCAATTGTTAGTTTTGTTGAGAAATAATAACCCATTATGAAAATACATACTCACTCAAACAGAAATGATTTTGTCTTAAAAAAAACAATAAATAATTCAATAATATGCGGAATAAAATATTTTCTTTAAAGACCACAAGATGTTAAAAAAAAAAAAAAAAAGACAATCGATCTTTTAAAACTAAAGTTAAAAGAAGATATTCTGACAATGCACTAGAACAATGCATTCGTTGCTACTAGGCACCTAAATTTTAGTGAATTAGTATTATAATAATAAGCTTTGTTTCAAATAAAAAGTATATCCTTTCTCACACAATATTTTTTAAAAACATATTGTAATAAAGTAATTTTTTTGCTATTATATTTTTTAAGTAATTTATATAGGGTCGTGAAAATTAAAATGATATTTTATATTTTCTATACATAGATTAATTAATCTCGTTAGTATTATATTAAATATATATAATAGATAATAAAATTGAGAATTAATATTAAAAATATTAAAATAATAATGATTATCGAATGTACAACAAACACGTCTCGTATGAAGCGGCCGTGTTTGAAAGCCGGTTGGAGCCGGAAGTGCTTGAATTATTTTTCAGTTTTATTTTAAATAAATAAAAAAATATTATGTGGATATATGGGAGAATGGCACGTGCGAGAGGGAGGGATTGAAGTTGGAAGCGTGTGAAGAGAAGAGAGAAAAGGTGAGTTATTTTCTTTATCTTTTTTTTTTTGTTATTATGAATTTAACGTTGGAAGAGAGGACGGAAAGAACATAGAGATTCGAGGATCTGGTTCCTTTGCGTTTGTTAGTTGCGACCAATTCTTTAATCACCGTTTTCTGAGAGAGAGGCGCAATATTAGCTACAAATTTTATTTATTTTTATTTGTAATTTTTCGAATGAATGAAAACACCGCCATCGCTCTTATCTCTCACCATTGACTCAGCCGTCCTTAATCTCTCCGACATCACCGATCTCTCTTCCATCCCTGATCACATCCTCCTTGATCTCTTCCTGGTAGTGCTACTTTTATCATCATCATCATCATCATCTTCTTCTTCTTCATCATCATCCATCATCCATCATAGATAGTTACTTAATTAAGGTTACCCACCCACCCTTTATTCATTTGTTGACATGCAACATACCCATTTGCTTTAATCAATGTTTCATCTCTATGTCTCCCATAAAAATCAATACTTTTCCTTTATTACTCTCATTGCATTCATTCTCGTGATTTCAGAAAATCCCTAGAATCAGATTTTCCTTTACTTTCTGCTTTCTTGTTTGGGATGTCAATTTTTGAATTTTGATTTTCCCTTTTGCTGTGAACACTGGTTCTTAACTGGTAATTTGGCAATCTCGTGTTTCCTAATTTGGAGTGGAAATATCAAATATTGTAGATCTTGTTTCAATCTTGTCGAGTATGTATGAGTTATGGCTCTTCCTGAAGATTTATTTGTCATTACTTTTCAGCATCCTTATTGCATTGATTGATTTTCATGGCAGAGAATATTGAAAGCTGGAAAGCTGACTGAGAAAGTTCTGAGACTGTTTATAGCAACCGGTAAGGATGAAGTCCTCTCACTTGTTCAGGCACTCAATATTCAACATATTTTGACTCCTGTGCTTCCTACCAGTGAGTTGTTTTAAGGTTTTTTTTTATTTTTTTATTTTCTTGTAGTAGTGATTTCTTTAGTGACAAATGTTACTTTTCTGACTTTGGAATATCTCAATGTATAGGATGTTCTGAGAAATTCTAAGATAAGGTTAAACTATTATCGACTCATTGAATTCAGATCATTGGGTTTGAAATAAGGAGCGGAAGTAAGACCTTTTTAGTTTGTGAGATAGTCTGTGTTGTGTACCTGGCAAGATGTCTCAAGCAGTTATCAACGATAATGAAGTGGACATTGTGATTGCTGCATTGCGATCTGACCTTACATCTTTTCTGAATGAATGGAAGCCAATATTTTCCCGTTTTCATGTGATAATAATCAAAGATCCTGACCTCAAGGAGGAACTTCAAATTCCCCAAGGCTTCAAAGCTGATGTGTATACAAAGTCTGAAATTGAGCGAGTGGTGGGTTCATCCACTTCTATTCGCTTCTCTGGCTACTCGTGTAGATATTTTGGCTTTCTAGTTTCACAGAAGAAGTATGTTGTCTGCATTGATGATGATTGTGTTCCAGCAAAAGATAGTGCTGGGAATTTGGTAGATGCTGTGGCTCAGCATGTTGTGAACCTCAAGACTCCTGCCACCCCTTTCTTCTTCAATACACTGTATGATCCATTCCGTAAGGGAGCAGATTTTGTACGTGGTTACCCTTTTAGCCTGCGAAGTGGGGTTGATTGTGTTCTGTCATGTGGTTTATGGCTCAATCTGGCAGACTTTGATGCACCAACGCAAGCTCTCAAGTCAGGGCAGAGGAACATGCGATATGTAGATGCAGTTATGACTGTTCCTGTGAGAGCCATGATGCCCGTGAGTGGAATCAACATTGCCTTTAACCGTGAAGCTGTTGGCCCAGCATTGGTCCCGGCATTGAGGTTGGGAGGGGAGGGAAAATTGAGGTGGGAAACTGTGGAAGATATATGGTGTGGATTGTGTGTGAAAGTTATATGTGATCACCTAGGCCTTGGTGTGAAAAGTGGGTTACCCTATGTTTGGAGAACAGAGAGGGGTAATGCCGTAGAGAGCTTGAAGAAAGAGTGGGAAGGGGTGAAATTGATGGAAGAAGTTGTGCCTTTCTTTCAGTCAGTAAGGTTGCCGCAATCAGCAAACACAGCAGAGGATTGTGTGATCGAGGTGGCCAAAGTAGTGAAGGAGCAACTGGGGAAGGTTGATCCTATGTTTTCTCGTGCTGCTGAAGCCATGGAGGAGTGGGTCAAGCTCTGGAAATCAGTTCAATCTGGTTGAAGCTCCAAGAGCTTGATGTGGTGCGGTCTATGTATGTTTCAACCTCTCATGGGGACTCTTGTAGGAGTGAAGTTTATTACCATATTTGCTTCTATATTTCTTTATATAACTAATTAATATCTGCTTTTTTTCTCCAGTTTGTAGTGAACTAAGCTTACATTTTACATGACACAGTTAGACTGAAGGCAGAATAAAATGATAGTACTTATTGGCTTTATGACTATTGAATAAATGCTTTGTCTTGCTCTATCAATTATTGGTCTTTGAACATAATTCTAAATCTGCTTATGTTCCTTGTTTCTCTATAACCTTTCTTCAAAGAAAATGTTTACAAACAGAATCCATCACAGATGACTGGGAAACAATTTTAAGACCATGATTTCAATTGCTTCTGCAAACCAATGTTATATTTGGAGAGCAACTTGATTCCTATTTGTTCTCTATTGTCACTATTGTTTGTTTGTGATTTTGATCAAAGTCTCGCAATTTAATGTGAATGCCATCTTTTCAAACTTGAAAACTTTGCCACACCTTTGATTTTAGTTATATTAGTTTTAGTCTTCTAAATTTTTTTGTTGGTTTTGTTCCTCATAAATCTTAAGTTTTGAAAATTTGCCCTGATATCATTTATTAAACGACTTGACATGGATCTAGGTATGCTACATCACTCGCTACTTTAGAATGGTCTAGGCATGTCATGACATTGTAAAGTAGTAACATGGACTATTTAAAAAAATTAAAGTTGGAGACTACAATTAATAGAAGTTTTTTTGTGGACTAAAACTAATTTTAATCACATTTATATGTACTACAAATATGTTTAAGCATTTTTTATGGTTTATCTGATAAAAGTTTCTAGGGACCTAGAGAGCTACTACTGTCAAAAGCAGATTTCTTCGTCAAATCTTCATGCTCCTCTCCTGCTTGCAATTTTGTCTTCAACTTGCTGAACATCATATAACAAAATATTAGGATTTAGTCTTAAAATTGTAAGAACTGGTCATTTTAATGTGACTACGAAATTTTCATTTTGACTTTTAATTTCACAAAACAATGTTTACTGTAATTTTCTTTTCTTGTCTGAAATGATATTGAAAATTGAAATAGAAAAAAAGATTAAAATAATTTGTATTTTATAAATTCAGAGACTTAACCAAAAATTTTGTAAAATTGTAGATTAAAGTAATTGAAATATACGATTTTACGACTAAATGAAAGTTTACTTAGAGCATGTTTAATTAAAACAAACAAAATATAATACAAACTATTTTTAAAAAGGAAAATAAACATGCTTTTAATATTTATCTTTTTCTCTTCCCATTCCTATTATATTTGTGAGTGTTTTGAATTAGAAAAAATAACCCATTTTGACAGATAAATGCAACTTATGTAGATGTAGCTAAAAAAATGCCCTTTATTGTTGTCGAAGTAATTCTCTTCTCTACGAGGGGGATGCATTCAAAATTCACTTTTTTTTTTGTCAACGAAATTCAAAATTTCCTTTGACCGGTAATTTTACTTGGTGACCCATGGGACAATGGGCTGGGCTTTCACGTGGGGTGCTTGGGGCACTTAGGTAAATTCAACTTATTCTTCGGGATTTCAAGGTAGTTAGTTGATGCCTTGGATCAACGGTATCAACGGATAGTATGCACTTTGCAAATGCATTTAATTACAGAACGAAAATTGCAGTACATATTATATGCATTGCGAATGCATATTGTTTTAAAAATAATTAATAGTAGAGTTAGGTCCAATGTTACAATTAATAATAATAACATTGTCCTGTGATAATTATTTTTATAAATTTAAAATAATTATTTTTAAATATTTTTATTAATTTTTATAATTTGAGTTAAAGGTATTTTATAAAAAAAAATTCAAAGGAAGTAATAGTTACATATATATAAATTTGTGTAGGAAACACACCGACATGTATACATTAATATTAGGTAAATTTTGTGGTATTCATAAAATTTTTTTAGAATACTAATTTTAACTAATAATATTTAGATGTGTTTAAATAATATATTTATTTAATAATAAATTATTATATTTTTTACATTTGAATAAATTGAAACTATTTAAGTTAAAACTAAATAAATTAAGATTTAAAAATAAAATAATAATATTATATTAATATATTTTTATATTTTAAATTTTATTATTATTAATATTTAATCATTAAATCAATATATTATTTATAATATTTTATTTATAATAAATAAAAATTACTTAAATAAAAATTATTATTATTCTAATTATAATTTTGTATAGAGTAAGGATATAATAAGAAAAGATGATAAATACTTTCTTGAACTTCTAAAATAATAAATAAAATATATATTTTAAACTGTGACGGATAAAAATGAATGCAGGAAGTATATTAGTATTTTAAAATTTGTGTTGCTAAAATAGTTCTTTTATCCCCACTTTAATATTTTATAAGGATTAATTTGATAACATTTTAGTTGTTTTCTTCTCAAACATTTATTGATCACGCTGCTATATCTTCTTTTCACAACTTTAATAATTTTTTTTATTTAATATGATGCCATTTATATTTTTAAAAGATTAATTTGATGATAAATTAAATTTTTGAATACTTAATTTGGTAATAAAATTTATGAAAAACAAATATGATAAAAGATTAATTTAGGACCTTAAATATTTGAAATATCTACTTAGTGACAATTTAATTTCTGTAATGCAAAAAGGTGAAGAAGTGGCAAAGTGTGTATTGCGCAGGGTGTATGTTGTGGTGCTTTTCTATTGCTGTACAATGTGTTTATTTTAAACTGGATTGAGCTCTTTAAGTATGAATTAGAATTTAAAAAGTGTACTGCAAAAATCTTGATCTAAAAAGCATATTTACTTAACATGTTTTTATTCAAAATTATTTTATTATCTACATAAAATATTAAATGCTTTTCTAAAAACTATATTACAATTTAAGCTATCAAAACGTTAAATATTAAGTAGTTTTTTATATTCTTAATTATTTTAAGCAATAAATACTGAAGAAAAACATTTAATGTCATTAGAAATTATAAATAAAGCATTGAATAGTTTAAGAGAGTGAATTATTAAATAATTTATTGATAAAATTACATTAAATATTTTCAAATTTTCAAGACATTAATATACTTTGTTTTTAATTTAATATTAATTTCTTTAATAAATTAAAAATATGCAAACACTAAATGCTTGTATGCTATGGAGTAAAAATAAAATGAATTGTTTAATGTTATTAAAGAGAACAGCAGGATAATATTTCTTTTCAATTTCTCAAGGAATTAGTATTTTTATTTATATTAAATTAAATACATTATTTATTTATATCATTATGGTTTAGTAATATTTAATTTATTTTTAAGGTTATTGCTAACCAATATTTTTAGGATTCTTAACAAAACTAATAAAGTAATCAATAAATAATTTTTCAAAAATTATATTAAAATAATAAAAATGAGTTTATTTTTGTATTTTTCAATCATAAAAAAAAAATGCCTTAAGGACATTTGTTAATATTTTTAAGATCATAATAAAATATCAAATGATTTTAAGTTTTCAAATATAAAAGAAATATTTAATCCTTTTGATAATCTAAAATATATATAACGTTTTAAGATTAGGTATACTAAATGCTTTTAAAGAGAGAATTAAGTTCAATATTTTCAAATTCTCACTACATTTTCCTTGAATATGTTTGTATAATATTTATGTTTACTTTGATAAAATATTTTATTAACCTTAACCTCAGGTTTAAATATAAACACCTAATAGTAATAAAGTTTCATTATAAAAGAAGGGTATTTATTACATTTTTTAATCTCTAATATAATAAATGCTTTCAATTTTAAGAAAATTTTACTTCTTTTATATACTTAAACTCAACCTAAAATGTTAAGTTTAACAAAACCGTAATATTATCAACATGCATTTAAGGAAGATGTTAAATGCTCTAAATGAATATTTTTTGGTACAGAAAATAAAGGCATTTTAAATATATATCAGTTTCCAAAAGCATTTTGCATTAATGTTTTGAAATTTTTAAATAATTTTTTTAATCTGCAAAACATTTTATACAATAAAAAATTATATATAATAATTTTTTTATTAATAATTACATGATTCAATGAAATTTAATGTATTAATATTATTAAATGTTATAATATTTAATAAAACTTATTATTTATTTATATTTTATGATGTGCAATATTATTCAAGTTAAAAAATTGAATTTAAAACTAGTAGTAATATACTTTCTCTTTTATATTAAATACAATTTAAGTTATCAAAGACATTAAATATTTTATTTTCGTACTTAATATTAAAAGCATTAATATATTGTAATTACCCAGGTCAAAAAGGAAAAAGAAATAGTAGTTACTTGGGAATGCAGCAATTTCAAGTTTAAGTTTTGAAATTGAGTCAAAGAAAAAGTTTTGTCGTTATTAACACGAACGAATATGATTTTAATGATTAAAGATAACAAATTTATTTTTATATAAATAATTTTATATATTACTATAAAATGTTATTTATTAGTGAAAAAGTTATCAAATATTAAAATAATTTTTGTTTAATAAAAGTTTAAATTATTAGTATAAACTTTGAAAGTTTATACTATCAAGATAATATATTATATCAATACATATTTATCGTAGTAAAAATATTAATATATTCTATGAATATGTTAAATATTAGTATAATATATTAATATAAACTTTTAAATTCTATTCTAACAAAAATTTTACTAGAATCTTAATTAAATACTTGATTATTTTTTATTAATAAATAATAATTTTTTTAGTATAGGCAATAAATTTAAATAATTTAATTTGAAAAACTAATATAATGCGAATGTATATATAAAATAATTTTACATAATAAATTTAAAACATATAAAAAAATTATAATATAAAACTCTTACATTTTAATTCTGATGGTGATATATATATATATATATATATATATATATATATATATCATAAGAATGAATTTAAAAATATTAAATATAGATGGTTAATATTAAAAGTTTAGTAATAGTAATATGTTAATAAATTAAATTTTTTATTTTTATTACTTTTTTATAATTTTATTCTCCTAATAACAATTTTTTTTCACCTAAATCATTTTTTATATTTGTATATTATCACCACAACATGTTTATAAACTTTTAATTAAATATTATTTTTTTTGGTTATTAATTTAAATGTTATAGAAATAATTTTTTTA